GCCGATTTATCCCTTCCTTTAGATCCATGGGTATTATTTATGTAGGTGTTTATCACTTTAAGATATTCATATTCCTTTTTTCATATTCGAGCCAATGCAATGATGTAATAATGTTGCCTTCGTTTTTCCTCGACTCCCCTCTGTAAATATTTACCCGCATTAAATCAAGAATAGAAAAAGAAAACGTAACCAACACCAACCACCATCGTCGTCGGATCTCAACGCAACGGAACTAAACGCTCTTCCTTGTTGAATTATGAACCCATGTGAAACATTTGCTTAAAACTGTGTTAACAGGCGATGGCGAATGCATAATTGGTATTACAAATCCACAGCTTTTTTTCTTAACACATCTTTAACTTGTTCACTTGGAGCAAATGAGGCAATCACCCACCACAAAAGTATGTAAAGCTAATGATAATGCTAACAATGCGATGGTGTGAAGTGTAACCCTCCGATTTGGCTGAAATTTTGAAATTAGGTGGTCCAAGTCAATACAACTAACGTTTCTTCAGCCAGTTTGTGCGATGGTTGGAGTTACTCAAAATATTTGAGGTCAAAGTTGAAAAAACGGCCGACTTTTTTCAGGTGGAGTGAGAAAACTCCACTTCGATTCTCTTCTCCTCGCATTGATTTTCACTCCGGAAAATAATTCATTTCATCAATTTTAAATTTAATTCATTATAGAAAAACATTAATTTTTCATTGCACCTGGGTCTTGGTCTTTGTTTTCAAATGAATTGGAAATCAAAATAACAAACGGTTTCGAAATGGAATGTAAGTTAAGTTTTTCCATGTTTATTTGCCGTTAATGAATTTATAATCACATTGTTTTTAGTCATGTTTCTCACACATACGATTTCATACACAAGCATAAGCAGTGATGCAAAATAACCAAAATAAAACATTACTAAATAGGAATTAACTTGCCTCATACTCGCTTAATTTAATTCATAATTGAATAAGTGAGATTTTTATTTCTTTGCATTAAAAATTCATACAAACATTAATTTATAAATTCATTAACGGCAAATAAACTTGGAAAAACTTAACTTGCTTTCCATTTCGAAACCGTTGGTTATTCTGTCTGATTTCCAATTCATTTGAAAACAAAGACCAAGACCATGACCCATGTGCAATGAATAATTAATGTTTTTCTATCATAGATCAAATTTATCATTGATGAAATGAATTATTTTTCGGATTGAAAATCAATGCGAGGAGAAGAGAATCGAAGTGGAGTTTTCTCACTCCGCCTGAAAAAAGTCGGCCGGTTTTTCAACTTTGACCTCAAATATTTTGAGTAACTCTCACCATCGTGAGAGTTACTCAAGAAAGTTACTGAAGAAACGTTAGTTGTATTGACTTGGACCACCTAATTTCAAAATTTCAGCCAAATCGGAGGGTTACACTTTACACCATCGCATTGTAAGAAAAAAACAGTTAGCGAGCACCACTTGCATCAGTTTGTTCGTTTCAAAATATTTAGTATGCGAATATTAAATACTAATAGGCAGACGTATAATAGTAGTTGTTATTGCATGGTATCGATGGATTGTTTTTTGACCTGGACAAATAGTATGTATTAAATGGCTATGGCTTCGTAGTTACCATTACTCCACGCTACCCGGGTTCAGGGTTCAATAGAGTCATAAACATGAAAATGCTAAAAATGAAGAAAACCATGTCCACTTTGGAATTTCCTTCTGTCGTCGTTTCAGCTCAACTCTGCAGAAGCTAAACCTATAGAGCTTGCTGAGTAATCTGATTTTGCAAACCTTCTTGCCGAGTGAGAACTATGGACAAATTATTATCTTTACAACTTAAAGGATAGGCCTAACACGAAAAAATTGGTTTCACACTTTACTCCTTTACGCTTCTTGGCACTTTAACTAATCCCAAAGAAAATAAACATGTCTGGTTTAAATAATAATAATAAAACAAAATGAGGAACAGACAAGCCGGGTGTAGTGAGGTGTAAATTCCTTAAACATACCTAAACTACGCGTTCCGATACATACATGTGTTTTTTACGAAAAGTCTAAAATCCCAAAGACGCGGATCATTTTTTATAAACGTGACCAGAATAAAAACACAAAATATTACGGGAAAATCCTCAAAACATCTAAAATAAGTGCTTTCAAATCGTTTCCCAGCATTCCCACTAAATTATCTCTTAATTTTAAGAGACGTGACGGGTATGTATCATGAACTTAAAAACTTTTTGATGTGTAACCCGGGTGAAACTCCACATAAATCCTTAAAGACATTTTTCTTCCTACAATCACACCCCTGTAAAGAAAAGAGAATTTTAGTGGTTTACTGGAATTGAGTAATCTGTGCAATTTTACATTTCAACTTTTAGTAAACATCATCCCTGATAAAAAAACACCATGTATCGACCGGGCAAAGCATTTGACATCCGGGAGTTCCCTAATTCTGCCTTCTACCTCGGACTGCGTAATGCGTAAGGACGATGACGTGACGTTATAATACTTGCGTCCGTCCATTCGCTTATTGGTGATTCTAAAGAGTAGGGGGTCCTTTTTTAACGGAGTCGTGATTATTTTCTGTTTATACTTTATCTCCCCCTGGACTACACGAACTTTGGTTTGATGCAGGAAAAAATGGAAAATGTTTCATTTCATGCTCTACATTAATCCATCATGACTCTTGTGACTGGTAACAAGACCAGAACCAACTAGGACGACCACCAACTTATTTATCCATTTATTGTATCAACCATGATGCACGACTGGCTATAAACGCAGTGCACAATTTGTTCAGAATCTTATGATGTGTGCTGCTCATCCTCTAAGCATGCATCATACCAATAAAAATAACCATTTCAGTGAGGAGACGAGATGAGACCAAGAAAAGGAGTGAATACACTTTCTTTATCCACACAAGTCGCAATCCAAGCAACAACATGAAGGAATGGAAGCTTAGGAGAATGTCTTAAATAATCTTAATAACGTAGGATGCATGCATTTCGCGTTGCGTATTTTGCTGCGTATTTTTTAAGCGACTACTGTCATCATGTTGACTCAACATTGCTGAGGCCTCTATCCAAGATGAAGACAAGAAGAAGGGTTCCTGTTAAATTAAAATGGAAACTATTTCCTTGTTTAAGCTCGCAAGGATTTTCAATTTTTATTGACGCAATGCATCGTAAAAATCTTGAATATTATCTGTTGCAGAAGCCATTTATTTATTTCGAATCTCCACTGCTCAATAATGCAGTGCATGTTCTGCTCTTAGACCAAATAACTTGACCGGAGATGAAGTTCAATGGAAGATCGAGCCAAAAACGAGTCAAATTACAGAATCAAAAAAGTATGGAACAATCCTCCTCCTCCATTCCACTCCTGTAATGGGATTGAATACCTTTTTTGTTTTGCAGAAAAATACGACGCATGTAATACAAGCGCAAGGAATACTATTTAACGCTTTATGCTTAAAACAATTTATATTCTATCCCTTTCTCTTTCTGGCATTCGTTTCGTGATTATTACTTGCACTTGTGGGATTTGCCGCTCAGATTTTAAGTTTTTTTAGTCAGGTAAGAATCAGACTGTGTCGTGTTTTCGATCCTTGTCTTGCCTAACTTTGAAACAAAATCGTCTTATTAAACTAGGCAACTGGCTAAAAGCAAGTCTTTATAATGTTGATGACGAATCAGTGACAAGATGACATTGCTTTTTCTTCTTCGAATAAACCAGCACAAGGTAAATTGAAGTGAATTAGGAAGAAATCGTATTGTCCAATGATACGTCACTTGAGGTAGAAAAAAATACACATGCAATGCTTTGACATTAGGCCGAATTCCATTAATAAACAATGAAATAATGTCAATATCAAACAATCAAATAGACTACTGGATAATTAATTAACCAATAAGAGTGAAACCCGGAATGGATGATGGTCTCCCTCCAATAAACCTAACTAACTAGCACTCTCATATGAACTTTTTTGTCACCCGTAGTAGTCGAGTGGCAAGTTACATAATGGTTGCAAATAATATGTTGACATGTGATCTTCAGAAGAAGGTGATACCGATAAAATCAATAACTCGATGTTGTATCGATGATTGGTCATCTCGAAACAAGTATGGTGCTCAGGAGTTATGAGGAGCTTTTATGTGCAAACGTGAATTCATGTCAGTGGGTGTATGAAATGAAGACGATTATGTGTTTACTATCCTTCGGGTTAGGACTGGGATGCAGTGCAAACACCTCTAAATCAAAAGTACAACGACATATTACACTTGTACCCAGTCCTGTTCCACTCGTGTAAGATTTACGATTGAAATCTATCTCTTGGATGAGCACCATGACTTTGACTTTTGTGTGCATACCATTAAAGATGCCGACTGACCAAAAATAAGGCATCCATTTATCGAAGACTTGCAAGTCTTCGTACATCTTATTTTAATGTGTATCGATTTTATCGTTAAGATATTGCTTTCTCAATATAAAATCATTGCGCCTTATTTATCAGTAATGCTACTGAATTTCATTTCAGCATTCAGAACGAAAAGCCGACACAATACAAGATAATAAAATTGTGTGGATCTAGATTATTGGACTCCCGTTAAAATGAGAATATATGAGAATAGGTCGACCATTATTTTCAATTTACGCACACAACTTGTCAAAACACAACAAAAAATTAAAAATGACAGCTACCCAAATGAGGAATTTTAATTGCAATTTTGATTATTCGTAGCCCCAGAGAGTAAAAGACATTTGAATTTTTTTTAGCAATCTTGTTCCAATTTTAGTTGTAGGTTCAAAATTATACAGCTTGTATTTTTAAACTCGCAATTACTAATTTCATTAGAAAATGATTTAGAAAATGAAAAACCAAACACATCACCCAAGCCACATATTATTTCAGATCACTCAATTTGTTAATCCTTAGTAAAATTTGCAGAATCTTCCAGCCACCGTTAAAAATGCTAAAATTTGTACGTAGCACTGCCTAGATAACGAACTTACTTCCTCAAACATATTTGACCTGAACAGATGAGATCCACCCAGGAAATCCAATTCATATGTATTTAAAAAGGAAGATGATAAATTACTAATTGATATTGACCAATTGTGTCCAAAGGTCATAAACTAAAAACTAAAATAAATAAAATAGTTAATATGAGAACAAACCTAAAATTGTTGTCACTTACCTAAGTACTAGTATCTCTAACTCTAGTCTTTAGTCAAATTTGAAGACACGGAAGTACTTCAAATCAATGATCCTGACGAATGGCAAATTATTTTCCTCGCACAAACAAATCCGTTGACCACACTTTCACAATTCAATCACATCAGGGATCAAAAATAACAGTGACACTTTTTGACATCAAGATTTACGTCATTTCGAATCATATGATGATGACAGGAAACGAGAGAAACACTCGAAACACCGAAAGAATCTTCTTCTTCAGCCTTTAATCACCATGAGCACTTCCATTCAAATTTCCAGCAAAATTAAATAAGACTGTAAACTTCAATCAATTGGTTGATAATTTCCAGAAAAAGGCAAAACTTGGGTCTGTACGAAAGATAACAAAGACAACAAATTAACAAACTGATGTAACCTTGTCTTTGCAATGTCAAAAAAACTTACTTTTCTTGGCTTTTATTATTGCATAACACTACGAATTGCACATCAGTCGTAATTATTGCAAGCCACTGCTAATCACCCTCCGGCTGGCTGAGTGGATAAGGAATAGTAAGAATAGTAAAGTTCCAATTAAACTAGAATTAGCGAGTGGCGAGCGTTGTTGGATGGAAAAACTTATTTTCGTGTCTCTTCATCCTTGCCCTTTGTGCACTGGTGGAAGTCAGTTGGCTCTTGGCTCGATGGTGGTGGCTCCTGCGATAGCTTTAACTCTTGCAATTCTTAATAATTATTAACTTAATTGTGATGATCAATCCTTTTTGCTGAGCACGATTGACAACAAACTAAACCAACCCCAATAAATCCAAGGCCCAACTGCTGACTCGGTCTCTCACTCACACACAATCTCGCTCTGACTGAGCACTGAGCTCAACTCTCATGAAAAAAGTGGTCGGCAGAAGCTGAATCAAGTTGTGCGAATGAACAGAATGGTCAACTCCGACACTTCATCCACACATCCTCTCTGAAAATCAGTCAAAAAGGTTTGAAAACCAACGTCCATTCCGTTCCATAACTCTATCGTAATCAATTCAAAGTTTTGAATCCCGTATCAAAAATGTAAAAATCCTGCAACGATCCGAACATATCCTCATGCTCACAAGGTGTGTCTCCTTTTATTTGACTTAAGCCTTTATTCGAGTGTTAACTAGTTTATATAAACTGGTTTAAATTCTATAAAGTGATATAACTATGTAAAAATTTAAAATTAAGAAAAAGACAAATGATTATGATTATAGGAGTAAAAACAATGCAAAAACAATGCAAAACCAATTCAGAGTCAAATTTGTAATAAACCAAAAGAAAAATACTTTACTGTATGAGATCAAAAGGTCCCACATCCTATCTCAGCCTTTGGCCATCGCTTATTCTCTTTAACTTTGGAACAAAATAGATAACCAATCGCAATACAACAAGTAGAATTAGAACAAAGGAATGCACACATTTGAGGATCGGATTACAAAAGTGAAATTGTCGTGCCGTTCGTGTAACTTAATCCACTCCGGACTTGTAAATTCGATGCACAATCAAAGATAATGTCAATTTTAGATAAACGGATAGACCGTTTAATTTGAACTCAGAAAATGTGATAACCTTGGCTTCAAAAAATATTAAATTTTTACCTTTTTTATGAAACACAACGGTGTTGATGAGCAGCCTCAGCAAGTTTGACTATCTCTGCTGCTGTGAGTCAGACCAATTCGTGTACCCGCTTTGGCCACGTTCGACTAAAGTTTGGCTCAAGTGTGAACTCACAAGTCGGAAGTTATTTTTTTGATTTTGAAATTTTCAGTAATTGTGGAATAGCTAAGTAATTTTAACCAAACAAATTCCGTTGCGAGGAGGTAAGGAGCACCGTCGTCTGATTGGGGTTCTGCAAGAGACAAGTGCAAGTAATTGCCGACATAACACAACATCTCACATATTGTCATTGACAATTTGTCAAATTGAATGATAATCATTCAATTTGACAAATTGAGGATTGATTATCAATCCTTAATTTTTGTATGCTAAAGTGATAAAAATGTAGTTTCGAGTACGATTTTATAATAGAGTTTCTAGTTCCAAGTCCACTTAATCTTTGATACAATTTACCACTGATTTTAATTTTGGTTGATTGTTTTTTTATCTTTGTCAGGTAAATCTTGTCATTATGAAGGATCGCTCAGGTGTTGGCGTAGAAGCGCCGTGTTACACCCTCATCAATTTTCCAAGCGATGTGGAACAACCGTCCGAGTTGATGTTGAGATCAGAACTAGGTAAGCTTATGGGTTCAAGATTTTGGAATTTTATGAGGAATTTAAAAACTTGAGCTGATGTTTCGCTGTAACTTTAGAAAAGGGCGACTTAAAAGCAAAGACGGAAGCATTAAAGAAAGTTATCTTTATGATTTTGAACGGTGAGAGATTACCCAGTCTGCTTATGACAGTTATTAGATTCTGTCTCCCACTTCAGGTAAACGGCATTCACTAATCTTGAGGAATTTAGTTATATGCACTAAACAATATTGTAATTGTTCCAATTGCAGGATCACATGGTCAAGAAATTGCTCTTGATTTATTGGGAAATCGTTCCGAAAACGTCTCCGGATGGGAAGCTTCTCCACGAAATGATCCTCGTGTGTGACGCCTATCGCAAGGATCTTCAACACCCAAACGAATTTATTCGAGGATCAACCCTTAGATTTCTGTGCAAGTTGAGGGAACCAGAATTGCTGGAACCTCTTATGCCAGCAATCAGAATGTGTTTGGAACACAGACATGCGTATGTCAGGAGGAATGCCGTTCTGGCCATTTTCACCATCTACAAGTAATGGTTCAAGAAGTTATTACTTGTTAATTTAATAATAGAAATAATAATAGCTTATTATGTTAATGTCTTTGTATTGTGTTTGGCTCACAGGAATTTTGAAATGTTAATTCCCGATGCACCAGAAGTTGTTTCAAACTTTTTGGAAGTGGAACAAGACATGGCGTGTAGGAGAAATGCATTCCTTATGCTACTCCAAGTGGACCAGAAACGTGCTCTTGAGTACTTGACGGCATGCTTAGAACAAATTGGTACCTTTGGGGATATCTTACAACTTGTTATTGTTGAACTAATTTATAAAGTGAGCATAATTTTAGTTGTACATTGTCTGAGTTTAACGTTACTTTAATGTTTTATGCTCAAAACTGTGTAACAAAATATTATATTTATAGGTCTGCCATCACAACCCTAGTGAACGGACTCGGTTCATTAGATGTATTTACAATTTGTTAAATTCTAATAGTTCAGCCGTGCGGTACGAATCTGCCGGAACTTTGGTTACTCTATCCACTGCACCCTCTGCAATTAAGGTTAGTGGATACATTACGCCACATTTTTAAAATATCATTACAAATTGCATTAATTTATTTAAATACAAAATATTTAGGCTGCCGCAACTTGCTATATAGAATTGATCGTTAAAGAGAGCGATAACAACGTGAAGCTGATTGTTCTCGAACGTCTTGCCCAACTCAAGGAGACTTCAACGAATGAGAAAGTTATGGAAGACTTGGTCATGGATATTTTACGGATCCTCTCCGCCCCTGACTTGGAAGTGAGGAAGAAAACGTTGAATCTCGTCTTGGAGCTGCTCACGTCGCGAACTGTATCCGAAACAGTAATGTTTCTCCGAAAAGAAGTTGCCCGCACTCACAACTCCGTGGAACACGACGATACCGGAAAATATCGACAACTTCTTGTTAGAACTTTGCATCAGTGTTGCGTCAAGGTGAGTTGAAATTAACGTTGCAAATTCCATGTCTAGTTAACTTTTTGATTTTCAGTTCCCTGATGTTGCTCCCTCCATAATTCCCGTCCTAGCAGAATTCCTCTCTGACTCCAATGAACTTGCAGCCTCCGATGTGCTCCTATTTATGCGCGAGGCCGCCCAAAAGTTTCCACACTTGACGCCCACCATTACAGAAAAACTGTTGGAAATATTCCCGCAAGTTCAATCCGCCAAAGTGATGCGTTTCACAGTGTGGATTTTGGGAGAGTTTGTGAACACCAAGGAAGACATTGAAAGTGTAATAGGGCAAATTAGGACCTGTTTAGGCGAGGTATGTAGGAAACTTTGATGTAACATAGTGTTATAATACACGCACTAGCTGATAAATTTTTTGTTCGCTTTTAGCTCCCACTTTATGAGTCTGAAATGAAAAAGGCTGCTGGTCTCGAAACGGATGAAGAGAAAGAGAACAGAGAGTCGTCTGAAAGTAAACCTGCTGGTTCAGGAGAAAAGTCTTCCAGTCGACTTGTAACATCTGATGGAACATACGCGAGTCAATCAGCATTTTCTATGACACAAACTAAAAAGGTACGCAGGATTTTAGCACAATTTTAATAAATGTATATAGACCTTAACTAAATAAATTTTTTAGACGGTTAATATCCCCTCACTCCGTAAATATCTCATCGACGGAGATTTTTTCATTGGTGCCTCACTCGCTTCATGTCTTGCAAAAATGGTGCGACGTCTCTGTCTCCAAAGAAGAACGACCACCGAGGACCGTCATAAATTCGTGGCGGAGACCGTGTTTATTATGACATCCATTCTCCGTTACGGAGTTTCAACCCTCCCAGCAAAGAAGATCACTGCCGACGATACAGACCGTATCCTCCTCTGCATCAGGGTTCTCGTAGAAGACAATGAACGATTAAACAAAGCTTTCGTTGAAGATTGTGGCAAAGCGTTGGCCTACATGCTTCACGAGCAGGCCGAGTTTGAAGCAATCCACAAAAAGAAAAAGAAGGACGTCATAGTCCAGCCAGATGAACCAATCTTGTTCAACCAACTCGTCTCCAAAAATGATATTGTGAATGGTGAAGACGTCTTTGAAACTAGCTTAAGCCAGGCGGTTGGATTCAACCCGAAAAAGTCTGATGGTGGTGACGTGAGTTGTTTTGCCTATATCACTTGTGCACTAATTTATGTACTAATTCAAGAAATTTCATATTCCTGCCTCTTATAGTTTTCATCTTCTAAGCTTAGCAAAGTTACACAGCTTACTGGATTCTCTGATCCGGTTTATGCCGAAGCGTATATCAATGTGAATCAGTTTGACATTGTCTTGGACGTGCTATTGGTCAACCAAACTGGTATTTAATATTAAGTATAAAAAAACTGTAAAATATTATCTAAATATTAATTGGCTATTGTACAGATGACACTCTGCAAAACTGTACTCTCGAATTAGCAACCTTGGGTGATTTAAAACTTGTCGAGCGTCCTACTCCCATTGTCCTTGGGCCACAGGATTTTACCAATATTCGTGCCAGCATTAAAGTTGCTTCCACAGAAAATGGAGTCATTTTCGGAAACATTGGTTAGTTTTGTTGATAAGAAACCCCATTTCTAATCTATAACCAAACATGAGATAATCTTGATGATATTTTTAATTCCATAGTTTATGACGTTGGTGGTGCAGCATCTGATCGAAACGTCGTTGTTATGAGTGACATCCACATCGACATTATGGATTACATTTTACCTGCATCATGCACAGATGCCGAGTTTAGAGCGATGTGGGCAGAGTTTGAATGGGAAAACAAGGTTTGAGTAACTAAAACTAACAAAAAATAACTAAAACTGCGTTTCACTTTGTGCAAGAATCAAATATTCACCACGATTGTATATTATTTGTGCTAGGTTGGAGTTAACACGAGCATAACCGACCTTCACCAGTATCTTCAACACTTGCTCAAGTCGACAAATATGCAGTGCTTAACCCCAGAGAAGGTAGACATGTGTATATAAATTAGTTCGATCCTAGTTTATGACAATATTCATCGTAATTCAATTGCTATGGAATGTGTTCTGGGACATAAATATACTACCATTTTTTATCAACATTTTTGTATTATATGGTTGACTCGTGTACCCCTTGTTTCAATACTCGATATTAATCGCTATATAGTCATCAACTATTTTTAGCGCTGATTTACTTTTTTTATTAGGCCACCATTATTACATAATCGACTTGATATTTATGGTTGTTTTACTAATCATTAAACAACGGTATGTTAAAACAATTCTGACGTTTGCATAGGCACTTCTCGGTGATTGCGGGTTCATGGCCGCAACTCTCTACGCCAAATCAATCTTTGGAGAGGATGCTCTTGCCAACCTGAGCATTGAGAAGCCTATCGATAATCCAAACTCTGCTGTGACAGGTCACATCAGAATTAGAGCAAAAAGTCAGGTATACCATCCAAATTATGATCAATCATGGCTAAAATTAAATGTTTTCATTATTACTATTATTACCATAGGGCGGATATGTATGCACTTAAATTCCTCAAAATATGTATGTAATATGTGCTTAAAAAACTCGAAAATATCCACATAAAAAATATTTTCCAATTGCAATTTTCTACTGTATTTTTATTTAATTTTCCAGACCTTTCAAATTTTTAACACTTTGATCAACTAATTATTAAATATTTCATTTTAATCTTCACCTAATGACCAATAATGCGACATTAGTTATATTTAAAGATTTTCAGGGATAATTTTTTGGCTTAAAAAATGTGGCAAACTGGATTTGCTAGTCGTTTACATGAAAATTTAATTTTGACAAAACTTTGGCTTCTCAATAAAGAAAAAGATTTTTACATAACAAACCTCGACATATGTATCAAAATATTTGTATTTAGAAAAAGGCTAAAATATGTAGGAAAATATGTGCATGTACTCAAAAAACCTCAAAATATGTATGAAAATATGTATATGTACGAAAACCCTAAAATATGTACAATATGGAAAAGTATGTTTGAATTTTTGAGATCACGCTTCGATGGAATGTCAGTATGCGAAGTTTTAGTGCGATCTGATTTAATATGAATAAGTTAGAAATACATACATATCCGCCCTCTGATTATTACGTATTATTTATCATAGGGGATGGCACTCAGTCTCGGTGATAAGATTAACGTATCCCAAAAACGTTCCTTAAATCAATCCAATCGTGGAGCACATTCCAATGCTCAGCAAGCAGCTTCAGGAGAAAATGCAGAGGAGAATGATTCATCATAGTTTACATAACTTGCCTTTGAAAAATGTTATTAGTTTTTAATCAAGTATTTATTTATATTGCTGGAAAAATCACTGTATTATATCAACAAAATCTGGGTTATATACGGCTGTAATGACACTATATAAGAATAATTCTAAATTATTGTAATATGCACGTCATTGTTCCCAAGTCAGTCTGGAATTGTGCAACTTTTAGAAATTAATAAATGCGGTGGTTCACTTTCTACCAAATAAAACTATATATGTACTTACATGCATGCATAATACTCCTCACTGATTTAATGTCATCCAGTAAAGATTGATTGTGAATTCCACAAATGCCTAAGTTAGCTTCATTAAATTGTGAACCACGATTGCATGTTGTGTTGGTGTCGTATTACTTTATGGCCTGATCGTGGTGTGATTACAGCGAGAGAGAGGAATTTATCCATGCTGAACTAGGTTTTGAACCAAATCATGCGAAATCTCTAAAGAACAAAGGTTGTCTAGATTAACCTAACCAAAGAGCTAAGAACCTTCATCATTCACTGCAAATATCAAACCACTTTAATCACCAGTCAGTAAATTAATCGTAATTATTGAAGGAATGCTTTAGTTGTCTGTCACAAGCCAATACTCGCGTCTATAAAAATGGGAGGCTCATCTGACTACAAGTTTCACTCCCCAGTTTCGCCTTCTTTAAGTAAAAGCTTTCAAGCGGGGATGACTATATTTTCTTTAGTGAGTTTTCAAGTACGGAAAAGTATTTTTCTGAAAAGCACCAGAATTTGTCCCACAAAAGAGTATTGTCCAACGAACAAAAACATTCCTTCCTTTGCATACACAACTTTGGCGTTCACTAGTTCATCCCAGATTTGTTTCAGATTGTTCCAACAAACTAATTGTTCCACTGGTCAGATCTCATCAGCACCTACTTCTAACTGTTGTGATGGGCTTACTTCTCCCCATGGCCTCCAAGTCGTATTTCCGGATGTCTTCCGCCTTCCTCATTTTCCTCGGTCTCGGAGTGGTCCCCCTCCTCGTCTCCCTAATCCATCCAGTCGACGGCAACCCCATGAAACATTACTCCTCCTGCAAAACCTCCCCTGAGCTCATCATGTCCGCCTTCTTCAACTCCTGCAAGCAGAAGCGAAGTCACGGTCGGCGAGAAATGGTGTCTGGCACTCGTCCAGTTTCGGAAGGTATGTGGGAATTTCTGCGGAGAATTTGGCCTAGACTAAAGATAGTAGACTCACGATTTTGATGACCCTTTCAGAGCTTGAGAACCCTGAAGTTTGGGAAATCCTCTTCAACGACATTCACCTCATGAAGGAGTGGACCAACACGATCAAGAAGTACTCCCCCCAACATCCCAAGAGGGAGCCTTCCCCACGTCGCACCAAGAAATCAGTGTCCCGATGGCGCAGAACCACCCCGGCCACATCAACCTCACTATTGTTCGAAGAGCTGGAACTCCCCCATGAAAATGGTGAGATTGACCCTATCGACCCTCAAAAAACTGACTCCTCCTCCAGTTCGGAGGACGATGTGGATGGCAAGTTGTGGAAATGGATGGTGGACGCGTCCCGAGTGATCGGAGGGCGAGACAGGTTGAGGCGCGAGGAGTACGGCCAAGTCGTCGCTGCTGTGCACAAGTGTTGTCATTTTGGCTGCGATGCGTCCGATTTTCCATGTTAGCTTGTTCCATTTTATGATTTTGATTGATTTTCGAGCTCAAAGTATGATATCAATGTCGCCTTTTGTAATAAACTACGACACACAGTTTAATGCACATCAAAATTAAATTCGCTTTATTTTTATACAATTTAAATTTTTGCTTAGTTAATAAATACACGGACATATGCTGAAACATACCGCAATGAAACATCGTATTTTTTCTGAACAAACTTTTTTGAGCTTGAGTCAGATACGGGACGACAAGTTTGATTGACTGTAATATTGTTCACTAATTTCTGATCCTAATTCTTAACGGTAAGTCTTAAGTATATAAAAAATACGGGGTTTCCATAAAAATATAGAGCTCATCCCCAAAGTTGGGGTTCTTGTAAAAAATATTTCTGGTCAGAAAAACACAACATATTTAAACGTATACTTTCTCATCAGCATGTCGTCAGGTACACGATACGTTGCCTATTTTCTTCTGGGTAACTACTGCAGCATATTTAGTGCTCGCTATATAAAATTATAGTCTGGATTATAAATCTGCATATTGACGAGATAAGACTGCCCTCTACAGATACTAGCTCGTGGACTTGATAATTTAGTATTGGATGAATACATTTTGCGACAGACTAGAAAATATTTCGCAACAATTCGACAGGGTTAAAGTATCTAATGTCTCATGAACCTCCTCAGTACTTGAGATCATCCCGCGTACCTCCGCCAGTCCCAATTTCGAAGGAAACACGCTCGTCCGCCACGGGAGTTTCGTCGACAACAAAGAGATTCGTGGGGCGATGTCTGCGAGACTCTGGCTGCTCGGCCCCACTCCCACCCCGGGCGTACGACGGAGTTCCGAATTTCTTAAGAGAAAACAAGGAGTGAAAACTTGCCGTGGATAAAATTAAGTAGTCGGGATCGGGTAGAATTACTCACCGGCTTCACGTTGCTCCCGTCACCGGACGGATATCTGTCCTGCTGCTCCGGCCTCACAATTATGTCCACTTGCCACTCCTCCCTCTGAGCGAGCGGGTTGCGGTGGTGGTTGCGACCCGCACCGAAAATCCGACCGTCCTGATGCTGCAATGGGTGGTGGCGTTCCTTGGATTTTTTAGGAAGGCCCAAAGCCAATAAACTGACGAGGAAGGGTAAAAATGACGACTGCCTTTTTTCGGAGGTCTACATGCGTTCAATTGCAAAAGACTTTCACCTTCTCATGCATGACTTTATTGCCTTGTAAGCCTTTCAATTAAGGACCCTCCTCTCTACGCACACCAAAAAGTACATATCTAAAATCCTCACCTGTTGCTCCAACTGCTCGGGAGGAGATGGTGGTGGGGTGGGTGACGTCGGAGGCGTCGTCGTCGTTGGGGGCGGAGTCGTGGGCGCCATCGTCGTGGTCACGCTGGTCGGACAGAACATGAGGAGCTGCTCGATCCCACACTGCTTCTTGCAACAGGCGTCCACCACATTTTCACTGCGAGGCCAGGAGGGGAAGGGATTCTGACTGCTGGCTCCTCCATCCCCACCATTTTTGGCCGATATGAGCTGCATCCTGGCCATTCGGTGGCGGATCATTACTCGCAGCTGGGTGTATTTGGGGTCGGTGCAGGCTTCTTGGAGATGCCACAAGAGGTTCATTTGACACTGTTGGAATTTCTCCTCCTCTTGATGCGGCGACAGGGTGGGTTCCGACCTTCGAACCGTTTTAAGCGGAAGGGGTCGTGAGGGTCGTGGGGGTCGTCGGGCTGGTTCCTCCTCGGACTGGGGGGATATGACTTCAGGGCCGTCGTTGTAGTACCCGTCCTCGCCTAGGCTCCCGTCTTCTTCCACCTCGCCATATCTCGAGAGAGGACTTCCCAACGCCACGACGACCATCCCCATCACGACGACAAGGAGGAAGCTCAAGGACCCCATCGGATGGAAATTTATTTTATTACGAGGAGGAGGAGGAGAAAGGAACAAATATTCTAAAATAACAAGTTTCTGATCTTATATTTCCCTGAATTTAGTTAGTAAAAACCTCTTCACTTTTCAGAACAAGCGTTATGTTTTTTCCATGTCTTGAATGTATGAAGGAAATCGACTTGCATGCAGGGATGCAAGTCGAGTACTTGTCCCCATTCAGCCACAGTTTCGTCCTTTTTATCCAAATTTTCAACCTCTTGGGCACACCTACGTGTGTGCATCCGCTTATTATGGGTCCACATCTTAACGTCGTTTATCCTGCTAAATCTTTTCATATAATTTGATGCGCATCCAGAATAAATACGTTGCTTATTCCACGTCATACTTCCACTTAATTTGTCCCAATTATCGTTTTGCGAGGAGGCTTCTCCTGCTTTGATGTCTAATAGGCATCCTTTATCCATAGGTGATTGGCTTAATGTCAGGAGTCCTTCCACCATTTAAGCTGGATGATGATGAGCTAGTCACAAACCGGAAATAGGTACGGATCCTTTCTTGTGCATATACAAGTTCTCTCTTGATTTTTGAAATAATGTTTCTCTTCTCCCACTTTTTTGCAATCATTTTTTGCAATCATTCTAATATTGCTCGGGTTCAATTCGACGGAATCGTCGCGTTATAAATAAGTAATCCTCAAACTGTGACTTGAAAAGGGGAATAATTGTCGTTACAATTATTTCAGCTAGATTTTCATTTCGTTGCATATTCGGACACCCAAGCACGTACGTATTTTGGGAACTGCAAAGAAAATTACGACTCCATTCAAAGGATGTGCATTTCACAAGACGACGGAACCCAGATTCTTTGAGCTAAAGGGCACAAATACTTAAGTAAATGCGTCTTGAACATGCATTTCAGAGTGAAGGTGCATATTCCATCTAATCTGTATCTATTTGCATATAGTTCAAAGAGTGAAAGTAATCATGGCACAAAATAAATATGCTGCTTTTGGAGGATGGAGTTACCAGCCAAAATAATTGCATGCGATTGTGCAACATGAGATTGCAGTAAATTAGCAAAATCGTTTAATCTCTTCTAAGATTGATTATAATCTCTTCATTTGAAGGTGATGATTTGCAACGCTTCCAGAACAATCACCCGAACTCGAGACCAATTGGGGAACATGTCCTGATTGAAATATTATAAAACCTTGCAAACTGAAAACAACTTCCAGAACAAAAAGTGTATGGAAATAGATCTGAAGATTTTTTATGATTTCCACTCATTTGGTTACATGTTTGTCATCTTTAACTTATGGTAAAAGACGCGTTGACCGTACATTTATTTATTTATTTATTTATGCTTAAATTCAATTACACGTGTGCACACTGCAAAGATTTGTCTTTCTCTCACTTTTCCTTTTCATTTATTTCACTTAAACAAATCATTAATCATTCCACAACATATTGACATTGTTCGCCATTGTTCAGCCGATCGATGTTATATTGCATTCAAACCCTTCATTGCCATATATTTATTTCTCTTTTGTGATTATTCGACCAAATTCAGAATATTTTTCTATTTCTACTTAGAGTTATGTTTTTCAAGATTGTGACTTGTGCAGAATGCACTCCATAAATCAAATCAGCATTAACACCACCACGAGTACGGATACATATGTACACACATAATACACGATTACATTACGTTACGTTACACTACAAAATGGTAAGTCTCTAGCTTCTTGAAACAAAATCGTAACTTTAACCAGAAATCGATAACTACTTAACAGGTACATTAAACTTGAACTGTTAACCTGCATGCAAACTATTACACAAAAGTGAGCACTGATTTCAAGGAAAAACTAGCAATCAGAATGCAATTAGGATACTAGAAAGAAATAGATTTGCTAAAATTCTATGTGCGAAATATGCTAAAATTTACACTACCTATGTATAAGTTACTTCTTTTAAGAAGATGTGTATTTACAAGATGTGATCACATACTGATTGACAAGTGTAATAAAAACTGTCTTAAAAGCTAGCTATCAATACAGAGTGGATAAATAATTTTGGAACAGTGTCAGCCACGCAAGGAGAGCAACTGATCCCAAGGATGTCTCGAACAGGATGGACGATTGACAGGGTAGGATACTCAAATCCAGGAATACATACGTATAGCAATGTGTGAAATTATAGCTACTTAATTACGACTACCTACCTGCTAAACATCGATAATTATAAACTGCTTTTCCCCCAGTATTAATTAGAAAGTAGTGATATTCATCCACTCATAATAATATTGCGTACGGATGTGCAACAAATTAATGAATAGGGAATACTAACATTTCTAAATTAATTGTATGCTTTACTCACTAATTCTGTCTCTCACTAATTACTTACTAATACTTAACGTTATGTACATAGTAAACTGTAATTAAGTTATGCAAGATCAATGAAGTTGAAGACGTGTAGGACTAGACTGTATTACTCTTGGGTATATAGTAGACAATTAAGTAATATTTATGCTTTAGCTCTAAGAAATCCTTCCGCGTGTCCTCCTTCACACGTGATCACTGTACAGGTTGGGAGTCCAGCGCTAATTGTTGAAGAGGACGCCTTCATGAGTGCCCAGACCGAATCCCACTTTGGTTTCGATGGGGGGGTCCGTGACGACGGATAGCTTCATGTGAGGCCCGCCTGCTGTTGCTGGGCTCTCTTCGGGGTGAGGGGGTCGTCTGTGGGTGGCATGCGACCGCGTGGGATGGGTCGTCCGCCGATGGAAAGAGGGCATTCCAAATATCCCCCCAGAGGTCGTCGTCCCACCCTGACACCAGAATTCGTTAGTGAGCTTTACGGTTAGGTTACGGAGAGTGCAGGATGGACAACTTTCCCGTCAATTTGCATGCACACATTTACTGGGAAACACCCTTGTTAGTTGATTACGAGAGGAAAGAAGAGTACATACATTGATGAAGCGAGACGAATTGGGGATCTGGAGTCGAGACGATGGCGAAATTCGACCACCCGACATTTCGTAAATTAGAGGTGAGTCGGCAATCCTGGGGGAGGACTGAGGTTCCTGTTCCGGTGCCGACTGTTGCTCCGGTTTAGCCGGAATGATCCAAGTCAGCATTCGAAGCAGGTAGGGGTAGATCTGAGACTGCTCCTCCTGAGTGGGTTAAGTTTAGGAACAGATGAAGAAGGGAAACAGGGACAGTAAGATTTAATTTTTTACTTGTTTAGTGAATTTCGGAAATATAGAAAATGATATGAAAAACGATAAGTTAATAGGGACCTTACAAAGAAGAAAATGAAGAAACTGAAGAAAAAAATGGCAAGAAAAAACTAGTATTTTAAGCAAAACTCGTCTACAACTGCTACAATAATGCAGATTACAGATTATTGCAACCTTTGTCATCTTTTGCAGTCTTCTTGTTGGCGAGCATGACTTTACGAGAGGAGAGATCGTCTTGATTTTCCCCACTGCATTTCCTCCCCCGAAATTCTTGGTCCTGTTGGTGGTGGCAACCCTGTGCTTCTTCCCGACCCCTTTCCGACGCGAGGACCCTTCAACCTGCCCACGCCCACTACATTTCGGGTCGTACAAGCAGCGAACGGCTTCCCGAATGAGGTTAACTCGGATCTCATCCTCAGTTCGGGCAGGAGACGACCTGACGACCTCCTGACCCCAAGTGCTGCTTCGAAGCGAGAGTCGATGCCGGGATAGGAGTTGGTTCCACAATGCCTGCTGCTGATTCCAACCAAGAGCAGCAGCAGCAGCAGCACATGAAAAAAGCAGCAGAGACAAAAAATGCATAGCAATGATCAGGCCAACAATTTGCACATTGATTTCACACAAAACAAACACAAATTTTGGTCCTAAGTGAACTAAATTGAATGGAGGAGCACACTTATCCCGATGGGATTGTCTAGCTTACCGGCAATATTCGGGATGGAGGTGGGGGTGGTGGTGTCGTCGTGGTTGTTGTAGCAGGTCGCCCCTGGCCTCTTCTCATGCACACCCATAAAAAGTAGTTTATTAAGTGATCCACCCATCTAAACCATGCTTAACTAGATGGATAAATACGACTGATGAACTACCCGAGTTTACAAAATTGGTGAAATTCGTCCTCCGTGCAGGCGTTTCTGCAACAAGCGTCCACAATGTTCTTCCTCCTGAAGTCCAAATATGAGGAGTCCTCGTCTTCCCTTAAGAGCTCGTCCCCATCGTCGTCGACGACGTCATCGTCAGCCTCGTCACCCTCCTCGTCGTCGTCCCCCTTCTCGTACCCCTCCTGATCCACGAGGCGCGGAAGTCGGAGCATCATCATGTCCCCACTCCGTTTTCTGCTCTCCCCCCCTCCGCCCCCTCCTCCGAAGCCCATCATGTAGCGGAACTGGGAGGGGTTGCGACAGAAGAACTGGATTCCTAGGAGCAGCCGGTCTGAACAAATCATGATGCGCCTCTCCTCCCCGGTGGCGAAGGAGGAAGCGGCCGGATGGGGACTGCTGTTGCCCACGAAGAGGAGGAGGATGGTGAGGGTGAGGAGCAGCGAGGTCCCGGCCAAAGTGGTGACCACACTCACGGGCCTCTGACGCTGGACGTGGTCAGGTGGGTCTGAACTCCTCCCCATCACACTGACAGATCTGACAAAGGACTTTTTCAGCTTTCGGGGCAAAATGATACCAAATGAAAGGACTCTTTTTACACTTTTACGAGTTGCCCACTTTTACAGAGTGGGCAAATTATGCACCCTTTCTTTGACATAAATACCTCCTATGTTAAACTTGACTTTTACCCAATTCTTCGTTTACTTGGTGTCAAATTGACAGCATTAAACTTAACTGTTTACTTATGTCTGCATGTGTTTACCAGTGCAACTAGCTCACTGCGAAATGTTCGTTGCAACCAAAAATCTCAAATTACCTTCCGAAACGCAAGTCGCAAAGACATTGCAATATTTGCAATTCCTAAACTTGTTAAAGTCTAAATTCATAAAAGTTTTAGTCCGTAAAAATCCCTGTCTGATGCAAACACGGAAAATCTAACCTTTTATAGTTTCTGCGTTGACTAGAAAAGTAGAAATAACATTTTTACATTGACCTTTTCAGATGAGACAAGTTTCTGGAATCGCTCTGCGTGCGTAACAGAAATGAGGAACGAGTCGTGTTTCAAGTACTTTCTCTCCATTAGACGAGTGGCAAAATATGTGTTGACAGATCGTGCCGTTACCTGGGATCTGGTGAGTTGAGGTGCCTTTTTCCGAGACCACTTCCTCTGGGCTGAATTAATTTATGCAGCGTCGCGAATAGTCTCTCCTCCGGTCTTCTCCTTCTGATGAGTTGTTGTTGTTTAGTGGCCAGTGGCTACGAGCGTTGTTCCCGAAGGGGAGTGCGGGCTCACCCTTTTTATCCAGAAACTGACGGAGACGGAGATCTCAAGAAGACGGTGGACCTCCTTCTTTTCCTCCCGGTGGCAGCCTGAACGTGTCGGGGTTGCGTTAACGGAGTGCGAGTCAGCGTCGATCCGTCGCCGTCGTCGTCGTCGTCATGATCTCTACAACATGAGCTTATCCGACCCACGGTGTACAAAATTCATTCACATAATGCAGTGCGAAACCTTCTACACCTACGCACCTGAGGAATATGCACGGGTAACATGATGTGCAAAGGCAGAGCTGCTACCCTACCACCTCGGACTCATTCTCCCCATGTCACTGGCAGTGGTGGAAGGGATCAGATCCGAGTGGAAGTAACGCTTATACCGGTGCTTGGTGGTGGTGCTAAGAAAGCATTATCTGCCTACACGGCACTCCAACAAACCCAGCAAGAAGGCTCATGTTCGTCATAGCTGCATAAAAATTGGGACGATTTGCCCAAGTATTGCATAACGAGGGAGATATGTATGCATATTAATGTGGCCATATAAATAGGCCTAGAACCACTCCTAAGCAATCTCAACTAGCAACGTCTCCCAGTTTTAATTTAAGACTTGGCTGTTAAAGGAGCCTAGAAAATTGCCAGAGATCCACTTCCGGTGAAACGGATGTTATGCAGAAAATGCATAAAATAGAACATTGTTAAATTACATGATTCAACAAATGCACTTGTGCACCCATAATGAGCACCACTCCCTCTTCGAACGGGTAAGGTTGTAATTTTCTTGGTCACGTCACAGCAGGGCATTCAGGTCGGAATTAGATTTCCAAAAAAAATATCAATTCTCCGTTCTTTCCAGCCAAAATGGGATTCAATCCAGCCAGTCATTCGTGCAATTCGATTTCATATGCATCAATCGAAGGCAGAATTGCATACAGCCAAACTTTAATGATGATGACACATTTTTATGATCACAGACTTAATTCTTTGCGTGGGTTATAGATCTATGGGACGAAATCTGCTCAGAATCCACCAAAGCGGAAATCTGTACCTCGTCGTCTGAGGGTGCTCTCTTGTTCGAAGGTTGTCGTCACCCACCACCATCATCCTGTGATCAGTCAGAGCCAATTACGGGTAATTTTTGACTGCAATCTAGTCAACCCCACAGTATCGTCACCATTCATTTTAATCATTCAGATATTGTCTGAAATTCGACTCCATTTCCAAACTCACGCAGTGTGCGAGTGTACATATGAAATGTATAAATGCACGAGTCCAAAAATCCCACAGGTAAAATTTTGACACAATCCCATTTTACGGGCTTTAATCTCACCTACCACTGTTTGCGTATGCTTTAACGGAGTGAAACGTGACCCCAGTTTTATTCCGGGTGTCGTAATAATCTTGTAATAAATGAAAAAATCTCTTTGACATGACATTTCATATTTCAAATTTCAACTCGTAAAACAATCTCATTTTCCTTCTTTTTATTTCATTCAGTTCCACCAAATGCATTTATTTATTTTTTATTGTTTCATTCCATATTTTATGTCGTTTTACGATTGCGTATACAGAATGACGACGACGTTGATTCATTATTATTACAACCGTCGTTGTACATTTCTTGTACACGGATACGCCTCTTAGCGAGAAATTTTGTACAGATTGTGTTTGTACTCGTTCCAGTTCATCCGAGTTCCTTATGTCCTCGTAATTAACTGCACAAACTTATTAATGGATGGGAGTTGAACCATGCCACCACTTGTATTTATGCACCATTTATGCACCAAGTCCGACTTTTGGAATTATGCCATGCCAGCTTTTCCTTTAGGTTTTTGCCCCATAACCACCTGTCCCCGTGAGTGAGGACGTGGTGAAAGATTGCGAGGTGAATGATTTGGGGGTCGCAGTATTCATTGTAAGATGAATGTAAAATGAAATATACGAGACTATTGGCTCTGGGTTGGGAACAAATTGTATTTCGACATTTTCATTACTTTCGTTGAATACATTTCTGTATTCATAAGAGAGCGTATTTAAGTAGGAAAACTGGAAGATTCCACGTTTCGGGTAATAGATTTATTTACACGGTTCTATTACATCACATTGATGGATTTTATATGGACCTGCTGTTCCGTATGAGCATGTAAAAGCATGTGAATTGCCAGTCTGTCTGAAGGAGGAGGACGACATTGATTTTTTCCCGTAATTTCCGACAATGACGAATTCTGAAGATGGCTGTGAAGGAAGGAAAAGGATGAAGAAGGTGGATTTATTTTGAGTAAAAAACACAAATTTTCCCATATTATCATCCATCACGGCTTTGCTCCATTCAATTTGGATCCATTGAGAGAGTGGCAATTAGAGAGGGGCGAGAGGCGAGGCGTGCATGTAACCAGATCAGGGTCAAGTTACTCCTCAAGTGGTGCATGGCAGAGTGGTGAGCGTCTCCCCTCGCCTCTCAACTACTTTCTCCTCAACAGCCTGCTTATTACACGGAATAAATTTCTCTCATCAGGAGAGAGGAGGAAATCCTTTTATTTCCAACATTACACTTTTTTATTCAATTTCTCACATTGTCATCGTGTGTGTGTGTGTGTGTGTTCTTCTTGACGACATTTTTTGTTGATGGCACAGGTACATTTCTTATCAAGATGGATGACATAAACTTTTCAAAAGTCTATGCAGCAGGTGAAGGAAGGTGACTAATGTCTCTACTATTTCTAAATATATTACCTAATTATTATTAGTTGTTGTTATTATTATTTTTGTATTATTACGTTGCACAACCGTATTTTTATAGTTATTTGATTTTTCGTACTTTGCTTCGTCACCATAAATACATATCAGTTACAATTATTGCTCCACTGTCGTAGTTCGTTACTCAAGTTCGGTTTGGTATCATCATCATAATCATCGTCAGCAATCATTGCTTATTTTATGTTCATTCTTTTTTAACAAATCTACATAATTTAAAGGTAGAAGGGACTCAAGGTAGTGAAATGAGGAAGTGGGATTCTCAATATGATTGGGAAGATATATACAAGAGAAAGTCCAGCCATCAAATTACGTCTCATTTTGGAAATGAGAAAAGGGGGTTTTAGTTTTAAGTGGTTTGGTAGGCGTGTATTTAGCTCAGGAAGGGAAAGACTTTGCTTTGAGGTAGCTAATTAATAAATACGTATCACTATCAATTAGTGCTTTGTAGTTTTGTTGCTGGTTACATACTTTTAAACGAGTTAAATTATCATTATTATTATTACTATTATTACACACTTAGGATTAGCTGTCTGCTTGGTTTTTCTGCATCATACCTGCTGCAATCGTGTCGTTCTCCTATTCCATTTTGTAACAAGAAGTAACATAGGTAAAAACATTGATATATGTTTTTTTTCTTCTCTAATCAGGGTCTTGTTCCATCCTATTTATCTGAACACGTACCATTAAAATGTACTCAACCCTTGCTATCTGTATTAAATTATATATCAGATGTACCATGATAATACAATGTTGATTTAGTACTACTGAATAATAGCAAAAATTGTATAAATGCAAAGCTAAATGGCTTTAAACAAGTTATAAGTATTACCTAACATATAAAGTGTTGTACTTTTCCGTGTATTAGATAAATGCTGCAGGCAGAATGTATAGTAAAATAAATATGAGGAAGGCAAATAATTAGTTGTAACCTAAGTACAAAATTTAAGAAAAAAACACGAATGAAGCAAAAGTTTAGTTTGACTTTGAAAACTCTGACTAGAAATTATTAATATGGATTTGGTTATTGGCTCCTGAGATTTTGTGTAATGTTTAATCAATGAGATTATCGGATATTTGGGTACTCGTAATACGTATTAGTTATTACTTGTAGTTGGCAATAATACTGGTTTAATTTGGTTATTATACTCGTAGGCAAGTAGGGGCTCAAAAACATGGAGTATTTCAACAACGCCAAGATTCGAATAAGTGTTAGATACAGATGTTGATAGTTTTTCTAATAATGACTTGAGCGATGAGTTGGATTTCGTTATGTTTGGACATTTCCAAAAGTTCCGGGTGGAGGTCGATAGGCTTTCGGAAGTGCAAAAGCTTGTAAACTATTGAACGCATATTTTCGTTGGCCAATATTTTTCAGTGTGTTTTCTCTCCGGCATCCCTCACTGAGAAGACAAAAAAAGGACAGCGGCATATTACACTAAGAGAAATTACGTATCACAAATTGATTTGCGTTTAAGTACCTTCGCATAGCGTCCAGCGCCAATTGGAATTCATGCTCGGCCAAGTCATATTCATGACTGAGGATTTGAGCCTGTTCCAGTGTCACCGACATTGACGTTCGGTCTTTCCCACTTTTACAATTTGTGAATCGAAGACCTGCATATAATTGGGACAAGAATGTGCGTTATAATTCTCGAAATTCGCCTACGAATAGGTTTATCTAAGTTTGTTCACATGTTACCCATGAGAGCTCGACAGATTTGAGCAGAAAAGTGGATAACGTCCACATTCTTTTTCTTCTTGGACAATAACTCAGAGTGCATTTTGTCCAGCAAAATGTCCACGTTAGGCTCAGCCACTTGATTTCCTACACGAAAGAAGTAATTCATTTATAATTTAGTATTCTGCTTCTTTGTTTTAAGGGAAAATAAAACCATGTATAACTCTCACTTTTTGAAGTAAACTTGACTGGAAGTGTCAACTTTTTAAACCTTCTGTAGTATTCGTTGAGTCTTGCAAAGTTGTCGAGATTTCCTTTTTCTTGTGGCTCCATGTTGGCCAACCTCTCGGCCACGGTGGCTTGCTCATTGATACCAATGTTGAAGAGAACGGGCGTAACGAGAAAGCTTGTAGAACGGGAAGAGTCGACAGGCAGCATGGAGAAGACGGCTTCCTGCACCGGGAGAAGGACCTTGAGTCCATTTCGGGACCCATGCACTTTTGGGGTGGGATGCTGACCATCTTCACGTCCAGCACTCAATACCAAGACGAACTCTACCGTTTTGAGGTCCTCAATTGCCACGACCATGTCATTCAACATTTCTGCCTCGTTGGAGAAGCAAGTGAGGAAAGAGTGGAATGAAACGAGTGGACCCAGTCGTGTGAGGATGTAGAGGAAAGATGGATCCGTCTTGCGACACCAAAGCCGTCCCATGAGTCCGGTAACAAGACAAGTTAACTACAATACGACAAATTACAGCTCATTATCATCATCGTTAATTAGTATAATTTATGATAACCATGCTCTGTTAATACTCACCGCATGAGAGAAGCAAACATCCCTCCGATACTTAACAATGTATCCTAGTTGTGCTTTTTCATTATCTTCTTGCAATCGAAATATCGAGTGTGCCAGTCGTGACGTTTTCAGTAGACCGTCCATGGCCAGGCGCAATTTTTTCATGGAAGACCGTAGTTCTTCTGACCAGTCCGTGGTGTTGGTAGAACTCGAGTAAATCATTGTACTTGCAGCCGTGTTGCTGTTGTTGTTATTCAGATGGGCTGGAGGAGGCAAACTGATCTTCAATCCATTGCCTGAAGAAGAGTCCTCACGCAATGACTTTCTCCATTGGATCCCTTCCCCTCCACGAAAGAGAGGAGCGCCACCGGGTGGACCATGAACTGAGTGGACGCGATTAATGAGGGCAGATGGACGAAGAGAATGGTGTTCTATCTCAGCTCCCTAATGACAAAAGTAAAAATTGTAGATCCGGCGTAAAAATGGTACAGTCAGGCTACGATACACGTACAAATTTATTTATCTCTTACCTGACCACAAAGCACCTTGACCTTGGAATTAAGACTGATCACACTTGCCTAAAAGAAGTTGTGGAAAGAATGCCATGTTTACCCCAACAAACGTAATACAAAACTGAATTCTAAATCATTTTGGGATATAAATTTACTTCAATATTTAGTTGAGTCAAATCCCAGGGCTCTGGCTCTTCAGAGGGTCGGTAGTAGTTGGACGATGGGGAATCTAGAAATGATTTCACAATTTCGTCAATGCCGACACCAGAGTCGGGTGTTCTATCCTCAGAATCCTAAATGTAAACAACAACAAAAACGTTAATTTTCGGCATATTCAATCGTTGACATGTGCTTCGCAGCCACCTTGCATCCATTCTCGGCAGCTCGTTTCTTGAATAAATCCACAATCGAGCGCATCGGAGAGTTTGGCGTGTCAATGCCTTCATCCACCATGTGTCCTTGCTTCTCCTGTTGAGAGTCCACATCGAATTCCGTCTCGGTGTTTAGAGTGTCATATCCAGAACAAGAATTTGGGGTCAGTGACAACTTTTGTCTTTCGAAAAAGTCAAAAGCTTCTTCAATGAGGGTTTGATCACAGATAGAGAGCAGAAGTCGGCACTGTACGCGAGGAACAGAAAAAAGAACATCATCAATCTCCATGCACTTTCACCCACGATCTAGTTAGTATTCCATCCATGCATTCTCCCACACCACTTTAGGAATGGGAACAGGGCTCCAACCAAACAAGAAACTGTTGTGTAAGTTTCTAAAGCAAAAGAAACATATGACACCGACACTTTTGAGTTCTCACCCGGTGATAGATTTCTTCAACAAACTTGTGCATCCCAGTAGTCCGTCGCTCCTTGGCCAATCTCATGATAATTTGCATTCGCTCCACAATTTCTTTCCTGAGTCGTTTTATCCCTTGAACCGAGTCATATGTCATGTTCACCTTGTTGGATGAGTACCACCCGACACTGCCTCCCTTGCTCCGATCTCCTTGGCACTTGTAATTTTGGAGAAGTCTGAATAAAACAGTAAATAAATAAAATAAAATTTCCAGTTCAATTTCCAGCTTAAAAGGAAAATTCAACTTGTTCCCACTTACTTGATCAGCCCCCCATTTTCATAGCCCTGTGCATATGCAGTAAAGGCTCCACAGGTTAAATTGTCGTGAAATCCACTCTTGTGCAAGGACTCGTTCTGTGCCCAAATCCGTTGGAGATGTAAATTCAAGGGAACAAATTCATGGGTGGGATCTCCTTTTGCTGATGATTGTCGAAAATCCGAGCTTCCGGAAGAATGATGACCATGATTGAGTAAATTCTGTCGAGCGCTTGTGTATAAATTAATGAGCCAGAGGTGTCGTTCCAGAATCTGCACTTGACGTGAGTGCCAGGGTTCGCGTAGTTCACCTAAGCCAATCATTTCTTGGAGGAGTTCCTTCTCTTCCGCGATCCAGAGTGAGCTGATGGTTACACCAAAACATATTATACTTTCCAACGAATTGACTAACAGACCATTGTTTTTTTGCCCACTTACAGTAATTGTTGCGGAAAACTAAAGCAAAGTTTGGATTCTGCCATGACTTCGTGTAAGAATATGTCTCCTCCCAGACCGGAGTGAAAGCGATATGTCGCCATGTACGGGTTGGAGAAGAGATGTCCAAAATTATTTTGAAGTGGAATCTTCAATTTGCATCCCAATTTTGGTGGGAGGGATTGCGTCCGCCGGTGGGAATATGACGATGAACTCTGTATACAAGCAATCAAATAAAGAAATGATATCACAATTCCATTTGTCTGTTTGATCAAGATTCATTTCACTGTTCTTTTCATCTCTCTCGCTCGCTCTTTGTACAGGGGAAGTTGGTTGGCATTTGTAATAAATTCATCAATTTCACTCCGAAATTCAGCTTGGATTGCATTTTTCACGGATGAATGCATCCAATCCAATCTCACTCGAAATCTGCTGTTTCTCCAGCCAGAGGCATAACCCATATACTTTACATCACGTAAACCTATACATCTAATTAATCTGAGAAGCAGATCATGCTAGAGGAAGAAATAGAGAAAGGAGTCCCGCAACTTTCTCTCCTTTTTTGCCATCATATCTCATAGCCCAACTTGTGGAGTGGGATCGGAGAGCGGTGGTGGCTGGCGTTGGTGCAATGTATCAAACCCATAAATCCAACCTGTCACCCCATTTTTTACAAGGAGAGAAAGAAAGTGGGCCTTCATCTGCAAGTGAATCCACTCTACTCCCACCATAAAACCAGGCTCAATCCCGATTATCCGGCCAGAGAGAGACGGAGAAATCCCTCTTCTGATACCATCTCCGTGTAGTTAAAGCAGTGGTAGGAGAGAAGGAATCAACTGACAGAAGAAGTAACCATCGGCAAAAATGAACAGTTTTCCACCCACTTTCACTCCACATGACAAGTCGACATGTTTATTTCAGAGTTTATCCTGCTCCCCACTGGACACACGCACACTGGCAAAGTTTCCACTAACTTTTACTCTTCCCAAAGTTACAGCTTTACTCTAACCACAACGTAACTCTTCTTATGCCAGGATAAGTAAGTCGTCGTCGTCTTGAGTGTCTATGCCTTCTCTGGGATTTCTATCTTTCTCCGCAAATTGTTAGAAATTGAAATTGAACCATAATTCTTCCCTCACTTTCGTTTCTGCAGAGCTAGTTTAGCGTGCTTTATGGCGGCACAGTGAACGATGACAAATGATTCATGAGAGGACATGTTTAATTTTCTTCAAGAATGAAAACAAATGAGTGTCTTTCTGCTTACCAGGACGATGTGGCTGTGTCGGGGATTGTTGTGATGGTGGGCGTCGTATTTGATGGGATTCGGCCTGCAGGGTGTACTTTCCGTGGAAGATCGCTCCTCTCGCTCCAAGTTCCAGCAGAGGAGGGTGAGGAAACCGGGGTGGGTGTGGTGGTTCGTGCCGCTACTGCTACTGCTACCACTACTGCTTCGGTGACTACTAGCTGTCTGAGGTGAGATGGGCAGGCGAATTCGCTCAATGGATTTCAGTGAGCCGAGTTGAAGGGCGAGGTGACCCACGACGGTCACCGTGCTGGTAGTCAGTTCTCGAACGTCTTGAATGGTGAACCGCACTTCGGAGTTCTCTGTGAGACCGTCAGTCCCACGGAAGGAAATTGTGGTGAGGAACACGGGGTTGGAGGACCGCTAGAGTACATCAAAAATCGAGTACATTAGTCTAGAGGAAGAAGTACGACATCCACACGACTTTCTATCTGACTGGATAGCTTACATGGACAATTTCTGTCACGGCGTACTTAACCCATGACCCCGTATTCAAGTTCCTCACGTGTACAACCACTTTGGGGGATGGGGCTCGACCATGTACATCACATAAGAGGTTATCAGCAGATAAGGATATTTCACAAATGGGTGACTCGGACACATCTGTGACAATCAATTAATTTGAGTTGCTTGCAATGCTTTACTGTGGTCGCAACTAGAAAATCATTACCTGCTACATATCCGCAACTCTTGATCGGAGATACAGCGGATCCTTTTCTTGAACACGTTTCTGCAGAATATGCATGACTTAACCTGGCCTGGATTTCAGCCTTGATAACCTCCACCCGTGCCCTTATCGCGGAGAAGGATGCTGGAGAAAATGAGCAGAGGTCAATCACCCGTTTGGTAGAAAGCGTCCTCTTCTTCCACCATACTCTACTTTTAGTTGAGTTCCGTCAAGTCAAGTCAAGTCAAGTCAAGTAGTTTGTTATTGTTTAGAGTTTAGTTTTTTCTACAAACTTACTTTACTTTCACTTTTAACCCCCCACCACCACCACACCCACAGTCATGGAAAACAACAAGGAACTTCAGGTATAAGGATTCCCTTCTCTCTTTTCTCAATTTATTATTAAGTTACATATATTTTTTGTTTAGGAGCAGTTGGAGTTTCAACAGGAGAAAGTTAAACGATATGAAGAGGTCTTTGATGCAATTTTCCGTAAAACACAAGATACTTCTAGGAAGAGCATGAACACTGCAAACTCGGTCATCCAAGAGTTTAAGACAACAGTATGTTTGTTAAAAATGAAATTACTAACTAGTCATCTTTATTATGAATTTCTTGTTACTAATTTTTATAGGTGGAACACTACAAAACGATGCCAGGTCCTGTTTTTGAGCCAATAAAGGTGGAAAACTGTCTGATTAAGACACAAACAGGATGGAAATGCAGGGTGTGCGATACTCCATTTCAAGACAAATCTAAACAGCATGGAATAGATCACATCATGATAAAGCACATGTGTAAGAATAAATATATTAGTGTATGTAATATGCAGTTGCTATTTCCATTAATTAAGTTTGATTGCATTTTCAGTTCTGCAACCTTATCTCTGTGGAGTTTGCAACATTTCGTTCAGCGAAAAATATGGCTTAACTAAGCACAACAAAACATCACACATTTCTGTTCCTGAAGGTGCAAATCTCTATACTGAGGATAGTAACAAGTATGTTTCCTGCAGGATCTTCAAGAAAGATGATGATGATGGTAAAAATATGTCCTAAACTGTTAATTACTTAATCGAATGAATGCTGATTAATATTAAAATGTCTTCATTTTATGCACAGACGACAATCTCAAATCTCAACTCTACATGATGAAATTCTTCAAGAAGGCTGACAAGACCAAGAAAATCATCTACATAAGTATTGATGTCACCACTTACAAAGATGTGAAAATTGCAGCAGAACTACTCCGACAAAAAACAAGTTAGCTGCAGAAGCACTGGAGAGAGGAGAAATCCCTGTTGGTTGCAGCTATATGCATCTCTTTAAAGACGGGTATGATTTCGACCCTTCAGATGTAGAAGTTCTTCGGATTTATGGAAATAATGAGGCAACTGGAAAAACATTAAAAACCTTTACCCGAGTAGTTACCAAATCCAAGTGTTACCACCTCCCCAAAATTTCAATTGAAAGGATGACAAGTTGTGAGCAAACGTTACTCGACCAAATTGGGGCTTTCGTTTCTAAAATGCCGGAAAGAAATCAAGTTTTCTTCAACACCCAAGCGTGGAAGCAACAGAGTGGTGAAATTGGCTTGTTCGAACCGGAAGACACTTTCTCACCAAAACGAGCTAAATTAGAGTAAAAGTTTTATGATTTAATGATATGCCCAGTAATACTATTTAACGTGTCCTCGTATTTTAAGTTACAGATCTTAATTATAGTTTCTTTATGCAAAAGAACGTCAACTTTTGAGAAATTAGTAGGATATTCGTTAGATATTATTTTTAGTTTTTAAGTTGTTTGTTAATAAACCGTTCCTCAAATTGAATAAATTACCTGCCCCGAGAGCCTCCATCCAAGCGGTTCTCTCCACATCGGTGGACGCACCCAGGGTTATCACACCGCCGGAATGGAAAGCTGAATAAAAGTTCAATTAAATACATGTCTCTCCGTAAGCCGTTCGGAATAATATGCAATAATAAAAACTTGCCAATGTTGAAGCAAAAGTGGTGTTGTGCCACTTTCCCCGAAGTCGCCTCTGTCCCCAGGGCCACGCCATAATTTTCCAGCACAATCACACCCAGAGGTTCCGACCAGTGATCACAATTTCGGAGGTAGAAGAGGAAATTCCCACAGAGACGAAACCATCGCTCCGTTAAAGCTGGGGGGACATTTGTGATGATAATTTCATTAAGAGAGTCAAACTCTACGTGGACAACTTTCTACGTGCGAGGCGACAACGTGGTCCAAAATACACATTCACTAATCTACGACATTACATGCAATGCGCGTCCAAGCAACAATGTGTAATAACGAAAAGCTACTACTTTACTAATACTGGAACTACGTAGGCAAGTGTGCAGTGCGTGACATGCCATGCTTTTCGGGTAAATACCACAACACAGAAAGCTGTACGTGCAGAATTCTTGGACAATTTTTCTTAATCATTTTTAACCAGAATTTCTTACTCCACGAGCATATTTTTTTCTCGTTAATTGCATCACTACACATTTGAATAAAGTACTCATCATCATCATCATCTAAACAAGGAAGCAGACCGTGTTGGTGTTAAACATGGTGAATAAGGAAGTAGTGTAGCAGAGGAGAGAGACAAATTGCTTTTTTCTCCGTGTGAGAGACAGAAGAAGACGACAAGAGAGTCATTATTAAAAGCTGCTGTTAAATATGTAGTGCGTGCAACAAAACACGACTGCCTGAGTATTACTACTAATTGTATCCCTACTGCTGCTCACTACTAGGCATTCCCCCAGCAGTACAACTTTGCGCATACCTTGGGGACTGGGTCCGACACAACTGAAAGAGTCCCGTTTCCCCGTCGATTTTCGTCCTGCTTTTCACCAACGAAAACGTGATTACGTACAACATACACTTTTATCAACGAGTATTATTTGTGAACCAACCCTGTGTTGGATAATATGTAAATGTTTTAATTTATCTTAATTCTCAACATTCTAAATTCTTTGACAAATCTGTATTTTCCTATTTTTCTGTTCTTATACTCATTTCCGAGCAGTAGTAATGGGAGAAAGTCCATCTGTTTTCAACAACCCCACTTGTTCTCTCTCTTTCTCTCTCTCTCGGTAATGCTCCAACTCCTGCTTTCACTCTCGGCAGAGTTAGTTTAACTACAAAATCTCTGCTAATCTCCTTTCCTCTCTTGCTCTTTCACTCCTTTGGTCCAGACCCTGATGGACTTAATGGACTCCCAATTTCCAAACCTATCCTCATCTCCTTGGTCCGTCGCTTGAGACGGAGACTGAGGAGGAAAGGTTCTCAACCATGCACCCTCAGATTTCGATGCCCTTTGGATACTGGATTAGGTGACATTTTTCTCCATGACCCCACCTGCGCCCATTGTAACGTACGCCCCACCATAGACTTGCTGCATTTACAAACCTTCGCTGAAAATCCAATTTTGATCAGATTTTGATAATTTTCCTGATCCTAGATAGTTTTTTATCCTGTCCGACACCAAACTCGTTTTTTCAAAATTTTCGAAAATTTCCTGACCAGGAGTAAGACTTCGAATAAATCAAAATTCCAAAAAAATGAGTTTGGCATAAGAAAGCAACTTTCTTGGACAATGGTACAAGGATTTTTAAAATCTGGTCACATTGGATTTTTGATGCAGCTTAAAAAGACCGAAAACAGAGATTTTTTGTGGTCTTGGGCCCTTTAGGTGGGTGTGGCGTGGTAGGTTTTAATACGCTCACCTGTCCAAAGGACATCAAAATCTGGTAGTGTCGACCTCACAGCCTCTCCTCATGCCTGAGTGAGTCATTAGAAGCAGGGTTTGGAAAACCCCGGGGTTTTTGTAGAAAAACCCAACCCCTGGGGTTTTTCCGGGGTTTTTGGGGTTTTTGTGGGTTTTTGGGTTTTTGTGGGTTTTTGTGGGTTTTTGTAGATTTTGGGGCAGGTTGAACCAGAATTCCTAAAATTATATATTAGAGATAAACTAATTTTATATACAATTTTAACATGCAATTTTAACCGTTATCATTGATTTGGACTGTTACATCGAAAATTTATGTTTGACATGTAAATCTGGATATATGCAATCATATTTGGAAATTCAAGTCGCAAATGAAGATTCTCAAAATTTCAAGATGAAATAGAAAAGTTAATTAGCATTGATCTACGTTGTAGTTTAAGGGATTTTGTTTCAATCTACCTCAAAATCCTACAAAAACCCCGGAAAAACCCACAAAAACCCACAAAAACCCGCAAAAACCCCATTAAGCATTAGGGTTTTTCCGGAGATTTGATACCCCAAAAACCCACAAAAACCCCAAAAACCCCAACCCACAAAAACCCGGGGTAGCGAACCCTGATTAGAAGACTTTGGGAGAAAAAAGTAAAAACAAATGACTGATTTCTAAAAGATCCACAAGTTTTTTAGTATCGCTTTTACTCGTCTGTCGTTTAAGGTTTCTGCTGGATTTCAGACCCGTTTTCGTCTAATGGATGTAACGATGTGCGTAGGTCTGTGTGCAAAGAAATAAGTTTGTCCGTCTTTCAGGTTTTGGCGTGCGAGCAACTATAAACGATTCAGGATAATGAGTTCCAACTTTTGTAGAGTTCTTTCTTTTGGAGAAAACGTTCTATCTCTAATTAACAAAAAAGGCTGTATAGTTTCGTAACAACCAGAGGCATGCACAGTCGCACTACTTACTTTCTCTGTAAAAAAATACGCTATACAACCACAAAAAAGGAAGGATGCAAATTACAGGGCATCTTGCATTATACATATCATCATCGCATTTTTTCATCGTCACTATGCTACGTAGGCATACGGAGGCCAGAAATAACATATTCTCTCATTTCCCAAGACACAATCAACATTTAATGCATTCTTCATGCAAATTTGATTCTTTTATGGACGGACTCAGGCAAACTTTGCCCCCTGCTCACTTTTTTGGCTTTTGGTCTCCATTCTCCTCTATCAAAAAAAGCGTCTGGACATAATTTATTCGGCATTAATGCAAATTAAAATGCGTATGCTTTCCCCATTTAGAAAATATCTCAACTTCGCCTCGAGATGACGTTTTGATAAATAAATTTGCAATAAATTTCATGACCTGTAGCAAAAATACATACAGGAAGAAGGACGAGACCGACGGTGAGACGCAATTTTGAAGGAGAGAAGAGAGACCACCCAAAAATGTCGCAAAACTTTTTTTTTCTACAAACATGAAACTTGCAATACTTACTTTCACTCCTGCGAAAAAAGCTGTCCGACTTTTCCCTGAGGAGAAGAACGCCCTCTTTCTCATACTTGTGAGCTGGTTGGGAGGCAAGGGTCAGGAGCTCTTGCTTGTTGAATCGCATAATGAGAGCGACGACGACGACGACGGACAGGGATTCAGGTCACAATCAGTTCGTTATGGCCGCATCAGCCTATTAAACAAAGCCAAGCAACAATTGTTATTATACAAACACTTTTTTGTAAGAATCTGGTTTAATCTTCATTTCAATTTTCCACTTAAGGGGAGAAAGAGGCATTATTGTGTGGTTGAATGGGGGAATCAATTTTGCCTGGCTGCATGGCAGTGGAGAAGAGATAGAGTTTAATTAAGAGGGCACCCAAGAGGGCAACTTTACTGACTTTTGCACAAAAGAAAGTACAGTAACGAACCAACTTCCTCCTCCTTGGTTGTTTTTTCGATGCCCGTTTTTATCTCATCTGATCTTTGCTTTCTTATGTATTCTAAGCGTACTTTTACACGCGGAAAAATGAGATTTCTTCTTGGTCCTAGCGTAACTGGAGGAATTTTTTAAGACTTGTATAACACGAGATGTGCAATGAAACGCTTTACGTACGACCCAGACAGACGGTACCTAGGAGTATATGGTACGCAAGATAATTGCGGTTTGGGGTAAACTAGACGACACTTGAATAATTTAGCTGGATGCTGTCCTTACTTAAATATGCATAGGTTTCGCAAAGTTGAGTAATGAACCGTGGATGAATGGATTTATGTATAGTTGAACATTTCGGTTTGAAGAAAGGTATCCTCCTCTCATGCATACTGATTACATACGAGTGCACATGGTGACTGGAATAGGCAGCCCTTTGGCATGAAATCTGGAACAACGCACTGTGCATAAAATCTGCTTAAAAATAATCTGGTCAATTACACGAATTGTCCGGATTTGGACTGTGTAGAAGTTAGATAAGGTATATGACTGACTGACTACTAATCCAGAATATATATGTAGCAGTAGTGGACCGTATAACATTGCTGAATGGGAACATTTATGTCACGTCTTGATCCCGTAAAGGCCAATTCTTTGGTTCCATTCAACTTAATGGAAATGGCTACTTTGGTTTTTTTATTCAATGTTGAAATGAAACAGGTCCTGGCGATAAGATTTTCTTGGCCATGGCTAAACAATGCCCATAGACTTGGACATTAGAGAGACGTACATACATAGCACGTCTCTCTAATTTTACATCTCTAACCTTACCTCATTGTTCCATTAACTTTTAAGTGAAAGCTGCATGGACAACTTAAAATTCAATAGGTAAACAGCCTCCCAATCGCTATTCATTTCAGTGAAGCTCGTGCTGTGTTATTCACTGACCTTGTCTTCCACACTTGCTCAATATTCCCCACCACTCCGTCTCCCCAACGTCATTAGATTAATTTAAGAAAGGGAAATGCTTCACAGCCTCTCACGTTCTGCATACAGAAAAGCTACAGACGGACCACTCGACATTTCCGACATTTCATACTTTCCCTGCTTTTTTATATTACTGGCACCCCTCCAAACACCTCGTTAAGCAACAACAACAAATGATTCCATTATTGTTTGTAAATATCGATCACTCTCCTGATTGCACATATTTTACAGACTCTATTACACCCAGTTTTCTCACTTTTCATGTCCACCGATACTTACTTTCACTCGTTTCGCTGGGAGAAAACTGTGGACTGCTCCACACTCCTGCATACACAGAATAGAAACACAAAAAGATTGGCCTAACTGTCCATCTTCACGCTTGACGTGGCACTGCTCACGTAGGGGTAATACACACCACCCACATCCACTCCACTGCCAACCCGTGTGGGCACAATAATCATAATGGGAATGGCATCTTAGAATTTCTAAAGTTTTTCCCCTTTTTTCTCACAATCCGAAATAAATAAATCTCTGCGTTCCTCGCTACCTTCCTTTCTCTCTTGATTCATGAGGACAGCAAACACAAGGAATGACTACTCTGGTGTGCAGACGCTAATTGCAATGGTGGCCGTGATGATGATGTTGTTGTGCCCAAGAAACATGGAGGATATATATCCTGCTCCCAAGGGGAACCAACTATCCGAATCTCAAATTGAAAATTGATTCCCTTCCCGTGGGTCATGATTCTTGGGAAAGGAATAAGAGCCCAGCAACCTTTCTTTCTTCAAGAGTGCAGGTAAGGAAACCACGGGATGATGATGCTGATGGGGATAATGCCACACACCTCTCGTCCTCTCTGAGTGGGTAATAATTTTAAAAGTAAATAAATGATGAGCCCATGATGTTGATGGGACAAGATGAGTTGTGTTAGTAGCGAGTAAAAATTGATTTTCACTCGTAAACTGCCCCTTAGGGAGGATGAAATGGGAAAGGGCCCATTTTTTGGGGAGAATCATGCCCTGTCATACGACTACTTGTACCACTACGTACACCACAACGGCTGGGTGAGGTTGGTTAGGTATCGTCATCCTTATATCAATTCAATATTTTATTTTAGTGCTGTACATTTTTTCCAAGTGTAAGTAAGGCGGGCTGGGTTCGCATTTTTACGACGGGATTATCACACCAACTCAAGCTCTGCTACATACATGCCGTCACACACTCTGCAAAGAATGGCAACCCAAATAAGATGAGAGACGAGGAGAAAGTTTACATACGTAACAGGGCGAAGCAAAAATAACTTTTTGTATTCTGTTTTTTACATCTCATGATGACGACCATGTAGGAGAGTGAAACTATTTGAATATTTGTCCCTTGCTGGAGCTTCTCTCTTTTTCTTGGAAAAAATACTCCCTTCTTGGGGTTTCCCTTCTGGTACTTTTGGACGGATGGAATGACTACAAGCATACTTCAGCCTCAAGTTGGACTAGTTTCTAATGCGAGATTCTTGTCCTACTAAAACATTTCTATTAAACCAAGTTACATTTCCTCCTCCTCGCTTTTATTGTACGCTAAGTGACAGCAAAGTTGATAGAAGCTGATTAAGTTAATTAATTACTTTAATGAATTAACACGCTCACTAGTCGCATACATATATTTACATATCATCTTGTTACCCATCCGTCCAGTCATCTATCCAACTCCTCATAAAATATTCATGCTTCTTCTTCTCCTCCGACGGAAAATAACTAAGTGAAGGGAGACTCTTCCTTCTCCACGTTTGCACATGGATGCGGTTCATCCGTTATCCCTCCACCATCATCACACCACCATCGCCTCTCCTCCTGCTTTACATCTCTTGTGTTTCTCCATTAATTTTAATTTGCTTTCTCCACTCCCCTCAATTTCAGCCAAAGGAAAGTGGGCACACCGACCAAGCACCACCAACACCAACACCACCACCACTTGGAACGGAAGGAAGGAAACGAGGGTAAGAAAGTTTCACACCAAGAAAAACGTGGAGAACCAAGAAAGAAAGTGAAGGAAGGCAGGAGAGGCGCATACGGGGAGCTAAATAAGGCTTAAAAAATCATCTTTCTTTCTTTACTCTCGCCCTCTCCTTTTCTGGGCAAAAATGGATGCAAAAGACATGTTCATGCTATGTTAATAAAACGATAAATCAAGGACTTGATTTTATTTCACTTTCGCGACAAAATAAGAAAGTGAAAACAACAAAGTGCTCGGGGTAGGTATACGCATACGATTTCTTCTCTCTCTCTGTGCGACCACCCCCATAGTCTCATCTGTGGAGGACTTTCCATTTCAATTTATGCTTTTACACCACCACGAGAAGCCCATCTTCTATTCTGCCATGAACACACAGGGGCCATGTAAGCACGTCTTGTTTATTGTGACAATGATCATGGGCCAATAAGTAAAAAGTCGGATTCAGCCAGACTTGTCGACACCGGCTGCTTTTGGATTTCTCACCCCTTTACAACTCTCTCCCTTCTTTCTCCTCGTCGCACCCACTTCGTCCTCTTCTGGACCCATTTATTTATTACTATTGCTTGAATGGGATTAGCACAAAGGGAGGACTAAGGAGGATTTGGATCATGCGAGAAGAATTCTCTCGCTCATTTTCCTTCCCTACTAAAGCCCTCGCATACGTAAATGTAAAACCTCCATTTCCAACACCACCACCAAAGCAAAGGAATGGCAGAAAGAAAGAGAGAGAAAGTGAACGAATAGTGCAATGGAATGCATCCAGGCTGAGCCAACTAAACCCTAAAATCCTTGAAAAATAGGGCTTGGCTTTTCTTCTTATTTCTTTATCCTATTTCCCTCTCCTGTTCTTCTCTTGTTCTTCTTGTTCTTATCTTCTTAGTGTATGTACTCCTACTCTGAGTATAACCTGAAGTTATTCTCTGCAGTCCTGATTGAAACATTTTTCATGTCTCTCTCTCACTCTCTCTCTCCAAGAAAAGTCTCAAGCACTCTCATTCTCAACCAACAAACAACCTGATACGACCCTGATTAGAAAAAAAGTCTAAATAAATATCATTCTCATTCCTCCCTTCACTTGAAGGGATACGAAGCGATACGAAGTATGTGTAATTGTTCCACTTACTGCACATACAATTATAAGTCGTATATATACTTGGGTAGCAAGAAAACCACAAGCTTTGACTCTGCTTGTAATCGTTCAGGTTGTGAATTATTGCCAGTCTGTGGACCAAAATGGGAGAAAAGTGGAAGATTGTGTGGCCTGACTTGATTTCTCGCTGCGACAATGGACCCCATTCATTCCATAACTCTTGGCTGAGGCAGAGGGAGAAAGCAGACCAACGGAGAAAGGGACCCACCAAGCAATTGCATCATTACCCTGCTAGTCAGGCTACCCCGTTCCTCGTCGTCGTGGTGTCGTTGTGGTGAGTGGAGTGGAGAGCTATACATGCCATCACCAATTCTTTAATTGCACTTGGATTTAATCTCGGTTAATTTATGGTCTATGAGCAGTGCCCTCATAGCAAAAGGCCATGAGACCGACGGGAACGAGCCGTCTGAGTCATTCTCGCACCCACAATTACGTACCTTACATCTTATTATTACCTCTCTCCCCACCATTTCGTCCCTAGCATTACTTTGCTGCGGTCTACGAAACACGGCCCAGCGAATTTACTCGAGTTCCGCAACATTTCACTCTTCATCCTCAAACTCCAAAGTAGTTCGCACGAACGGCACAGCGTAATAATGAAGTAAGAGGGTGAAAGTTAGAGGTGGAAACAGAGTAAAATCCGGGTTGGTATAGGAATGGTATAGGAATCTACAATTATTTTTGGAGGTTTTTTACCTGCAAGAATAGAGTCAGTCACGACATAACGCAATATTTAAATAGTTTCGAACTTTCAAAACCACCCAAAAAAGGTGTCTGCCTATAAACCATTGCGCACATTATTATTGTTAAGGTCGGTTGGACCGAGTTAGTTCTAGGAGCTGAATAAATGGAGCGGAAGAAGGTGATGATGAGTGTGTTTCAGCATAAATTACCTAAAATCACCGCATAGTAGGCATGCTCTCGCCTCTCTCCCTCCATGCCTAACTTCCTTCTTCATCATCCTCATTATTTTAATCAAATCAGTATCAAGGGAAATGATGATGCCCTCTCTTCTCTCCTAAACGGTTCAACGGGCATGGAAATCATCAGCATCCTCATCGTTATGCAAGAAAGCGGAAGAATTATTCACGAGAATGCAACCCTGATTACGACATGTACGAATTCATTAAGAGTAGAGAGAGAGAGAACTGTTGCCAGACTCGTTTGGGGAATGGGAAATAGTCCAGGATGATTTCCGAATTGATTTTATTTTGTAAAATAGAAAAGGATGATTAACTCACCATTTTGGAACAGGCTCCAATATTCGTCCTGAGGGAGGAGGGGAAGGGTGGTGTCAACCTTAGTTCCGAATGATAGCAGTATAGCAAATCATTGAAATACTAGGAATTGGACTGTCAACTCGTCGTTTATAGTCTTGGATGAATGACAGCAGCAAAGCAAAAGTTGTGGTTTTGGTTTTCGCAACCAACGTTTCTAAAATTCCATTATTTCTCAAAGAACAAGGTAACCGGAAGGGGAAATGGGAACGCTGGGTGGTCTGGTCTATTGGTGATAAATCCATTCTTTCTAGTCGTCCCCCAAGTTAGTTAATAATATACAAATATATATATTATTCCTCCTCACAAGAGTTAATTCGCAACGACAACAACATCAACTTTTGACAGGGTATCAAATGCACCTCCATGCTTCATCCCCGATTAAATAAAGTGTAGCCGTGGTGGGCAGTTGTGTACTGGTAGATGGATGACCGTTCAAGGGTGACGGTGGCGAGTCCAGTGTCGGTTGATGGATGTGACGACGAAGAAACGGCGACTATTATCGATGACACGGATACACTATTGTTTCCCTTGTTAAATGTCACCAGCTCGATGTTTTGATGGATGACGATGAGGATTGAGAGAAATCTGATCTTTTTTACATTTCCATGTTTTTGGGAAGCAGATTCTGCTTAGCAGAGTGTATGGAGTTCTATAAATGGAATGTAGAGCAGAACCAAGAAAAAAATGAGGTGTTTTGTAATATCGTCCAATGTGTGTACAATAACTGACTAATGAAAGAACAAAATGGAGAAATCTTGTATTGCGAATACACTTTTTCTTAGGTGAAGGAAAAGTAACCATAAAGTGATCATGTTAAAAGATCACCATGGTTACGGCGAAGCCTAAGTATGCATTCAGCTGCAACTTTGAAAAACTCCCACTGAGATTTCGCCCGAACCGTTCATTGCATCGAAAACATGTTGAAACAAAAAAACTAGAGAATTCTGTTTTACAGAGACATTTTTCTTATTTTTCCAAAATTCCAATTCCTTCAGGTAGAAAGTCCGATGTCTAAATTTTCAAATCTATTTCTTGGCACCAAGGAAATGTTTCCGGCCGGGGGTTTGCCATTTTTATTATTCTCCAGGATAATACGCAAATTTTAAGCCTTTGTTCAACTTAATCGGATGAAAACTCACGGAATTAGAGCTTTTTGAAATATTTGCATTAAGCAACCTATTTACGTATTTACGTGTTAGGTTACTGGTTGCTAACGTGCGCTAATAGTTCATTTAGCATCGCTATTCAATACTCAACATATCCAATGTTGCTAGACAATCGAATTACGTTATTATTAGATCGCTAAGTGTCAAGGCATGTTGCAACAGAACAATCCTTAAAATTTAGAAACTGGGGAATTAAATTGGTATGCCACGCATCCACACTCACTGGGGGATTAAATTTGTATGACACGCATCCACACCCACTGGGGGGATTAAATTGGGATACCGCGCATCCACTCACAGGAGAATTAACAACGTTTAAGATTTTATAATTACATATGATTTTATGGATATAAGTTCACAAATCACTAAAAATAATGAAATAAATAAACTTAGGTGAAGGACGCGCTTAAAATATTAAAACAAGAAGCATTAAAAAATGTCATAAATCGTTTAATATTTATTAACTTTTACTGCACCGGGGCCCAACTAACACAGGAAAAAAGTTATGCTTTCAATCATTAGGAACAATGAATCGAAATACGTAACAAGTATGTTTTTGTATATGAAACTTGCAAGATTTGAATCGTTATCTTTCAATAAATCGCGACACCTCTTATAGAGGAAATTTGCTCATGTTCTGGCGTATTTTAATAACTCCCCTGTAATGCTGCACTTAATATTTAATCAAGTCGTTGGTTTAGTTACATTTATTGTTATTCATTGCTTTGAAAATTTAATAGTTGGGCCCCCGGTAAAGTAAAAGTTAATAAATATTAAACGATTTATGACATTTTTTAATGCTTCTTGTTTTAATATTTTAAGCGCGTCCTTCACCTAAGTTTGTTTTTTAAAGTTTATTTATTAAAAGTTGAATATGACAACAAAAGAAACTTAATACTTTAATTAAGAGAAAACAATTTTAGTACCTTGATGATACAGCCCAGTTTAATTTTTGCAGCAACTTCCTTCACAAATTCAACGTTTCCAGGATAAAGTCACATGAACCAATTTTCGCTACTTGCTGCACGCACCACTTAACCGCTTGCCCCTTGTTGTTTCCAGTCAAATTTGTAATTACTAATTCTGCACTTCTCCGAAATGTTATTCTTCCCATCCATAACCCACCGTGTTTTGTCAGATGATAATAACACCGGATGGTGGTGATGATGATGATGACTGCTTACTCCTCCTTGCCGGAATCAGACTGACACTTTTTACATCTCTCGAGCCAACAAAACATTTCACACAGCCGAAAGCTCTTTACTTTTTTTCTGCCATTCTATATTCCTCACAGTAGTGTGTGTATCCGTCTGCCGTGTAATAAATAATACAACAATAATGCAATGCGATGTAGAAGTCTGTGGGTATTAGAAAAATAAGTAAGTGTACACCACACTTTGTTTTGTGAGCAACCCGGTGTTAAAGTCAGAATGGATACATACAGATATACACTGGTCGTCTTGAATATACGTCCAAAAAAGCTGCCCCAGTCGCACCTTGTCTCTATTTCCTTTGTGTATGTAACACGACGACTATACAACTTTGTTGCTCAACTTTTTTTCTCAACTTACTGTTAAATTCCATGCGAGTGAATCATTCAAATTCGGCGTGAGTACCTTTTCTCGTCAGCTCGTTTTATGCACATTCTTGCAAGGTGACGACGACTATGATGTGATGAGAGTTTTTAATTATTTGGCAAGACTCGAGTCCATGATAATGATGAGGAGATGAGTTGACAATGGAATCAGGTGGATGTTTGCAGGTCGTAAAAAGTCAGATGGTTTTCTTTCAGTCGGGGAGTCAGATGGACCCGGACTCACCGAGAAACTCGGACTGGATGAGGAGATCTCTACCCGGATTCTTCACTCTGCTCTCTCCGAAATTCGGACTGGGACACGGGCTTTTTAACCTTAGAACAGTAGTGGAAAGAGAGAGAAAACTGCGCGTTGCGTCATAAAGGAAAGAGATAACCTATTTTACCTCTCGGCTTAGCACTAGCTTAGCATAATATTGGCCTTGTAATTGGAAATGTAATGAGAGATCTTATGATGGGCAGTGTGATGGCAAGTAAGTCGATATCTTTTGATAGCGAGATTTCATATGGGAGATAAGTAGCTTGGCTGTTTTGCATGAACTGAATATTTTAAGAATCTGAGCACATATCTCAATGTTTTTGTAGTTTTTTTTTACTTTTATTATCCCTCGTCTATTATTATAATCATTGATAATGACTAGTTTCTATTTATACAACACTACACTACTAAAAATTAAAATTCAAAAACTGGTGATTTTCCATGAACTTTTAGTGAAACTCGGAGGAGAGTTTCACATTGGACGGGTGGCCAGGGGAGTTCAAATCCTCAAGCTGATTTCTTCCTTTCTTCTTGGAAAAGAGAGGAGACCAATTCATTCCACTTTTGCACCTCGGGCGAGTTGCAAGCATCCACTCGTCACTCCGTCGTCCACTCGCACTTATCGTCGCCTTTCGATGCTCATCAATTGCACCCCACAACCTCACTCAGTTTGGCCCTTGCTTAAGTGTTCCCCAGGACGGGAACAGATTTGTAAGTGTGAAGTGGGGTTGTGCACAGCTAAAATTCAGTTTTTCTAAGTTTTTTTTAAATTCTTTACAATTTTCAGAGTTACGTACTATTTCTCCCCTTCATTCCATTTCATCATGGAGGAGAACGTCCCATTTATGAATGGAAACGGTCCTGTCCCCTCGACAGAACTGGATGATCATGAAGATGAATCATCAATAACTTCAGCCACATTCGAGATGATTGACACTCAGGCTTCGATAATTAGGGGGCGACCAGAACCCATTCCGTACATGCTACCTTCTACCTCTGTTGCCAGTCCTTCTTCAAAGACTTCACCAACCACGGCGACCACCTCGACCTCCACGGCGGCATCGGATGATGAGGGTTCGGGCGAAGAAGAGCTTTCATCCTTCATGGAGTCATATGATTGGGAGAAGGAAAAGATGAAGAAAAATCAGTTTTACGATGACGGAACCATGTCCTTCTTTTGGTTAGTACACAGTAAAATTGATACAGACCTCCTCCTATCTTCCCATTTGAGCTAAGTGTGATTAATAACTTTAATCTTTTGATTGACCAGGCGAGCTCACACCCTTACGACCCTTTTTCTCTTGATTGTCGTCCTCGTGCACGTCGCCCTCTTTGAAAATGCTGTGGAGGATTCAGAATACAATGCGAAACGGGGGATGATGGCGGTGTTGGGTTTCTTTGTCTTGATGGGGGTTACTGTAATTCCGGATGGACCTTTTCTGCGACCGCATCCAGCATTTTGGAGACTCATGTTCTGTTGTTCCATCGTTTACTTTCTTTCACTGATCTACTTGTTGTTTCAAGTAAGCTGTTTGCTGAAGATTTGTAGATTTTCATTACAATTGTTATGAAACTAATAAGATGAAGATTTATTTTTATATTTCAGAACAAAGACGATGCACGTAAATTGCTCAGAATGTTTGATCCATTGCTTGGAACGGAGCTGGAGGAACGAAGTTATGGAGGAAATTGTCGCATTTACGATTCTGACCTGCCAAACGACCCATTTCACAATGTTTGGGACAAGTTTGATTTGTTTGTTCCCATGCACTTTTTTGGATGGTGGCTCAAGACTCTGATTCTTCGAGATTGGTGGCTCTGCACTGTAATTTCAATCATGTTTGAGATTCTGGAGTACACTTTGGAGCACCAGCTGCCAAATTTCAGTGAATGCTGGTGGGATCATGTAAATGCTTTGTTATTATTAAAAGGCGATATGTACTTTAGAAAATTTATTATTAGTTACTAGAATACATATCAACACATTTTCTATTGTTATTTTCTTTGATAGTGGATTCTTGATGCCATGTTTTGTAATGGAGTTGGAATTTTTGTGGGAATTCAAACGCTCAAGTACTTTCGTGTTCGTACTTATCACTGGAGAGGTTTATGGTCAATTCCGGGATACAAGTAAGTTTCATATTCTTCTTAAAAAGGTTTAACCGTTTTTGATTAACTTGTATTGATTTCTATTACAGAGGGAAATTAAAACGTATCCTTGCTCAATTTGGACCACATTCCTGGATAGAGTTTGATTGGAAGCCCACCTCATCGTTGGGTCGGTGGCTTGCCACGTTGGGAATTATTTTCGCTGTAATTAACTTAATTTACTACAGCATTTTGAAAAGTCAATTTATTGAATCCAAAAAATTCTAGTTCCTATTGGCCGAGTTGAATACGTTCTATCTGAAATTCGTCCTTTGGGTCCCTCCTGGCCACTGGCTCAACTTGGTTCGACTCTTTGCCATCCTTTTCTGGGGAGCTGTTTGTCTTCGTGAGACCTTTCAATATTTGGATGATCCGTAAGCAACTCGATAATTATTTGATGTTTTCAAGTATTAAATTCCAAGAGTAATATGATTTTGTACTCTCTTTCATCAGTCAATGCAAGTCTTTTGGACGTCAGTCATGGATGGTTTTAGCAATAATTTCCACCGAGTTTCTCATCGTTGCTAAATTCGACTCTGTCACAATTACTAAACCAATTCCAGGGTATGTTGATACGATATTTTTAGAGTTTATTATAGTGACACTTCATCTATGTTTTTTTAATAAGTAACATTGCTATAATTCTTAGACACATTTCTCTGTTTTGGCTCATCGGTATACTTATCCTCGCAATTTGGACAATCTTGAACTTTGGTTACTTCCGACGAGTGGAAGATAAAGGGCCTGGTCCCATCGGCTCTTCAAAATCCGACTCACATCTCTCCATCCTCAGGAAAAAGGCAATCTTAAATGCTGCAGGGGGTGTTCCAGCAGTTCGCACTAAATCGTTTAATGTACACTTCCGACCCAAATCTTCATAAGTTAAGTATCAAATTTAGGAAATAGCCATAGCCCCATATTGTCAAAAAGCAGACTAAATTTTTGTTGAATTTTTGTAAATACTGGAATCAAATCAACTATAAATCGTCTACATCAGTAGCAAAAGTTATGAATCAATCAGAGCTATTAGCCTGGCTTACTAGGTGTATACTGGTAAATAATTCAGCTTACTACTATATTATATTATATATTTCCACCATATGAATCCAGTAATGGCCATAATTGTTTGCAATATTATATATAATTAATTAGTCACAAGTTTAGTCAGAACCGTCGAAGCCATGGATGTATACGCACGTAGCTCATCAATGCAAAATCATTCATAACAGAATATCCGAGAATTATATTAACCTCTTAATTACGTAGTGAAGTAATCACTTTCTCGAAAGTAACCCCACCAACTTTATATAACTTTTGTACGCCACCAGACAAATTTAAACTAGAAATCTATACATTTTTTTCTTATTCCTTCCCATGTTTAGCGTAGCAGATTCTTAAAAGTACACGAAAATTATGCAATAGACGAATCAACTTCTAAACGGTATACATTAGAAACAAGCTAGAAAGTGAATCTCTTCAAAGGAATGGTGAGATATCACCACTGAATCCGGGTATGGCAGCTATACTGTCATATATAATCTACGTACAATAATGTATGAATTTGTACTAAATGGGAGGGTGGGTGGGATCACGTTGTCGCCTATGTATGTTTCGGTAGTGCTTTATTCTACAAGGAACAGATGCAGACTGATTAGCTTAATGTATCAAAATGTGCCATTTACTAAACTATGTAACTAACTACTAAAACTTAAGAAGGGTGGTGAAGTAGTATAAGTTTAGACCAACTGTAGGTTGTTAGTTACTATGAGATATTAACGAACAAGGTCAACTCATGCATAATATTACCTACCGATTAATTAATTAATTAATGTAACACTACTTTTGTACAAGGAGTATCATACGAGTGAGCGAGAGAGAGAGAAATAGGATCGTACGATTAGCGCAGCACTTATCGACAAATCCGGGTTGTTGACTGGTAGATAATATTAACGTAGTGACTAATAGTGAAAGGCTGCTTTTAGATAAACAGAACAAGGAAAGATCTATCGTATACTTTTATATATCAAACCAAACACATTTTATTATCTGCGATGCTTCCCTTCCAGTAGAGCTGTCCAACATAGTGTTTTTACTTTTTAACCTTTACTCCAGGATGCATGGAGTCAGGAGGAGAGATATCTCTGTCTTTTATTAGTTTTATTAGCATTCTTTACTGATTCTTTACCTTTACTGATGCCAAGCCAAGACGATTAGAGAACTGTAATGAATGAGTCAGCCATAATAACGACCCATATACTTGCATACGCATATGTGGGTCACATTACATTGAACCTCACTTTTTTAATAATTTTTAACCGGATGATACTGGTCATTCTGCATTCGCTGTATTAAATCAGTCAAGGCTGATGGGTTTGTTTACTAAGATGCCATGACACGTGATAAAAACGGAAGGATGGCTCTTGATCTTTCTTGTTCTGCTGATGAGATTCTTCTTTACTTACTTGCTTCCATAAGGATGAATGTAGTGCCAAGCAAACAAATGAATAAAATCCGAGGTAGAAATAGACTGCTCAGGGAGACGAACATGTATGCGTAACTATTAAATAATAAGCATAGTGGTGAGTGAGTAATTAAATGAACAACTAATTTACACCCACCGTATTACTTAAGCTAATAGATCATATGATTTAAGAACAAAATTGTGAATTTCTTATGTTAAGAGGAAGGATGTCGCACAATCAATTAAAAACATAGCAAAACTACTGCTGTAGCTATTTTAAAAAAACTATGCTTTGGTATGGTGCATATGACTATTTGTAAAGTATGGGAAATTGTATAAACGCATTATAGTTTAGTGGATACTAAATTCGAAATTAACAATAATCACTATGGATCAATAATTAACGTGTTTAATTAGTCGTAGATTGATTGACATTATGCTTGGTTTTTGGGTTTTTGGACTTGGATTTTGGATGAGGCATTAGTTTCTTGACTAAATGGACGCACTTGATATTTTATGCAGCCTCATATCGTTTGTTTTAGCCAGATTGTAGTTTTATTATGTGTAGCTGTTGAAGGAAATGTTGACAAAATAAATATTGTGATACAGATAACACTGCTGCTGCTGAGGTCAAAGTTATTTATTAAAGAGATGAACATTTGTAAGTTTCATGACATACATACATATGCAAGTTCCACTACTGCACTCTTTTACAGACACCTCGAGAAGTTGTAAATCATAACATTTCAGAATAAATCATCAATTTCAGAATAATTATTATGAAATCTGCACGTTATGGATGGATGGTAATGAATATCATCGTATCACATTGTGTTCATGTTTCTGGTAAGCAGAGCACCCAAGATGAGAAAAATAACTGCTTGATTTTGTGGGCTTCGTGTTGGATGTCCGCCATTACAGAGTGGCGTCCTGCAAAAGCATTCCTCCCGAAATACGTGCTGATAGGTTTTTTCCTAGAAATACAGTTAGTGAGCATTTTTACAAAATTCCTTTCGCCCACGCGACAATTTTTGAAGAGGAGGAATACCTCGCAACCGCTGCCACCTTCTTTCCTCGTGATATCCCCGTTGGGACAGCCCCGCGTGAAGAAGGACAATGGTGGGCGATTGGGTGCCAGGCTGGAAACTTGCTCCTTGTCCTCCGAGGTGCCCCCACGCAGCTCCAACGTCGTCACAGGACCACCGAGATCTAAATCAAATTTAAACCCAGGACAAAAAGAAGCAGTGTCAAGATGAATGCTGATTCTAATATGTTTATCGTCCAGCATGATTTATTTATCGGTTTATCAAATTCACGGAGCATCGCTACCCTTTCATCTCGCGTCGAGTAAATCCGATTCCAAAAATCTCTACTTTGGAGGATTGGTATGTGTGGGCGTGTGTGTATAAACATGTGCTCACAAGGTGGTGAAAGGGCTAACGAGAAGTAACACGATTTAGAAATGGGGATAAAAATTTAATACAGCAGACCGAAAACGTGGTGGTCTGCACGACTGCTGGGACATTGTCATCAAGAGGATTATGCTCATCTCATCGCCAACTTTTGAGTGGGGCGTGTATTAAATATAGATAAATGAGATTTGAGTTATTGGATTCGACACTGGATGAAGTGAGATAATAAAGGTCGGAGTGATCTGGTTGGAGTATATCGTGTCTAGCATGACGTCGAGATCCAGAGACAGACAGACACACAAATTGCGAGAATTCCTTCAGTTTCAGCGTCAAAGGGCAGCCAAGGTAGTGCTGGCTGGCTGCTAGTTCAATGTACTCGCGTTGGTTGGTGGGGACATATCAGAGGGAAATGTCCAAGCCTTTGCTATCTCGGATCGCGTTCTGGACGCAGCCTGTGCCTGGCGAGAGGAAGGAAGGAAGGAGTTGAGGATGAAAGATATCGAATTGATATTTTATGAGAGAAGAACATTGGATTGGATGAAAATTAGATTTTGTGGGTTTCCTTCGTCGTCCTCCTTTCGCAATCTCTCTGCTATTAGTTTACTTGCTCCGGCATTCTCGCACTCCTCGTCTTCTCATCGCTCCTCCAGCTTTCTCTCCCGGCTAGAGCTTACTTACTTGAGGAGAAAGTGGAGTTACTTTTCAGCCGAGAAGTCCTCACTCTCTGCTCCATTATTTCAGGTACGTGCCACTGCCACCACGAGTCCTGTTTCCCCATCACTTCCAGCTCTACTTTCACCACCGACAAACAAGAATTTTAGGGACACTACTTGAACCATTTAACCTCCACATAGGAAGCATCGCTATGTGCCTATCGACAAACTTGAGAAATCACTTCAACTCCAATCGACGAGATGAACCATCGTCATATTTAACGGCCAGCGGGATGATGTTATCAGCACTCGGAGTGCTAATGCGACTAGCTTCACGAATTATGGATGTCTTGCTTCATTTCCCGTGCCCGTGAAGCCAGCCTAAAGTGCAGAAAATGAGGATAATGTATCAAAAGCGGTCAAATTGTTATACGAAACTTTTCCAGCCAGGGTCCCCCGTGTTTTCGTTCGTCGTCGTTTCTTGGGCAGGGAGAAAGTTTCGCTTCGTGTGCTGCGAGGTGCAAGGCAGGAGCTGTGACCCAATCCAATCCACCCATCAGGCTCCATTAGCACTTTCATTAATTACACCGGTAAACAAAGGAAGCGATGCAGCCCAGGCGAAGGATGCTTTCACTCTCTCACCACTTACTTCCTTCCGAACGTGGATATGAAATGGAAATCGGTCGCCTTTCGACCTCCCTTATTTCGGTCCTACAAATAGTACTCGTCTTCCTCGCCGTCCATAAATTCCGTGTCAAAATTATAATTGGAAGCCTTACTCCAAGTGTTCCAATCAGTGCGAGGTGAGGGTAAAAAGACGAAGGGGAAAAAATTAGATTTCTTAAAAACCTTGAAAACTTGTATTTGACACACGCGTGTCCAAGTTTATGGAATACCCAAGATGGTCTCCTGGTCTGATTACAAATTCATTAAGAGCATGGGAACCTGGCAGAGAGAGGAAGAGAGAGGGAGAGAGGTGCTGGTTAATTGCTTGGTCGGCATGATGCAATCTATTCCCTTTGACTTTGACGTTATCTGGACGAGCTGGTGTCACTCGAGGTGATCAATTCTGGCTGAGTGATGGACATGAAATAAAGAAAACATTGAATTTCACTCAAACTCTTGATGGCGGCGACCACGTTGACGATTTCAGCGAGTGTGGTCCCCCCGACTTGTCACTTCTATCACCCGGACGTTGCTTTATACTTTTGATTTCACGCTCCAGCCACCCCATCATTCCATCCAAAGCGATGTGTCTGAGTGGATTGAAGAGAATTTGATGGCAGGGCAAAGCATCACAGAATGTCAGCCTCTCTCTCTCACTTTTCCTCTCTTTCTCTGTGTGTGTGAAACAGAATGCTTTTACTTTCCCCCTCACTTTCTCTCTCTTTCTCCTTCCCACACAATTGCCCAAATCTTCCCATTTTGTTCGGAAGAGTGAAGAGAAAGCAAAAGCAGAGAGAAAGTAGAGAATCGGTTCTGGATTCCACTCCAGTGACACTTCTCAAAGGAGTGAAAGTCAGTCGTCGTCGTCGCATCTGTCCTCCGCCGATTGTCAACTGTCAATACTTCAACCTTTCTTTATAAACTTTCACCACCACCTTTCTCTCCTCGGCAAAATTGCTTTCTCTCCTCGCTCAAGCTATGGAATAACCACATGTCATGCTACATCACCCCGCAAAATTGTATATTTTGCAGATAATGTTGATTTTATGGCAAGGAAAGTAAGTATTTGGGAAATATCGCCGTGTCCGTTACGACAAGTTCCACAATTGTTGCTCAAATAGTTGGTCCAACTTTTCGATTTGTTTCCACTCTCATTTTTGTGATGGGAAAGTGAAAGTCATTTCGATTTCTATATTTCTTTTGGAAATTTCTTTCACTTCTGCGACGCTGACGGGTGGATTATGACGGAGATTAAGCGACAAACTTTTCTACGTGACTGTTTTTCCAGCAGGAAATTTTTGGAATAGTATTGCACAATACCCAGTCCTGGTTAGTTAATTGCATCCATATGCAAATACCTTAAGTGGTACCCCTTCTTATGCAGAGTGAAAAATCACCATGAGACTAGCCACGACTGAATTGAGAGAGTAAAAAGTAATATGAATGCTGCCTGCATGTCGTTGAATTAATTTAGGCGCAAGATTTTCACTTGTTTCTTCACCTCGAATACTTTCGATTTACTCGGTGCGGCCGAGAAAGAAGTGGAGAACACAATGGAAATTGTCCATGTACAAATATTCTCCTCGCGAGCAAAATAATAATTCCCCTCGTGAAACTAGAATGGAAACAAGAGGCCAAGTTTCTGGGAGAGACGGAACGTAATCCTCATCTGCCGAGTTGTAGTCTAAATTGCCTCGCATTTTGATTTTGATGAAAGCGAAAGTAAGTCGCAAAGTGGGGACAATAATGTCGCGGAGGCCTAAGCTGCTTTACGGGTGCTGCTCCGGGTGTGAAAACTTGTCCACTTTACACCTTATCCTCTTCAAATGGAAACTTGTCTAATTTATTGCCTCATCCATCCCCACCTTCAATCATTCCCCACTTTCCAGCCTCCATTCTCCGCTTTCTCCCCATTTTCTTGCTCGGAATGGGATAAAGGACGACAACTTTCCCTAAGTTCGCTGGCAGTTTTTGAGCTACTTAACCAAAGCGTCGCTGGTCCACTATGTACACTTTCTCTTCCCTGGGATTAAGTCGGAGTGGGAGCTTATTCAGGACGACTCCTCCGCAACCTGTCCTCACCTCGGGGTAATAATGGCAGAAAAGTCATTTCTCTCCGGAGGAAGTGAACTCTGCCCGTGTTTCGCTAGAGCGGATACGATTGTCCTGCGGTTTACTCACCGTCCGTCTCATGTGCCCACAGAATTGGTTGGGGTGCGAGGTCACTCGACTGAAAATCGCTCCTCTTCCTCCTACGACCTTTATGTGCTTGCTTTATTATTATGCTGCTTGCGGTTTGGTTGGGTTGTTGGGTTGGGCAGGGTGCCACGCAATGAAGGACCAAACCCACAGATCCACAAACAAATTCACCCACTCACCCCATTGATTTATGTCCATTTATAAAGTATTCGTCCTTTTCAGCAGATCCGCACAGTTTTATTCCTGCCAAGCTCGGAGGAAGACCGGGGAGCGTGAGTTGTCCCCATTTGGCAGACGGGCTACCCCCATTCATTACAAACAAGCGTGGACAAGAGACTTTGGTAGGCAAGGTCCGAAAAGTGGAGTAAAAGTGATGAATTTATACCAATGTCTCGCAAAAACCGCAACTTTCTTCGTTCCCTTAATGGGACAATTCCACCAACCACAGCAATAATTTATGGCTTGGTTATTTTCCTGCCCCGTTTTAAGAAGACCAAAGTGGCGTCGTTAAATGCCTACGGATGCATGGACAAGTTATTGCAACTCTGCATTTTTTCAAACTTCTCCCTATTCATCGGTAGCGCATAATTTATGGGAGTGGGAGGACTGTGCCTTTTTGACTACTGCTTTCTACCGAGATCACAAATACGTCATAAATAATGGGAGAAATAATAATGCGTGGTCGTGTACTCACCGCCCTCGTACATGCTCGTCGTCATGCATCCCTGGGAACAGGAGATCGTGTTCACTTTGTCCCTCCGGAAGTGTTCTGGGAGGCAGTAGTCCTGCACCGTTTCTGAGTTGAGGTGCGACGTCGAGCTCTGCCAGTTGCAGTCGAAGCACTGCACTTTCACCTCAGCCAGCACACCTGCAAAAATCCATCTTTTTATGCATCTCTGAAAACTTAACTCTTAATCAAGCAGGGGTTCAGACTCCATGTTGATGCACGGGTACACGAATAATGAGAGAGAAACACGACGTGCAAAACTTGTTGTCACAGATTATGAGAATTACAGCTTAATCTCCCGGAAATTGGAGAATCTCAGAGGAAATCCATATCACCCGAGATTACTTTCTCCGCTGGGAAATGTCTGCCCCATCTTCCCAACAACTTTGCTCCTCCAGCAGCAGGGTTCCTCTTTTCTCTCCGTTACTTACGTAAGATTAAACCAGGAAGGGAAGCATTTCTGGGAAACATTCGTTTGTGTAGTCTCACTTGTTCCTCTTATTTCCACTAAGTTTCGACCCTAGATTACCAACACGTTTCGGCAATTTGTTGTAATGTAGCGACCATAAAAAGGAGGAGAAGTTGATCTCTTTTCTCATTCATATTATGGCTTTATCTCCGACAAATCCTACAATTTATGCACACCGTTCGTACGAAGGCATTCTTGCCCGAGAGACCGCCGCCACACGGTGAATTAGTAGAAAAGGCTCCTTCCTCTCCTCGTATGAATTTTAACTCGGGCCACGTTCACCTACAAACTCCGTGCATAACTCAGCACACACCCATCCGTTTCTTTGTTGCACTACTTTCCCAAAGTTTGTACGAGTGCAGAAATAAAAGTGAACGTGAGCACGGGGAAAACCCAATTCAAACAATTCTGGAACAATTTATATTCCGATTATGATTAAAAGTTGAAAGGCAGTAGATCATGAGTCGTGGGAAGAAAGAAAGAATGGCTGGCTGGTCATGGAATTTTCTCCTTTCTTCTCAACTCGTGTACTCGATTAATGCTCTTCTCACCGGTAGATTTTCACCCGCTTTTTACATCTGCTCATTCTCTTTCTCCGTTTAAATTGGTGAACCCATTTGCATGTCTGCCCTAATTGAGTTCGTATTTGCTTTCGGTGGGATAATTTAGATTTCTTCTTTATCAAGTGCTTTCCCGAGAAGAACAGTCGGGTGAGAATGGAATCGTACGTAAAAACCTGAGAATCTAGCAGCCTTGAAGTTTGTGCTTTATTACGACTAAAAATTATGGAACTTAATACTGAAATGTTCTTTACGGTCCCTTCACCATTCGCCTATGGGCGAACCAACCTTCATCTTTTAATTCTCCACATTCCAGTCCAGTCCAGAGCAGACTTCGTTGCTGATCTGTGTTTGTTTTTGAGTGCGGAAAATGCAAGGAATCTGACTTACCGGGACGTGGTGGGAGGACTGATTGAAGTACCAGGACCCAAAAGATAACCCATGTGATGTGCATCTGAGCAAAGAAGGAGGAAGTCGGACAACTACCACGACAATGTGAGAGAAGAGCTTTTACTGCCATTTTTGACCCGATGTGCTTTTCACTGACTTTTGAGTGTGAAGATAATGCAAAGTGTGTGAACACGAGTACGAGGGAAAACTGAGAATAAGTGAACAACTCTAAACTAAAACATACTGTTGTGTATTGCGATTTTTTTCGCTGCAACGTGAAACCACTGTTTCTGCACCACTTCCGCTAGCCCCACAAGACGAAGAGCAAGATTTTAACCGAATGGGTTGGATTCCACTGGGTTTCTGAAGCAGGAACCCGGATCAAGCTCCTTTTTGTTTTCATCATGAGGAGCAGGAGCCTGTTCTCCATGGCAAATTCCGCTGCATATGTTCCCACCAGATCCAGACCAGCGTTGCTTCTCCTCGCTTTCTCCCACTTTCTCCTCTCCTCTGACTCCCAGGGCCGGCCAACAAATCGCTAGATTTTAATTAAATATTTCCCATGCTTAGGTAACCTTGAAATAAGCCAAGAGCAACTATTTGTGCTAAGCCAAGGGGCAAAAACTACACACTTTTTATTTACCGAAATACAATAAACACATTTCTTAGAGTATTGAACTCAACCAATTCTTAAATATTTCTGGAATATCCACCTGTTTGCACAAGTTTAACATATGTGTAATTTTATGACTTATGTGTTTATTACTTATCTTTAAAAACATGCCTTTATAAGTTGTAATGTTGAAAATACAAAACTGGTGACAGGAGCTGGTGCATTCTGTTCTACTCATAAAATCATACAACAAATACCATTGTCTTTGTCTGCAAGAATTAGTCACAACCTCTTTGCTTTATCTTCCTCCTCCTGCAAGTTAATACCGATTCTTAGACAACAATCAGGGAAAAAGTGTGATACAATTAATATAAACGACGAATAAGTTCATTCTACAGTACGAGTCATTTTTCAAGGAAAGCTACACATGCACTTCAACTAATACATCAAATTCGTGAACATTAAGAAACATTAAGAAATTTCAAGGGGATTGATAAATTACAAGAAATATGCAATACAAATGTACATTTGACTGTAAACAATCCAATCTCTTCATTGTGTGTGCAGTACAACATTCTCTGATTCATGGACACACTCTCAAGTAAAGTTTTGTTTTTCATTTGCAGAAGAAGAAGGAATTCAATTTAGTTGTCATTGTATGGCCCACAAGCTGTTTAGCAGCTGGTAATAATTTCTGATAAATCCCATAGAGTACAACGACCATACTTCTGCATGATTCAGCAATACAACGGGGTTAACAATATAAGCTATTCACATCTACTATATATAAGTAATACAAGTTTTATCGAAGAATTTTATTCTTGGTTCGATTATATATTTTTTATCTATGTCATCACATTAGCTTTCCAAAAACCCTTTCGTTTCCTGCTGTCAACCTTTCTTCAAAATTTGTATATGTTTCACAACCTTATTTCGGGCACCCCTTTAACTGTACGACATATTTTATATTTACAAATATAATTTATAAATTTTTATTTGATTTTCCGTGTACATTATCAAGAAATAATTTAGAGACGGACTTGACATGGTCCACCAGAAGTACGTTTACGTTTGCTAATCCTAAGTTACATAAGTAGACCGTTCATTCCCTCATACCAAAATTGGGACATGTGAATAAGTATTTACATACACTTTCAAGTCCAGGTACACACATAAATTATGTCACAAGTTGAAAAGATTGTGCGCATCGTATGCGTCCAAAGATGACAAGAAATATACAGATAGACTTATGTATGCACAGGAAACAACCGTAATGTACAGGAAATAACCAGGAATGAGTTAGGATTGAGTACGCATTTGAAAAAGGTTGTATTTTGTAATGTATTTTGTAAAAATATCAGATTAATAAGATATTTTGTATCTAGTATCAATCATCCCACGTATGTGCAACTTACGGACAATGTGATGGTGTGAAGTGCAACCCTCTGATTTGGTTGAAATTTTAAACTTATACACGTCAAGTCAATACAATCAACGTTTCTTGAGGCAGTTTCTGCGATGGTTTTGGAATTGGTCAAAAATATTTTAGGCCAAAGTTGAGAAAATGGGAGATTCTTACCAATCGGAGGAAGCAAACCTCACTCTCACTCCCTTCGGGAAAGGTGGACCATTTTTCAACTTTGACCACAAATATTTTGCTAATTCCAACCATCGCACAAACTGCGCCAAGAAACGTTGGTTGTATTGACTTGAACTGTATAAGTTTAAAATTTCAACCAAATCGGAGGGTTGCCCTTCACACCATTGCATCGTAAGTACCCGGTCAGAAATGTGCATGCAAATGTTTCTAGTTCTAAATCAACTGAATATCCACTGCTGGATATTATCCAGCAGTCCCAGCACCATACGCGTGTGTCTCTCACTAGTCTCACTGCACGGTAATATGTAGGTCACAGGCATTCAGTCGAGTACAAATTTGATACAGGTTCAATCTTTATGAATTTCCCAGTTTAAACTGAAATTATATACATAATTTTTTTTCTCTGTTTCTCTTCTTACTTTCACCTCTTAAAAGTTAAGCACACGATTCCAATCACGACCTAACATTGGCTTGTAAAGATTAAGCGAATTGCTTGTATTTCCCTTAATATTTTTTTTATAATCTTGAACATCACTTTCAAAGTTTACGCCTGATTTAAACTTGTGAACATTAAGTTGTCATAACTAAATAAATACAAGAGCAAAATCCTTTATAGAACAAGAACATTTTTGAACATTTAGCTGTTTTCGGTTTCCTCGGCGTTCTCTCTTCTGCTGTTGTTATTTTGGGCGACATTCTTTATTCTCGCGTGTTTTACAGCATAACAAAGAATGTCACCCTACAGAAGTAATTTAAGCTCTGGTATCTCCTTTCCATACGACGCATCATTATTATTTAGCACCATTTTCTCATTAAGACGGCTTCGTGTTTTTAGTACAATTCCGTCAACGATCCGCATGACGAAGTGGAGGACGAGTGCCATCCAGGACGAGACGAAGATGCTGCTGTCGTTGGAGCTGGACAGGTTGCCGTTGCAGAGGTCTCGGTGGCAGAAGCAGTCCTCGTGGTACACTCCTGGTCGAGAGACGTCCTAAATTGCATGTCAAATGTCAAATAGTTTGAACTTTCCAATATGGACACCTTGTTTTGTGGCCTCGTTACCATGATGCATCCGGTGTGGTAGGACCTGGCACAGCCTCGAAGGAAGAACTCCATGGGTGGGAGGGTGATGTTGACGGAGTAGTTTTCGTGGGGCTTCCTCCTCAGGGAGACCATATTGTTCCCGAGGAGGTTGATCCCCTTGCTCTTGGCTGCAGTCACGTACGTGCTGAGCAAGTTCTTCTTCCTGTCCCCCAACACCCGCTTGTACTCTTCTGCAAGGAATAAGTCCGAATTTTTAATCAAGAGGTCAACAATTTGGTAAGACTTGGGGCTTATAATTTCCATCAATGGTTTGTCACCTTTTCAAAATTTATGTATGATGAACATTGATAAAAAAGTTCAAAATTCATTCAAAATCTGTTCAAATTTGGAATAAGACAAACCCATGTTGATGAACGCATTCGACTTTTATTTTCCAGCCATCTGTCACTTTTATTCATTTCATTTTCCTGTCTGTTAAATGAAACAAAATTAGACTAAATTTTCAGCTCGTTCAATATGTTTGATCTTTCCGTGGTCCACTAATTACGTGATTGATCAAAGACCAGTTTATAATGAGCTACAAAGGGAGAAAAACTGCATGGTTCATGTACATAGCTGACGACATCCACACGAGGACGGTTTGAAGTACATAAATACATTAGTTTTTCCATAATAAAAATGTGTTTTTCATTTTAAAATTAGAAACAAATTATTTCGATGATAAAAGACGACGGGTTTCCTTCTCCTACGTTACACTTCTAGATAACATAACCTTGATTTCAATAAGGTGTACAAGAAACAACAGAAAATTTCCATTAGAAATAAATGAAGCCCAGATATTTTTGGACCAAGGAAGAAGGAAGGAAAACATGTTTTGATTTGGGGAAGATTCAACCTTAGTTTTTGTGTATTTAGAATTGTGACAAGATTACGAATTTGACAGTGTGGGCCGCACCATCGATCCGCCCCTGCTCATCGTATTGGACGTGTATTGATGAAATCAAAATCCTCAACTTCAAAGGAAATTCTTGTAATTATGTTTACATAAACTTCGAACTTGGATATACTCTGCTGAGCCTCATGCTCTGGTATATCCCTTGAGCTGCGAATATGGTGTCATGATTGCGCTATTGTGTATCAACCAAACCTGAGGAAATAGGGACAGATTTCGATTTTGCAGTATTATTGCCAATTTGTGCAAGTATTACAAATCTCTGGAGATGGGATTGGCGACTGGAAATCCGGGGATGTGGTGTTGAAATGAATAATGAAACATCACGATGCAAGTATTATTTAGCAACTCGGGTATGTTTAACAATGGCTCAATGTCAGATAAATGTGGTGGCCCGACAATGTGCAAAGACAAATGTGCAAACGACAAACGTGCAAAGACAATTGTGCAAACGATAAATGTGCAACCTGACAAATGTGCAGCCCGATAAATGTGCAAACGATAAATGTGCAGGAATTTTTCTAACAAATAGTACAACATATCTTGACATGATTTAAGCTTAAAATTTAGTTATGGACACGCTTCGGGGACATAATTTAAAATGACAGCAAATAAGGAAATCCCGAATTATTTCAAAGAAATTCAGAATTTTTATATAAAATGTACATAATTCCAGGCTATACGATAGGCTAAAATTCACGAATTCACGAAGATGTACGGGGGAATTTATGCACCATAGAAATATTATTTAGTAAAATATTAAGTTAATGATAAATTAATACTGCTCATTATATGTGTATAAGATCAGCAGCTTCAACAGACATCATAAGGGATGTCGCAGCAAGATTAATTTTTCAGAATTCTTATTTTTTGAGGAGATATAATTTGATTTGACTGCTAAAATCATATTAAGATATATTGTACTATTTTTTAGAAAAATTCCTGCACATTTATCGTTTGCACATTTATCGGGCTGCACATTTGTCAGGTTGCACATTTATCGTTTGCACAATTGTCTTTGCACGTTTGTCGTTTGCACATTTGTCTTTGCACATTTGTCACCCCATGGATGAAGATTTAGTTGACATTTATCCAACTAAATCTTCATCCACGAGTTTCCCGTTAGTCGGATTACGAAATTCAGGGACTCAAAATTAGGAGAGCTCATCACTCTGATCATTAAATGTGTTTTACAATGTTTAATGAAATTTAATCTCGCCGCTCCTTTCATAATTTCACGCTGGCATAACTATTTAATAACGATCACATTATGACCAAGTCTAGCAGGGCTACGTTACGTTCGTGGATGGAGAATGGAGAGGAGTGATACACGCCGTTTCGACATCAGGATTGATTCCCAATCTGCATCTCAAGGTTGGCAATTGAGCCAGCAGGCGTGGAGAGCTCGCGTCAGGTACGAGACAAAAGGGGAAGTTTTCAAATTTATTCTGAACACGACTGGCATTTGCACGTGCTTTGCACAAGCCTTGATTTTCTGCAAAGTTTGTTCTCACCCTTGGCGTTAATGTGTTTGGAACAAAGAATTGAGCCCAATATTGCACACACGGATGGGTCTAATTATTTATAAAGGAAAATTTGCGTTTGTTGTCAACCTGCGAGGAGAAGATCTGAGAGGACGAATTTGGAAAGTATTTATAACAATGGACTGAAAATCTGAGAAATGTTTTCGCAATACGTCATCTTTCACATCATCGTTACATGTCGTCCTAATTATGGACAGACTTCCGAGTAAGTGAGGAAGCAATGGGGGTATTAAATTACTTGCCATTCCTTCTATGCCCGTGTAAACTGCGAGTTATTAAAGTAAAGGAGTGGCGAGTACGACGAGTTTGTCGGAACTGCCACGGGATGAAATTTGATTCCTTCTATTTCCAATTTCAAGGTCTCTGCATTGAGTTCATATTTACTCTGGTGAATGTTATCTGGCAGATGAGCCTTGCTGATCCTGCACGGCAATAATTGTGCAAAGGCTTCCTTTATCCTGGCTCAATTTTTAGGTGAAGGATTTTTTAGTGAAATATTTTTCGCTAAACTTGTAATCCGATCCATTAACGGATGCGAATTTGCTAAATGCATGCACTCTGAAATATTATGATAACCCCACAGGCTTATCTCAGGGGGCCGCGATTTGTCCACTTCTTTATGCGGCATTCCAGGATGACATTTGTAAGATCATCACTATATCATTTCTGTTGTATTGTGATGATCTAGTTATATACATATATAGCACAAATATAAAAGACATGATTGAAACTATTAATGTGCAAGCTAGACTTATTGAAAATTGGTATAGTGTGAACAACATGATTATAAATTACAGTAAGACTAAATATCAAATATTTCATAAGCCACAGGATAAGATTCCCAAAGAATTTGTTAATTATAAACTGAATATAAATGGCAATGAGATCGAACAAGTGTCTACGTTTAAATATTTAGGTATTAACATTGATTCTACACTTAACTTTAAAGACCATTTGAGTAGTGTAACGAGTAGAGTGTCTGGTGCTTTGAAATATTTGTATGGCATTAAGAGGTATTTAACGGAAAATGTGGTTTCAATTCTGGTTAATTGTAATGTACATGCTATTATTGATTATTGTAGTGAGATATGGGCGGTGCAGACGCGCTGTCAATTAGTACCACTTCAAGCAAAGGTTGACACTTTTATTTTGCAATATTATTTACCACTTATATATAAGAAAGCCAGAAATAGCAAGAAAAAAGGTCGATTTAAGATTGATATTGATATTAATGAACTAAGAATGAAATGTAATTTATTAACGTTGGAAGAGAGGAGAGATTTATTTTTGTTGAAATATGCTTTTGTTCATTTGTACAAGCATGATGAGACTCGTAGACAGGGACGAAGTTGGCCTCTTCTTCCAGTGTCTTCATGTAACACGACTTTTGCTAATAATAATATAAATTGTCGCAGTATAAAATTATGGAACTCTCTTCCAAGAGATTGGACCATAAAAGACCTTAAGTATAATGAGTTTGTTGAACTATGCAAGGTATTTTTGGTGAAGAGTAGAGATAATGAATTTATATATTTCTGAGGAATATAGTTTGTAGTTGATTAGTATAGACAGATGTTTATTTGCATAGTGTGTTATAACTTGTAAACCAGCCTGATCGACTGAATGTGACTAACACTTGAATAAAGGTAAATTGAAACTCTGGTTTGGCAATTTGATTTATCAAACTGAAATGGAAACTTTGCAAAGACTGAGCAAATAATTTAGTTAGTTTGATTAGTTTAGGTACGACTCAACTAGTGGTTGGGATTTGCATGCAAAATCGGAACTTTTACTTCAGGTAGAACTTAATCAATCTGGCGGAACAATAGGCGACGAAATGCAGGAGGAGTAATTTTATTTCTGTTATTTCAATGGGATACAGATATTAAAAAGCTTTTACGTGGATTGGTCAAAATTCTGAACGTGCAGCAGGATGCACAAATCCAATCTATTTGCTCATGACTCGTATAATCCACCAGAATTTAATAGATTCGTTAAAGTATTGACTTGGTTTAAATTCAATTAATTGAGAAGAGACACGAATGACTCTCTCTCTCACCATCATCCACGCTCCACAACAACATGAATATTGATTGTGATCTGGAAAACGGGAGATCGTCGAGCAGAATGAAATTCACTGATCCAATCAAAACAACTCTTGTGCACACAATTCCTCTTTTTCAGCAAGATTTCCACTCATCGTGTGTCTTCCTGCTTTCACTTCATCATTCCGTCCCCTGCACCGCCATAAATCTGGGCAGAAGTAAACTTTCCTGCATTTATGCCCCATTGTGTGTCCACTGAATCAAATCAACACTGTGACCAAGCACATCTCTCCCAACGACAAATGTAAAACCTTCAAAAGGGAACTTTTCATGTACGTCAGCTGAATCCTGAGCAGGACGACGGTGTCTTATTAGCCCTGCCTCTTTCTCTCCTCTGAGCTTATCTGGGAATGGATTGGTCAAGGAAAATGAGTCAATTTGATAACCAGCCCATTTAAAATCTGCACTCTGTCAAGTTTCACCTTCATTCAGCCACGACACATGTGCTCCACAAATCAGGGATAAGGAAGAGATCAAGCAGTGAATTGAACAAATGGCACAAGGTATGAAATCTACCCGAACTCCTTCCACCAGTTGTCCGAAGAGGATAAGGAAACGAAATTGGTGAAAGGCGAGGAGGAGGACAAACTCTTCTCTCAATTCTGCCTTTGATTCTGGAAATTTTGCTGGAAAACTACTCGTTACAAAACAAAACAATGCCATAAGAACTCGGCGCGTGTACGTAGACAAAGCTTAATAAGTTATAATTAGGCGCATCAGAGCATCAACAAAGTAGGGATTTATTTGTGCTTGCTTAACTTTCGCCAATACGTGCAAAGTTCTGTTGAGCTACTCAAATTAGCTCAGATGACGCAACAGTTGACCAGAAAAGATGAGTGAATTTGTGTATGAGGCATGTATCGGCGAGTTACTGACGTTGCAGCTCCACCCCATTCGAAAAGATTATGCCTTTCTAATTATTCATTCTAAGTGGGAAATCTGGGATTTTGTGAACTTTGTTTTTCTATTTTTAGCATTTCATAATTCCTCATACACGTAATAATGTCCATTTATAATGCAGACTCGTTATTGGGTTTCTTGCCCTCCTCGCTCGCGATATTCTGTCAGCAGAATGGAAATGTCTCCCAAGCGAAAGGGAACTCGCAGCCCTCTTTCTTTCCACGACAAATGATTCTTCGAGCTTCACAAGAATAAGTTTTTTCTGGGGTGCCTGATGGTCCTACATAGAGGAAAGAACGGGCGTCTTCTGTGTGCGTATTTACTCTTTGGAAATGGAAATCCCCGGAAAACGTAGCTATTGTTCAAGGGGAATCAAGGGGTAACTCGCAAGGGGAATCAATCCCCTTCCGGATAGTGGCGTCTTGGAGTAACAGGTGTGCTGCATTTCCAGTTCCAAATGCCCCCATGTACTTGTGCATAACGAGTATATGCTGAACTTCATCCTGCTGACTGAAAAGTAATTATGACCACAAAATCTATACGCATCCTTAATTCTGTGTTCATTAGATTTTGGAGAATGACGATTTCAATATGTTGTTCAACTAATCGTAAGATTATGGATGACTGGGTGCTCAATATGGGGAATCATTTCCTAATAAATTATTGGCCATGTAGCGCCACACCCACCCAGCGACTGAGGTGCACTACCAGGTCCTTATTATGCTACTCACAAGTAATTAATTCTCATACATTCATCCCAACCGTATCTGTACGTTTGTGCATGCATCCATACTTTCCCCATCCATGAAACCACGCTTTTCTATTATTTGCGATATTGTCACCCGTCAGTCGTAATTCCAGTTTTAATAATTTCATCAGTGGTGGAAACATTTGGATCCCGAAAATTGTGACGAACGCAATCAACGACCTTTCACGTACAGATTTGAATAGAGTTTAAAAATAAGTGATAAATTAAGTTCACAGCTTAATGAAAATTGTAATCGGCAGGTTACACGTACAATGTATTGTATGTGGGATACTCAACGTTGGTCTGGACTGGAAAGGTATTTTTTACTAAGATATTGATGCAAATTTGATAAAAGCATAAGTCGTAATTGGAGAAGCATGCCGTTGCTGCTTCTTGTACCGATATGTGGGACAAAAATAGCCCAAAACTCAATTACACCCCAAATCCCATTATTATATGAAACAAGCTTCCCAGAAATTACTTAAGACGGGAAAATGCTACATGCTAAATTTGTCGAGAAGCGTAAGGGGTGAATTCAAGACGGAAGCAGTGAGGTAATTATTTACATGTTTAAACTAACTTTTACATCAATGACTAGCAAATGTTAAATTTTTGCAGTGATTATTTTACATGTTAGGACTAAAAAACTAGCGCAGATGTTTATTTCTTGTGTGTTCTGTCTGATTTGTAAACCAGCATCGCTGATTACCGTGCATATGTATTTATGCGCATTAAGTTTAATGTAGGAACTGTAACCATAATTTTATGTTAATAAATATCATCAAATGATAATTCTGACGCATAAATGTCACCAATTGTTACACCAAAAACGTGGGATATTAATTTTGAAATTTTAATATGGGTGGATTTTAATCTTATGTGTAAAGAAGTGTGGATTGTGCTTACCGGTGGTGTGGACGGCGGAAACGACACATCCCAGTTCGCAGGATTCGATAATCATTGGCAATTTGAAGGAGTGCTGACGACAGATTTCAGACGCGTTTTTGGCCGACGTTAGCTCCGGATTTGGGTACCAGATGCAGTGGAAACATTGGACAGTTCGAATTCCACCACCTCCGCCTAACAGGAAAACCACCATTAACGTGAAAATTGTTCTTTTAAGGATTGGGTCAGTCAATTTACGCATGTTTTTACTTTCCTAACTCGGAATTGCGTATGTCCTGTACATTTTTCTGATACATGTCTTGTGCCATTTCGAATTCCAATTGTTAAACGACATGTAAAAGGTGACATACTATTTATGATGAAAGAGCAGAAGTAGAAAATTGGATGACATCAATAATAGCACAGTTACGCAAAACCATTGACATGCAGCCGTACACGCGGATGACTACTAACAAGCAATACACAAGCTTGCACAACCTCCCACCTGTGGAACAGCCCTGTGCACATTCCACCCACTTTCTAAAACCAAAGGTTATTTTCCTTATTCAATGTGAAAGCCTATCTTACGTTCTTTGACCAAATATGACAAACTAAGAGGGCCACATTTCCCGATATTCTTCTTTTCCCCGTGTAAATTATATGAAGTATTTACAGAAAGTGGTTTGTAGTCATAAAAAGTAAAGTGATGCTCACAACTCTAATTTGCATATCACTTCATAGGAAATCTAATTGTGTCTTCTTTTCGTACAAAGGGAATATATTTTGATTGGCTTACATTGCCAATGTTTCGTATTGTTTTCTTCCTTGAGAGCTCCGAATGTGGCTTTCTTTCTCCAAAACTCAATTATTAAAGTGAAAGTTTGAGTGAAACTTGAAATATTTAAGTTACACAATTTCCAAGAATGAATGCTTTCTTTAGGTTACGAAACAAAATAAGTGGTTTTCACTCCAAAACTTTCGCCTTCCTCCAAGTCACCAGTAATGTGTAGCTCTTGTTTTTTCTCGGATTTCTTTCGCGATTAGGATCGAATCGAAGATACGCATCTGGAGCTCCAACCAAGGCGAGATTTTCTAAAAAGGCTTGGTTTCGTTAGTAGATATTGTAAATCGTCAGCTTCAATCCGGTCGTCCGGTTGATTGCAGATGTCATGCTCCCAATTCCCACGGGTTTTTGCCCCTACTTTATAAATACGCCACTTTTGTCAATGCAAATTCTATGCCGTGTTGCAAATACTATTCCATTTCCTTCCACCCCACCATTTATTTTCATTGCCGTAATGGAGGAAGTAGGGGACCCGTACTTGCGACACACATATTTCGGACGAAACTGGCACATCCGATTAAGAAAAGCATGAATCTTGTGGAATTGATGCACACGAGAAGTTGGTGTTTGGGGCTTTTGTAAACTTTCATATTCTTTCTTTCGACTGACTCCAAAGCTTTTGTAGCAAAGGAACATCATTTACTGTTTTTGTTGATATACTACGCATGCATAATTCGACTGAAAATCTTTAATCAAATTTACAAATTTCCTCAGATTCTTCCAATCTCTCTGTCTGCCAAGTTGTAATGCTTAGATCCTAATCTAAATGTGGAAGGAGTGAAAACTAGGATGACATGAAAGTGGTGAAAAATCCTCATCATTAGAACTCAACGGGTTCAAATAGATAGATGGAAAATCTATGCAAGAAATCACGACGGTGAAAATGTTACAATGTAAAAAAAATGCTGAATATTTAGTTAGAATAAGTAAACAAGCAAAATTTATTTCCTGTTTTTTTTGTCAATATAGATTTTTTTCCATCTTTCTTCCCTCCCTGTGTGCGGTGTGGCCATTTCCTTCCTGTTTACCACTTGCTATTCAATGTACTGCATTTTATAACATTTTACGTATTATCATTACTGCTCCTTTCATGGGCGAGATAAGAGGAGAAGCATGAAAGGATCTTCCACCTCTCTTTTCTGAATAAATAATCTGCAAAATTCCTCCCAAAATTGCTATGCATCACACAAAGGTAAAACTTACAAAGTTGAGTGAAATTCCATTTTTGCACAGACAGAAGTACTACCTCCAAACAGAAAGCACTTTTTCCTAGCTATGCTTTTTCATTCAGTTTAAGACTTTTACAAATAAAAAAACTCTACAAATAAAAAACTGTTGCACAGTTTCGTCTGTGATTCTATTCCGGACATTTTATGTACTTTGTACAGTCTCAATTTAACTCTTTAGTTTGACTTGTCCAACAAACTGAGTTTTGCACTTTCACCTCGTCTTCGCAATGTGATTATCTCCACAACACGTCGCTATCTAGTCTCACTCTGCCTGCGTGAATATAACGTTATGCAACATTGGGTTTGAGTCGTGAATCTTGTTACATGAGTGACATTTGATTTCTTCCGTAATTTACATGGGTACAAGTACGCCTCCCAGATTTAAACTTTCAAACTGCTCCACTTCAGTTCAGCTTACAAGCACTTGTACGCCAACTTTTTAACTTCCTGTAAAGCAACTTTTCGATACGACCAGCACTAAAGCACAGTGACTTTCGCCCCTACTTTGCACTCATCCATCTGTAACATGAGCTGGTCATGATCTTATTTTAATTCAAGCATGTGCTCACTTGCAGATGGTAATGTAGTTAAATAACTTATAAATTATTTCAAAAAGACTTTATCCATCGCTCAACTGAGACTGGTGGCTGATGGAATGCATTGTGGGATGACTTTTTCGACATATTTTCCAATTTCTTCATTGAATAGACCGACTTTTTGGTGGAATAATGTTCCATTCGTTTGCAGAGCTGGATAAATTATTCCTCAGAAAGGACACTCTTTGAATGGGATTTGTCATGGATTTAGCTACGAGTTATGGAGGACTTGGATGGAGCAAGTCGATCGGGTGTGGCACATCTTTGTTGCTAATATTTCTAGGAATTCGGGGGTTTGAGATAACACCTTGGAAATCGCAAGCTGCAAAAATTGGTCTGGAATTTTATGAGTTACGTTGCTCATTTTTTAACCGATTTGTGCATTGATATGTGCATTACGGCTGACCAAAGGTACTGCTAAATGCTGATAATTTTGCATGCAGTAAAGAAAATTGCCAGTTTCTCTACAATTTGTGAATTTGTCATTGCAATCTTGCTGAGCCGTGTATGCAGTACAAGTTTGTTAACCCGCAACCTGGTTGTGGTCATGTTCGAAGTGCTTACGTGCTGCTAGGAAGGTTACATCAGCGACGAAAGTCACTTTGACGACGACGGTCAGTCCGTAGATTAGGGTTCTCTGTAACCTTACACGCTGACAATATTTACTACGAAGCAACAAGTCCTCCTCGTGTGGAATTTCCTGTTGAAGTTTGCTCAAGTCTGAATTTTCCAAGTTTTGAGGCTGACGGACAAGTAAATGCTTCTCGAGAACTTCTCTGTCGAGTTTTTAAGCCAGACAAGATCAACTAAAAACTTTCACATGCTTTCTCTCCTTCCTGCTTAAGACTTCTTTTCAGTTTATGTCCTTATTATTAACGCAACCTTTGAACGGACTCTGCCTGCAGATTAGCTTCCCCTCGCCTTCTGAGTGACTGACACTCAAATCAATGCTGGCTAAGTGGTCGCTTTATCCAGTCCGTCAAAATCAGGGCTGTGAGACTTTCTCCCCTACATTCACTTTCGTGTAATTAATACGTCTCCTTTGTGGACACGAAGGCCTTCTTCACAATGGAAGGGGCAAGTTAATGAAGTACTCACGAACAGATGGATACGCACAGATACGCTGCTTACAAAGCCTACTTCTGCTACTGCAGCCCTTATGAAAATTGCAAATATGTCTCCCAATCAAGACAGTAAAATTTCCCGTAAAAATCCTTCACGACGCCGAAGCAGGCCAACTTGGTAATTGTTTTCAAATAAAGAGGCACATTTTCATCCCTGGCAGACTTTCACGCTCCTCCAGAAAGCAATAAATGGCGAATATGACAGCTGCCAATGCAGAAAGAATTATTGGACTCACCTCCTGAGCATGATAAAAGCCAAAGAAGTCTGGTGTATTGGTATTAGTGGTGTCAGAACTGGTGTGGCAGGGTCACTACAACGCTTCTTCCGGAAGACAAGGAAATCGGATTAGTCCCCAAACCACAAGAGATAAGATAGCAAAGGGGACACTTAAATCCGCAGATTCTTTGTGAGATAGTGCTACAGGCGGAAGAAGAACCCGTTCCGAACTAGTTTCAACTAAAATGGCACCTCGTCTTGCCACGATTTTCGACTTCTCTCACCAGAATATTACTGGACATACTTAAATCTTTTAAGAATTTACATTTTGAAGTAGCAAATGACAGACATGTGATGGGCTTGTAAGCACAACTCTATGATTAACATTTATTTGAGCAGAGCACCTTTTCTCGGAATCATTTGGATGCAAACTCCAAATGTCTATGTATGAAATCAGTCCAGTGGAAGAAATTGTATCCACAACGGAGCATATTTCCTTCTGCGGGTGGGTGTATGATCGATGTCTTTTTTATTCCGCGAATCGTGGCTCATTTTTGAGCTATTTCTGTAGCAAAATGTCATATGCCAGTTCACATCTTGAAGTACCTTTTGCAAATCTTGCTTCGGATATTTATGCGCATACAATTTTACCAGAAGTGGACCAAATTTTGGCATTTGCCTATCCAAAATGCCCACAAAAGAGTAACGCAAATTTACGGTACCATTTAAACTCGCTCTCTCCATTCTGGAGATTCGTGTACAAATGTACGTGCCTTGCAAGGCTTGAGCCTCTACTTGTGTACTTGGGATGGCAGAAAGCAGAGGAACAAAAGATTGCTCATCAACTTGTAATGGCAAAAAATATGTGAGTTGCCAGCAAGAGAAAGCTCAGGCTCTCTCTAGAGAACCACTAGTTGCAGTCAGTAGTCAATACAAAGCGAAAGAAGGACAGCACACACATGGCGAGGAAGGAATAGAGAACAAAAAATGGGTAGAGAAATAGAGAGAAAATCTCAAAATCCCTCTTTTTTTTGGTCCGAGGACATCTATATTTCATGGCGAGAATAATGTGAATCAAAGGAGGAAAAGGGGAATTTCTGAGAATTGTTCTCCTCACCGAGCCCCCTCGTCCGTGCGGATGAGGCGATCATGACGCAGCTGCTGCACATGCAGTAGACGACCAGGAGGAGACCAATCACTTGGAATGACGCTGGCGATGTCCGCCGCCGCTGCTGCTGCCTCCCTGACCTTGACATTCTTCACCCTCGGAAATGACTGTACTGGTGGGGACGGTGGTGAGAGAAACCTTGGCGAACGCTAAAAGTTTGAACAATCAGTTAGCTGGTAAAATGGAGGCGAGGTGAGACGACAGGAGGATTGCTAACCTGCAGAGTGCGTGGAGAAAGTTGAGACGAGGTGAGGAGCGAGAGAGAAAGTGGTGCAGGAAGAGGAGTGTTTGTCGTCCCCCAAGATTGAATGAGACGAGGTGGCAGAGTGTGGCAGGTTTTTGATACCTTTTTCCTTCCACCCCGCCTCCATGTTACCATCCACGGCTGTCTGCTCCTCTGCCCAAACCTGCTTCGTTGTTGCATCTGCTTTCTCCAAATAGGAGACTTGGATGGAACCAGCGGGGAAAATATCTGCCTTGTGTCGTCTCTTTGCTGGGCAGATGATTTTTCCACGAGTGGCGAGGAATGTTATCTTCGGTTGCGACGTTGAGAGGGTCAGACAGAAGATATGAATAGCTGCTGCACGGCTGATAAAACGTCTGACATGTCCACATCAGTCATAATTTGTTGCAATATTTATTTGAAATGAGATTAATGTCGAGAAAATGCGGAGGATCGAGATAACCTTGCAGCTTTTATCGTGAAGATCGCCATTTCAAATTTGTGTATAAATTCTAGGACGTAATTCGTAATATGTGTCACGACCCAGCTTTCCAGCCTGCTACTGACTTATGGATATGCATGAATGGCTACTCAAAGTGTGCGTGATAACCACTACTTTTGAGATATTTCTAGCCAAGTATCTACAAAATCTTGGACATGCATATGCACATATGTACAAATACGTGTGAGTACTAAAAATAAGATCTTTCTCTGTTGGTTAAATTCCCAATGCCAAGATGTCATTATTAACCTGCGCCTATGCAGTTTTACATGACAGCCCTCATCAAGCAGTAAATTGGCTTCGGAGTATTTATTCATTCACTTATCACCGTATTCTCCTGCCTCATACTAAATACGTAATCTCAACATCATCTTCACCGACCTCACGTAACTTATTGTGTATTTAGCTGCATGAACGGAACAAAACACTGGATTTCTTCTATTATTGTTGTTACCAAACCAATCCACTGGCTTGCTCTGCGGTACTTTCCAAACCGTTTATATGCATACGAACCATCTTAAAAGAACTCAACCTGCTTGCAATACACGAACTGATGCACTGTGCCAAAGGCCAAATTCTTCTTCGTCTTCCTCGTCCTCTCCTTATCCAAAAACCAAACCTCATTTGCATTCAATTTAGTAATGGTAATACGTAGAAGTAGTAGTAGTAGTAGTAGAAGCCCCACTACAGTCCTTGCGTATGCATAACTTTTTATACCAACATCTCAAAACATAGCCCCGTCCCATGTCTGCTCTTTAATAAAATGGTTTCAGTGGTGGCTTAACTGACGACGACGACTCCTCTCGATTCTTACAGGCTTGTGGCCTGCTGAACAGTGCTGATTGACTCCATGGTTTTTTACGTCTTGTTGACTGCATTCTCGTCACGACACCACCCAAACCTCCACTTTTCCAGACGGACACAACGTGGAGTAACAACTTTGCCTAAGACTTGACCGAGATTGATAATCCTCGTGGCGAATTAATAATCATCTTTTTTCATTGCCAATCACAATTTAAAATTTCGCAAAGTTATCTTCTTTCAAGAACGTATTAATGTGACAACTTTATTGGAGAACGTTGTCAAGGGATTGTGCACGTCAGTGAGTCAAGTTGTGGAGAAATTACACCGGGTGTTGTAACCAAATATTTGTCGAGGTAAGTGAGCCTACGCTGTTTTTGGTCTCCTTTGCAGCGTATTTCCTCTCATAAAAGCACGCCTCCTTAATTAAAGTCTCAGTCAGTGATGTCACTATCTGGCCTTAACTGGAGTCAAAAGCGTTATGATTATATTCGTCCCAGCAAAAAATTGTTTGTTTCCATTTTACGATGTTTTACATTTTTAGCCGGATTTGGTTTATATTTTGCAATATATTTTGTCTCACTCATTTAATAATAGAAATCGATGAGATTGGTACAAAGAATTGAACTGAAAATGTATCGAAATAGAAATCGTTTAATTTTCCAACACATTTTATTCAAGATTTTATCCACATGTTGTTAAATCTTGAACTAATTTTCATTTGATTCGTGACCTCAATTCGATTTGTGGAGTAGCATGTGCACACATAATAAGCCAGTGATGCTTTTCGAGAGATGAAACACACCAACAACTGTCCGAGTTGATGAGAAAAGTTGGAATTTCGTCTTAAAAGTGTCTCAATTTTTGGAAAAAGCCACACTAACATTGTAAATAAATTTCCACATTTCAAGAAATTGTTGTTACTCTAAATCCGTTGGGAATGGTGGGTAATTAACATGCAAGAGCACGATGGTTACATTCTGTCATTCTCCTGCTAAATATTTGCCTATATGTCGACGAGTTAAGTAGTAAATACATGAATCCATATCAAGAGTATTGCAATATGCAAATTTGTACTAATGTACGATCCAATGAGAATGTAAGCCGTAAGTTGGGCGCATGGTTGAGTCGTGTCGTACGTAGTTAAAGTTGGAGTCAGCTCCTGATGCTGTGACATAACATAATTTTTTGGTCCATGTTCTCTTCATGTTTCTCTGTATGCATACACGCTTCGTGCAGTTTGTAGTTTTAAGGACGCTGCTGCCGTTCTTGGATCAAGGCCGACCACTCAACCCCAATCCATGCTTTGCTGATATTTACTACTCCACAGTCGTAGTAAGAATTGGCTGGACGACGTTGATCATCTTGATCGAGATGAGACGGAAGATGTAATCGCTGATAATGCTAATCCTCCTCCTGCTGCATGAACTAATCAATAACACGAGCAAGATCCACTCTGCCGTGTCTTTGAATGACTGGAATAACATGACATTGCTATTGAAGAGTAAGATTTGTGTATCGTCTGAAAATGATACACGGAAAGCGTGGTGCATCTGCTCGGATTTGACAATATTGTAGTAAGCGAAAGACACGTTGAATGAGTGCTTCCTTCCACTCCGAGAGTCCCGATTCTACCCGCAGCGTATTTAGACTGGCCTCATCTTCGCCCGGTTTCTCTCGTTGGAGAGAGAAGTGGGAAGAGAGAGAGATGTTCTGAATCGGATGATGCTGGGAAAGTATCGCTAGTCACATGTGCTTCCAACACCCAAAATACAACCACACTGAACAAAAGTGTACAAATAATTACGTTTCTCCTCCAGGAAAATGTCGACGGGTCGCGAATCTCGGACAACGCGTCGCTTCTACCGTGTCGACAGTCAGCACGACCTCCTGGCCTATTTGGACCATGGCGAAACGGCCGTGCAAGAACACCGATGGACGCTGGAGATTGCGTGGGAGGCTGCTAACAAAGGTTTGTGAGATCTAGTCGTACTCGGACAATAGTCGTGATCCAACTGATTGTCACCTTAATTTCCAGTGGGAGGAATCTATACGGTCATCAGATCCAAGGCTTACATGTCGACGGAGGAGATGGGTGACCAGTACTGCCTGATGGGTCCCTACAAGGAGCTCTATGCCCGACAGGAAGTGGAAATTGGGGACTTTGAAGCCAACAACCCACTTCAACTCGCTTGCAATAAGATGAGGGAGCTTGGTTTTAATGTAGGCAAACAATCTAATTATCGAACCCCGGTCGTTAATATTTTACCGGATGTGATTTTGTCGGACAAATCTCTAACTTGATTTATTTCAGGTAAAAACTGGTCGCTGGTTGGTGGACGGAAACCCGCAAATCGTGCTATTCGACATTGCCTCCGCGGCGTGGAAATTGAACGAGTGGAAGCAAGAGCTGTGGGATAAGTCCGGGATTGGGATTCCTCACGGAGACGTCGAGTGCAACGATTCGGTCATCTTTGGCTTCCTGGTGGCTCAGTACATTGCAGAGTTTCGGCACTTGGCGGAAGACCATTGCGAGTCGGGACGGCCACGAATCGTGACTCACTTTCACGAGTGGCTCGCAGGCATTGGGCTTATCATGTTGCGAGTGTGGAATGTCGACGTTGCCACCGTATTTACGACACATGCCACACTCTTGGGCCGATTTCTGTGTGCTGGAGCGCTCGACTTTTACAATAATTTGGATAAGGTTCGCCACTCGCTAACTGTGAATATGTAATTTTTTGCTAATTTTTGCTAACTTTTCTAGTTCAACATTGATGAAGAGGCCGGAAAACGTCAAATTTATCACAGATACTGTATGGAACGTGCGGCTTGCCACTTGTCGCACGTGTTCACAACAGTTTCTGAAATTACGGGTATGCATTTTTAAAGGGGGAAACATTTTATTGAAACTTTCAGCTGTGATTTTTGTTTTCATCTTGTAGGATTGGAAGCGGAGCATTTAGTAAAGCGCAAACCTGACATCATCACCCCGAATGGGCTCAACGTCAAAAAGTTTTCGGCACTTCATGAATTCCAAAACCTGCACGCAATTTCAAAAGAGAAAATTAACGAATTTGTCCGTGGTCATTTTTACGGCCACTTTGACTTCGATCTGGACAAGACCATTTATTTCTTCATTGCTGGAAGGTACGAGTTTGGGAACAAGGGAGCTGACATTTTCATTGAGGCCTTAGCCCGGCTGAATCACTACCTCAAGGTTTGCACTGTCTTGCTTTATACGAAAATAAGTAGTAAAATTTATGACACAATTTTAGCAACTTTTTATACTTTAACAGAGTTCAAAATCTGACAAAACGGTCGTCGCGTTTTTAATCTTTCCCACAAAAACGCACAACTTCAACGTGGAAAGCTTACGTGGTCAGGCCGTCACGAAGAGTTTGCGTGAAACAATTAACGACATCCAGTCCAACATTGGGAAACGGATGTATGATATTTGTCTGAGGTGGGTAAGAACTGGAACTTGTACGCACGAATTTGTCTAAAATTTACATATTCAGTGTGTCTGATTTTGCTCAGCGGTCGACTCCCCGTCTCGGACGAACTCCTCTTAAAAGAAGACTTGGTAAAGATTAAGCGTTGCATATTTGGCATGCAGCGGTCCACACTGCCACCAATCACGACCCACAACGTCGTGGATGACTGGAAGGACCCCGTGCTCACGAGCTTGAGAAGATGTCAACTATTCAACTCGGTGCAGGACAGGGTCAAGGTACGCACAACATGCGTGCATATTTAGATACGAAATTGTGCTTTCATATGGGGATTCAACCCACCAATATTTTGGGTTTAGGTCATATTCCACCCCGAGTTCCTCTCCTCGACGAACCCTCTCTTTGGTCTGGACTACGAGGAGTTTGTGCGTGGCTGTCACTTGGGCGTGTTCCCATCCTACTACGAACCATGGGGCTACACCCCCGCGGAGTGCACCGTCATGGGAATCCCTTCCATCACCACAAATCTCTCCGGCTTTGGTTGCTTCATGGCGGAGCATGTCTCGGACACCAAGTCGTACGGGATCTACATCGTGGACCGACGCAACATTGGCCTCGAGGAGTCCGTCACCCAGTTGGCCAAGGACATGTACGAGTTCTGTAAGCTGAATCGAAGACAAAGAATCATTCAGCGAAACCGAACAGAGCGATTGTCGGATTTGTTGGACTGGAGGAATCTGGGCGTGGTACGGGTATTTGACCATAAATCTGGATATTCGGTAACGTAATTCTGTCCCGTTTTGGTGTTGGCAGTACTATCGCCAGGCTAGGATGAAGGCTTTGAAAATGGTCTACCCAGACTTTGACGAGGCGGATGAGAATGGTGTTGGGGGACGTAGCATGAAATATCCGCGTCCCATTTCCGAACCTCCGTCGCCATCCTGGTCCCGAGCAACGACACCTGCCCCGTCGGAACATGGGTCGAGTGAGGACGAGGTAGATTCAGAGGCCGAGGTGGGTCCAATTATAAAAAAAACAATCTGTCATTTGTATCCCAAGAGTGTCTAATTGTAAGATTCGTTACTAGTTGGAGGAACTCATGGGCAAAACCAAAATAGGATTTGGAATCGGGAATGGAAACGGCCGTTAATGAAACTCAAAAGATGTATATTTAGATGGCGTCAATAATTAATCATATCAGAGAGCCCCGTGATATTTTTTTCGACAAGTGTTTCGAGAAATATTGTTAAGCACCCCCAAAAAATAGGAATTGCGTTGAATAAAAATGCCCATTATGCCCCGTAATGGGTTAGTTAGCCTATCTGTCAATTGTGGATTTTAATATGCATGCATATCAAGGCATCCTCGTCATCAACTACCTGTCATACTTACTCCATGGCCGAACTGCTTATTAAATTAGGTTGTGGAACAGAGATAAGGAATGTGAGAAGCTGGACAGAAATATTTAAATGCCGTCTTGCACGTACTCGAGCATCGACCTTGATGTTCACTACCAGAGTCCATACCCAGTCAAGTGCTGCTGGAAGAATTTCTCGCTCACTCTCAGCCCCACAAGTGCAACCCCCTGCCAGCCAACAATGAAGGAGGACATCGCGGTGCATAAGGCTCGGATAAAGTCCTTCCAGATGACCGTGCTCGTAAGCATGGTTTTCGTCATGGTAGGGGAGACAGCAGTGCAAAACATTTACCAGCTACAAAATTCCTAGAAAAAATTTATTTACACTACGAACACAATTCACAATACAATACAACACAACACAATTCAATTTATACTGTGCTATTTTGTTAGGTAATCGGAGGTTGTGTGTTTGGCCTCGGTGTTAAAACACGTCCCGTCCTCCGTATCACGAGAGCGGAAACGTTTCATCATGTATGGAAAAAAATTAATTCAACTTTAGGAAACTTACACATATTTGTATTTGTTTCTTGGTGTCACTGTTAATTAGGTGAAATGGATCTTGGACATGATGATTGCAACGGGCCTGGCCCAACTAGGAACGGCCGGATTGAACTGTTTTGCGACATGTTGCAAACAAATCTGGGTGCTTTACCTGGTACGAACTTATCGTTGTCCTGACCAATTTGTGACGATATAATTATAATTTGGTGCCCCTGGCTTCTTATTTTGCCTTTTGCAGGGCGTTGCTCTCACATCTTTGAACGTGTGTCTGGAACTTGGCTCCATCGGAACGTCCCTTCACTTGCTCCACTCGTCGGATGAGCTGGCGAATGAGGACGTGGTGCATCCCTGGTACTGGGTCGAATGCCAAGTCACCGAGAGCTGCCACTCTGCCCTCCTCTCCTACGTCTACTATTTCGTCATGCCGCAAGTGGCTCTGTCCGCCCTCGCCATCTTCCTCCAGTGTTTGGTCGTCCTCACCATGGGTCGCATGGTGCGAACCGTGGCGGAGCACAGGAAGACCGTGGAGGCTTACAAGGAGTGGTACAGAGAACATGGGGACGACAATGAGGGAGACGCCGACGAGCCTCCACCACCGCCTGTCGTGGCGTCGGGCAGTAAGTCAGGGTCAAAACAGAAGAAGGCTGGTGTGTCGTCAGGGATTGAGATGACGCCGATGAAGCAGGTGAGTGGTGAAGAATAATGAACATGATGGTCAACGCTGTTCAGCTCAAAATAATTAATCCCTCGAATTTGTTCAATGCATAGATTGACGAGCTGGAGGAACCCGACTTCACCATCCTGGGAAAAGTCACGCCCAACGAAGGATCCCTTTCTTCCGTGCAGACGCCTCCCTCTGAGCCCGCTCCCGAGCCCGAGTCCACCTTTGACCATAATTACCACACGCCGTCTTCCATCCTCAAAGTGGACCACGGATACGTCCAAGCCTCCGGAGGTTCACTCGACTACTTGGATTCCCCCAGGAAAAAGGGGGGACTTCGGAAACCGGACACTCCGACCCCACCCAAAGGACTCGCTGGAGCACAGAGCATTACGTTTCAAGAAAATGTGCAAGTTCACTATTATGATCAGAATGCGGAGATATTGGACAGTGAAGACCCCGACAAGCTGTGAAAGTGTATCGAATGTTTACGTATGTAACTATATAAGTTATCCATTTTTCATGTTCAGATATATTTATGCAAATTTATTCACCTTTGTCAGTCAAGGATAATCCTTAAACCACATACAATTTACTTACATGTATATTTTTATCAATGTCCATCTACGTATTATCTCGGTTAAGCTCTACTTTTCGTTGTTGAACGTTTACAAGTGGTTCAATTAAATACGGAATACTACGAATAGTTATTATCTTATCATTTGCGCTGACTACCACTTATCCATCCCATTACATATCTGTTAGTTGAGTTCCATGTAATACGGCTACTCATACGTTCATATGGCACATGTTCATGCTGTGATCTGGAACCTAACCAACGATATCTTGCACAGAAGAAATGACGCCTCGATTTCCTATCCACGCTGCGGTTGGAGAGCAACGAGAAAGCACACTCTTCACCCCGAGAGAGATCATGGACTTCGACTCGTGGGATTCGCAGCGATGAGGACGACGTAGATTCAAACTCACAATATAAACACGACGACTGTCTTTGTTTTTCACTGAAATATACGCGTCATCCAAAATTAAATTAGGTGAGCTGTGCTGAGGTGAGTGGAGATAACACATGACGATGGGTCGGGGTTTATTCGGGGTTAGCATAACCAATTGGGTGATGACGATAATGACGATGAGGTGATGCTAGGAAAACTTTATACTTGAGTTTACATGACAAAAAATGCATACGTGGATTATAGTTAACTTGGTAGCAAAAGGTAGCAAAGAGAAGTCGTTTCTTATGACACTATGAATTGAAAAACCTGTCAGAATTATGGGATGACCCAGGTGCTAGAAGCAGACGAGGCTGAGGAGGAAGTTCTTTCTGACGGATGAAATCACTTGGGGAATACCCAAGGAGCATTTCTGACAAGAATAGATCACTGCGCAAATAAATAAAAAATGACAATCTTATGTAATCCAATCTCGTCAATTGATCCCTTTAACTTGATCGTATAAAAATATGGGCGAAATCACAAGGACATAAAATCACATGAAAACGGAGAGTATGAGCATTTCACGAAATAATATTCGCTCAGCAAATCCATCCTTTCTCGGGATTTAACTGCGTATAATTGAGGTACATGGAAGCCGAGGAGGAAAACATGCCTAAATAATACGCCCGAGTAAAGTAAACGATTCGTCCCATGATTCAAACTACTTGACTTGACTCAAAATACAAGTAATAAGAAAGAACGATCGCATGTACACGCGACTCAAAAACCTTTAAATAGCCCTAACCAGCCCGAAAGAAAGATAAGTCGAGATTCAGCCATGAAAAGGAACATTTCTTAAAGAGATTCTCCTGTATAAAAAAAGACATCGCATTACAGTTGCTCCTCATCAATCATTTCTTTGAAGTGTGTTATTATTAGAAAAAGCGACACAGTCTGTCAATCGTTTTTAAACAATTATATATAAAATCCAACTTTTGTGGCAAGAATTCACGGAAAGAAGCAGAGATTTAAAGGTACTCCCTCGCTTTACTTGTTTTAATTATTTAATAGTTTGTAAGAAAAATTACATACAAATTGGAACTATTCGAGCACAAATCACACACAGTAAAATAATGAGCAGGATAAAAGAGGTATATTTGATAATATGTCATCGCGATCAGATTCATAAACATGAACACAACCCAAATATTTATATTACATGCCAGACCAACCCCCAACAATGAGTAGCTGCATGCATTCTGCAATTTCCTTCCTGATTTGCTCCCATTTCATGATAAGCTAAACAAAGTAAATTGAAATGAAACATGTGCACAGAGCAGAGTGAAGATTAGGGGGACGCGAGTTTGTTGGCTGTCATTACCAGATCAAGTCCAATTCGCGTAACTTTCATTTTCCTATCGACAATTGCAATTAGTGAATTTTGCAGCACGTTAAGAAGATTGAATTGTTGCATGTGGTCATTTGGGAGACCACCTTTTTGTTCCCTTTTGTTAATTCGGTCCACTGACCACTGTCTGCACACACAATACTATTTATTTACCTAATTGTAAATATAACAGAGAGCTCAGCTCGTGTGCAATGTGGATTAGTTGGATAGATATGAATGCAAATTATACCTGCATCATTCATCCATCGAATTATTTATGATCTTAACTTGACCTGAGCACCGTCGACCTCCTTCATTTAATTGCATTTATACGTAACAACAATTAATTAGTTAATTCCTTCCTACATTTCCCACTCCGTCTGCCTCTTGATCTTCTCTGTGCTCCTGGTTATTGCTCCTCACTGGCAAAACTGCACATGCTCTAACTCAAATTTGCATTCAATTGCAGATGAATTTTAGACTTTTAGGACGTGTCAAATCAACACAAACGGAATTTTGCAACTTTTTTAAATTTACATTTATCTCAACGAAATTCATGTATTTTCGCAATCATAAAATGCAAATAGAATTGTGATAAATTCTGATTTATAGCAGTGAGTGTATTGCATCTCGTGGTCTGATGTAACACGAGTCAAAATCTAACTCGCAATTAGTACATAAATAAATAAATAACTAAGCATAAACCATTGGGTTGCATACAATTGCTATGCCTCAACTACGCATCACTGCTGCTGACACCATGCGAATGCACTACCACTTGTCAGCATTAGTCAGCAACAACAATTGTTGGATATGAACGTTGAATATCGTTGTTCCTGCACCAACACCAACGTAGCAAGGCAAACCAACAACACTACATTTCATTCATTCGTCATGATCCCAAAACAAAGGAAATGATTACAGCACAAACATAACTTGCCCCCATAATAAGAAAGCAACATGCAACATGTATTTGACTTGTTGACGTTTCCCCGTAAATCCACTTGAACTATGAATTCATACATTTGTGGAAATGCCTATGAAATCAATACGATAACCAGTGCCTGCAAATAATAACACGCTCGTGGATTGCTCAAAAATTTAATTTGTCGCAAATTCGTTTCTCATTCAGTCTGATTTTACCTTTGTTCTGACAAGGTTGCGACTTTTGGTTTTTTAAGGAGGATAGGAAATTAGACAGGTTTTATACCCACGATTTTTTTACACCACAACTTGGCTTGGCAATTAGACGCAACTTGGTAGACTGTGACCGTATTTGTGCTGGTGTGTTTTCGTTGGAGACGCGCAGTCTGATCTTCCGTTTTCCCCAGATTACATAATTACATTCGTACGAATCCCAATCGAGGTTCACAACTGTAGCTAACTTGCTCTCGTTGTCTTTGACTCCGACAAGATGCGTCCCCACTTAACGGATCTAACCAACAATGGAGGAAGTGCTGAGGAATCCGAGGACGGTTCCACCACCACCCCCGCAGCTTATCATCAAGCCATGATGTGCACCAGGCAGGCTGGTAAGGCCATCATTCGTGTCGTGGGAAGGTGCAATGACGCCAAGGAGAATGAAAATTTGGGTAAGTGCTGAATAAACCCTGCCTCAAAAAATATGACGAGAGAATTGACCGAGAATAACTTTAGAGTTGAGAGTTGAATTAACTTTTTGGACGAGATTGGAAGAGAGAGAGAGAGACTAATTGGAGTATTATTAACTTTGGGTTGTTACCACGTAATGAAATTAAGCAGAAACGGAGTAAAGGATGTGATACGAGTAAAGCGATGTTATCTTTATGTATCTCGAAATGAAACTTGGATCTTGGAAATGAGAGATACGTAGCCAAGAGTTGTCTTTACCTCTCTGAAAATATATTCACTTAAAAATCTTCAATTTCCTGAAATAAGGGAATTTGTTTGTGTACATTTCCAGATTTATCGGACTGTCAATTGATGCAAGTCCCCGACGCAATTTTTCTCCTCATGCGAAACACTAACCTCAAAACTTGTGATTTATCGAGCAATGTCATCACCAAAATCCCTCCACAATTGGGACACAAGTTTTCCTGCATTCGAAGTAAGTAAAATGTGCTTTTGGTAGCTTTGTGAAATCCACGACTGATTCAGACTTTTGCCCCAAGATGCATAAATTCCTCGTACGCCGTTCTCAAAACCGTGCCGTCTTGTGTGTTGTTGTTAGTTAATCACATATAAACTGCGTTACGTCGCCCGCATGGTTTGGCACTCGTCCAGTTGGACGGAACGGAATTGCATTTTACGTAGTAAAATAGCCCCAAAAACCAAAAATAGATTGGACTTCCCCCAACGGCATCATCATCGTCACAACATCACTTGACATTTCACAGAAATAACAGCCACCAGCACGTACTTCTCCTCGGATGAGAAAACATGTGTTTGACATGTTCAATAATATTGGCTGTGGTACGGTTCGAATCGAAGCCACGTTGGGCCAATACTTACGACGACATGGCCATGGACAAGCTCACCGCAAGGTTGACTTGTTCAGTATCATCGTTAAATCCTCGACCTTTTTGTGACATATTTTATAGCATGGCAATTTATTTTGCGCAGATTTGCAATTAGTTGGCAAATCCATAAACATAAGCAATAGATACGAAGCGCTATTCAGATTTATGGAGACATGGTCGTCGTGTAGAATAATGGACACAATATGATTTTGCAATACGGTAAAAAGCAAATACACACACGCTCCTGCTCATTCCACTGAAACTAAACTACGTCGCAATTTAAAATTGTTTTACAGTTGGTAGTAAATATCTTTGATAAGTTCTTTCGAAATTTATTTTTTGCCAGTCTTAAACATAAAAAAGAACAAAAAACAGTTTGGAAATCCCCACTTTGAATGCGAAAAATATTTACCTACTAAAAAACTACATACGTTGCAGTTTATAGTTTCAAATAATGGGCTCAAAACCCTATCATCTCACACTTATCATCAGAATGACACGAGCCAGGCAAGATAAGCTAATACACGAACAACGCAAATTGCTCACACACTTGACCTGATGAGGTTAAGTTGGTGAGCAATTCGCAGAATTATCACTTCATACTTGGTGGCCATGCATAAATCAGAAAAATCATGAGAATTGTTGCGTGGACGCATAATCTCTCCCAAACTACGATGCAGCACATGAGGAACGATGATAATGATGATCGATAAGATGAAAACAAAGGACGTGAAAAAACAAGCACTTCTCCTCTTGTCGCACACAGATCGAACCAACAACGCGTCATTGTCCTCGTCCTCCTGTCATGGGTCAAGTAATCATATGGACGCATTTGCCAAATTCTGTGAAATGAGGGTTCAACAACTCACAAGTCCAATTTTAGAACAAAATGGATGCATATCGCGATATTATTGCGCATTTTCTAGTTTGAGAGATTAGGAAAATAAGGGACGAGAGACCGTATGCACACACTTCTATATACATACATACACTACATATTTACGCAGAGGGAGATGTGTGCAGTCTATGTTTGTTATTTTGTAGCCATTTTTCTAAAAGATTTCTTATTTTCGACAGAACTTAACCTGTCCCACAACCGAATGAGCAAGCTACCCGAAGAGCTTCGAAACTTGGGGCAACTATCAATCCTCAACATTTCGCACAATGCTTTCCTCAACGTGCCACGAATTGTGTATGAGCTTCCCAAATTGGAACAACTTAATGCGGAAAAGAATTACATAGCAGGTACTACAAGCAGCCAAGCTTTGACTGCATTTCTTATACAAATTTGAAGTTTGACACTAAGAAACAAATGTCTACTTGCAGACGTGGACACGGATCGGCTAAGGCGTCGAGTGTCCATAAAACTGGTCAACCTGAAGGAGAACCCCCTCTCGAAAGAGGCCGAGGGACAATTAGCCACCATTTCAAACATCACGATCCATTTCAGCCCCCGAGTTATGGAGGAATGGGAGCAGACTGGGGACGGATATTGAACTTCTACCGCTAAACATAATTACTACCAATTTACAATATTATTTCTAAGGATTTGACTTATTTCATACAGATTTTAATACTTTTCGCTATTACTCAACTTATATCTTGTTATGTTCACTCGCTATATATATACTTTCACTCATGTCATCATATTATGGTGATATTGTCCCTGATAATAATCAGAAAGAAATCTTTTAGAAAAATGGCTACAAAATAACAAACATAGACTGCACACATCTCCCTCTGCGTAAATATGTAGTGTATGTATGTATATAGAAGTGTGTGCATACGGTCTCTCGTTCCTTATTACGTAATAATTAATTTGTGAGAGTTTAAATAGCGAGGAGGAGAGAAATAATGACAATTTACGTTTACACGACCATTTCTAGTCCGGATGTTTTAGTCCTAGTCCTGATTTGATCACATAGTTTAGGAATAGATACAAGTATAGCTTTAGACCAACAAGTCAGATCTTATACATAAAGTGAACGAGTTATGTACTGTGCGGGTGGAGCTAAAACCTACGGCCTCCTAAAGTATCTTGTGCTGAGACTAGGGTTTCTCGTAAGTTTTGCTCCATCCGCACAGTACATAACTCGTTCACTTTATGTATAGTCGTACAAACCTTTACTACTAATCGCGAGTACCCATTTACTACGTTACCTCTGAAGAAAACAGACGTTGCAAATTATTTAGTAACGAAACACGGTACACGCTGTTTCTTTTCGAAGAGTCGTATACACTTTTGTACGTAGTAAATAATGCAAATACACAATACGATCGTTTGATACGTATGAATGTTCGCTCGTTTACTACTAAGGTTTACAATCATAATAGGATGGACAAATAATTGCGAATCAATGATTATTGCATGACATACCTATCTAGTCCTTTGTTAATAAGTAACCCGTGATTTGGAATTTGTATAATCGATTTAGCTAAATTTAGGGAGGATGATTTGGATTCGACATTTAAAAACGGTTAACGTTAGTAGAAGAAAAATTGTTACGATTTAAATTTGGTTGAAAGAAATATAGAATGATACTTATATGTACGAGATATCGCCTTCAGCAGTGCAGCTTTTTCTTTTCTTTGTCCTCTTCATGAGCAGCGAGCAAGGACTGAGATTTGGTTTGCATTTTCTCCTTCATTTTCTATAAATTTCATAAGGAAACCACTAATAATACATAATTCAAATAGAATTAATTAATGGCATAAGAAACGGGGAATATTCATACCTTAAAATCTCCAATCGAAAACCAAGACCGAGTTGAACACAATGAGCTCAAATTGATGGAGGTTTCTCCATCAGGAGGAGCAGGAATGGTTTCTTTCCCAAGTCCAATCAACTCCCGCAGTTTGGTCTGCAATGCTTCCACCTTCTTCTGAAGATTTTGACGTTCCTCGACACCGTCGTTGAGCTAAAGTGATGAGCAAGAAGGCAATATAATTAGTTAGAAAGCACTTTAAACTTGATTATCATATCATACATAATAAGCAAAGGTCACGATTATTTTAGGGTACCATTTTCTGATATAGCTCAATATCCTTTTGCTTCTCATTCATAGCAACGTCAAAGTTTCCTCTCTCCTGGCGAAGTTCTTCAAGCAGACTGCATTTTAGAACGTACTGTTCCTTCCATTGTTCCAACTGGTCAAAGAGGGTCAGGCGGTAATCCTCCCAGGCTTCCTTACTCTTATTGTACCGGGCATGAAGATCGTCAAGTTGTTTCTACAATTTCAAAAGAATATAAAGTCATAAATGTGCAATATGCAAATCTTGTCTCTAATCACCTGGAGACCCGTTTCCCTCTCATGACTCGCCACTAAAGGGTTTTCATAATTTTTCTTGAGCGTTTCGAAATCCTCCTTCATTCGGTAAGAGTGCACCTCCCACAACTTTTTCCATCGCATCTCAATTTCCTTTCGCTCCTCCACGCCAAGAGTTTCCAGTTGTTCATAACGATCTTGTTCGTATTCAAGCTCCTGGTGGAGTTTAGCGACTCTTGTGTCATGTTCTCCTTGTAACTTGATTAAGGATTGGCTCAACTCTTCGTTCTCCTTTTGCAAACCTTTGATTTGGGCTTCGGTTTCTTTGCTTAGCTCATCATTTAAAAACTGAAAGAAATTAAGTTGACATCACAATCTAAAACTTTGAAATTTATTATATTGCAGTAGCATAAATGGTTGTCAAACACTCACACTACGCAGTAGTTTAATCTCATTGGACAAGTATTCAATTTGCGACTCGTGCTCACGGAATCCTTCAAGTGATCTTTTCCTTTCAGCTTGCAATGTTTCAAGTTCTTTCGAAAGACCATCCGCCTTAAAAATTTCTTGATGAAGTTGTGACCGCAGTGTTATGACTTCACTGGCTGCTCCGTTATACTCGGACTGGGAAATTGCAACAAATTTTTAGCTCACATTCATATTTGCTGTCAATTATTATAACCATCTATCTACATACTAAAATACCTTCAAATTTTCAACACATGTTCGCAGGAATCCATGTAACTTGACGGATCCACACGATTTTGACGACTCGCCAATCCCTCCGTTGGCCACGTTTCTGGCTAAATCAGCGTCAGTAATGCCCAAAGCATCCATAAACTCGTGTTGGAAGTCTTTGAGTTGTTTCATCCAACTTTTATAGTTTCCAGTGAGGGCTTCAATTCGCTTATTCAGCTCTGTCATACAATAATAAAATACAAATACATGAAACTTTGAACAATCTAAAATTATTGTTTATTATTTGTTAGTTCATCATGTTCATCCGTGTACCCTTAATCTTCACCACGTAAGCAGTTCTATCCTCTTTGGTAAATCCATCCTTAGCATCCTTCCCACGACCTTCCAAACCGAGTTTCTTTTTGAGATCGGAATTCTCCAAGACGGCCGCATGCAAACGATCATCCAATTCGTCCAACTCCATCTTAAGACTTTCAGCCTCGTCCCGAGTATACTCCAATTCCTCGACCTTTCTCAGTAAACGTGCAATTCGCCTGTCTGAAGCCTCGTTGTCCAGGCGAGACCGATGCAGCTCAAGTTTTAGTTTGGTAGCCTCTTCCATCTCGGACGGAGAAATGCTTGGCTTAGACTTTTTTGGCGATTGTTGCTGATGCGATAATGACTTATCCAAATGTGTTACAGTGCTGGCAACGGAGTTGCTCAATGAGGTTGTATTTGAGGCTGAGGCTGAAGCGCGACCAACGCGACCTTTCCCACTTGCAGTACCAGTAGGGGGAGGAATATACTTAGGTTTACGAGCCGGAGGACGCGGGTTCGGAACTGATGGAAGAACATGTCGTCGCGCTGGAGTAGCGGTGAGTCCACTGGAGGTGGACGCTGATTGTCGTGCCCCCTAAAAAAGAAACAAGAACAGAACCAATTAAATATACTTGATGCGTATAACTTAACTTGAATCTCGCAATCAGCTGGCTTACCTTATACGGAGTATATTTTTGTGGTTGTAGCTGTCTCGTTTGAATAGGAAATTTCTCGACATTCTTTTGCCACATGGCATCCGGGGACATTCTTCCAGCGTAATTTGGTGCCAATGATGTCGTTGAACCCTGTTTGGAGACCAAACTGATTGCAGTCAATAAAAACTTCCTTTCCTATGCACTATACATTACCTTTAAGGGAGGAAACTGAAAAGGTCCTTTCGAAAGACCAAGCGCAACTAAGCGATCCACTGCCGTCGTAACGCTGCGCATCGCTACTGGACAAGTCTTCTCTTGTGGAATCCGAGCTCCTCGTCGCAGTCCAAATCCAGCCATTTCGGAGAACGACACGGGTTGATTTTTCTCCTTTGATCGTGTGTACATTCTTCAAAAAAAGAACAAATGGCAATAAAGAATATTACTCAATAAATCAATCTCTCCTTATCCAACTAACGACCAGTGGTGCTTAATTACTTAAATTAAACAATGTTTTACTTTGGTTTATGTGCAACACGCTCAAGAAGACAGATTGAACAAAAAAACTTATTTCGAAAAATGCCTGCCCTCCTGCTCCTTCTGTTGTTGATAAAACTGATCTACTGCTGATCAATTTTAGTTAATTACTAAAATGAGACACAAAATGGGATGAAAATATGCTCCAGTCGATAACGTGGTGGTTTAATTAATTAGTTAGTTATCCGAATTATGTGTGATGATGAGAAGGGAGTTGGTAGACTGGATGGAACTGGAGGAGCACAACTTCTGTGAGGAGGAGCACAACCACCAACATTGTCCAGGTCATTGACCTGGGTCAGAGTCTTCCCTCAGCTCTCCCTCCGAAACTCGGACAGGCAGAAAACTAAAACAAATTTGTAATGTTAATTAAATTAAGTTAATTAAATGACCATTTGTTGCATCTTGAGGATTTAAGATACCCTGATTTGGTGTTATTTTCATTTTCACGAGCCTGTGGACAAGAAGTTCAAGGAAACTTAGGGTACTTTAGAATAGCAGCGGGTCGATATCGGGTCGGCCGATGTCATTATGCAGAAGAGTTAAAAGATATACATTACCTTGGCATTAGTTTAACAAATAATTTGTGCACTTGATTCGCTGCGTTGCGTTGCATGCAAAAATTGCATATTGCATAATGAATGAATTGTACAAACATGGGTTTCGTTTTACAATCCCCATTAGAAGCGAAATCGAGACGGGGAAAGGGTTCAAATTCCACTAGTCTCGCTGAAGAAAGTTGTCTGCGGTTGAAACTCAACCGTTGAGTTAAAAACATTAAATTTTAAATGCAAATTATAAATTGCGAATTCTTAAAATAGTGTTCACCTCGTAATTTCACCAACATGGAGGGTTACCTTCCCATCAAGGAGATTGGAAAAGGTTCATTTGGAATTGTTCATCTTGCTCAAAGAGTTTGCGATGGAAAAATTGTGGCGATGAAAAAAATTTTAAAGGTAACTTCATGTATGAATCTTAAATTATCGATGTATAACCAGCCTTTAACTTGTACAGTTCCACCGTAATGAAAACGATTTAAAGAGCTTAGGACAGGAATGGGATATTCAAAGAAAATTGAATCATCCAAACATTATCAGGATCCTGGACGCATTTGAAACCCCGGATTGCGTTAGTATATGTTACTATCAATTCAAAATGTGAACTATAATTTTATTGAAATAATCTATTGTCTTGGGCAGATGGTAATTATAACCGAGTACGCACAAAACGGAGAGCTTACCCGACTTATCAATAGCACAAACGGGAAGGGTCTTGACATTACGACTGTGAGGTCGATAACATGTGACCTTGTATCAGCCTTAAATTATTTATTTAACCAGAGAATACTACATAGAGATTTAAAACCACAAAATATTCTTATTGGTTCTGACGGACATTGCAAACTCTGTGATTTTGGATTTGCAAAAACCATTGGGATAAACGATTTCTTGTTGACTTCTATTAAAGGGACCCCTCTTTACATGGCACCTGAAATATTTCAGTACGGTTCATATGACCAGAAGGCAGAGTTATGGTAAGGAGGAAAAAATTAACAATATGGATAGTGAAATAATGAAAATTGCTAATTTGTATTTTTTGGAGGGCAGGTCCTTGGGCTGCATAATCTACGAGTTGTTGTTTGGAAAGCCACCTTTCCTTACAAGCTCATTGTATGAGCTTACAAGAATGATTTATGCCGAAAATATCATATTTCCTCCCGAAATTTTCTTTGGGGATTGTCGTTCATTTGTTAAGGTATGTATATTCAATTTTCTATATTATTTAGTTGTTTTGAAAGAGAAAAATGTTCGAGGCAAATGATTTACATCCATTTATACGTACATTTCTACAGGGCCTTCTAGAAAAGCTTCCAGAAAGACGGATAACTTGGGATCAAATACTTGATCATCCGTTTATTAGAGATCATGCCCGAATTGACAATACAAGAGGAGAATTTTCTTTGGCGAAGGCTTTAAGTCCGTCTCAAGAACTTTTAAGGGAGAAGCAGAAGCAAACCATCCAAAAGAAAATGCACGAATATTCAAGGTTAAAATAGCGAAACTATTTTTTAAATAACTACTTCATGAAATGGATCAATAATAACAATTTTATTTTACTCCTGGTTGATGCTAGGTTAATGTTAAAAACACAAAAGAAAATGCAGAAGGCCCAGAAACAGCTAGAAAATTGTGTACCTGAATCAAAAATAGTGCCAACTCCAATTCATTCCCCAAACACTGGTCAAACTTCAAAAGGTCAACAACAGCAACAAGCTACTATAGCTGAAAGACCTAAACTATCACCCACATCAGCCACGACGACTGGAGGAAGGGTTGTTAATTATCATAATACATCCACCGCAGAAGTAACTAACCTGATTCGAAAAGTTCAAATTGTGGATAATGCTGAAGACAACAACAGTGACTCTTCTTGTGAAACGCTTACATCCAGTTCTGAAGATGATGATGTTGACAGTGACGAGGATATGCGTACCATCGTGAATGGTAGCGGAAACAGTACCGAAGCCAATGAGAAAACTGATAATACCACACAAATTACTGTTCAAAATCCAGTAGCTAGAAAACCGGGGGATTTATTTTGGAAAAGTGGAGCTCTGTTCACGTTACACAGTTTGGGATTGGATAAACCAATTCAAAGTGAAGAATGGATTCATTTTTTGGGTACAACAATGAAGGCAAGTAGTTATAGTTATACATAAGTTCAATTTTTAGAAATATTAACCATACTAATAATTATACTAACATTTATTTTAAAGGAAGTTATGGCCAACCCCCGATGTATCTGCGAGAAGCACTTTCTTACAGTTCTTGTTGCTCCGTTAAGAAACCATTTAACTTCACCAGACGTAATTGAAAGGATTGCTGATGTTCTTGGAGTTCCTTTTACAATGGACGACGACCTCCCTCAAGACCTGGTTTTCCCCTTGCAGTCAATGTATTTGGATTCAAAAGTTGTCCCCAATCTCTTGTATGCTGTCAAAGTAATTGTAAGACGAAGAGGAATAGAAAGCAAGTCGACAGATCTTGATGAAATTGTTAGTTTTCTTAATGAAGAAGACTTTTCTGCCCTCAACAAATGTCTCCGACTGGTACGAAGTAGTTCTTCTTCTCATAATTAGTTACCTCTTAATAAATGGAATTATACTCGATAAGTCAATTCACAAATCTAATTTGACTTTCCTTAGGTTTGTTTCCTAGTTTATTTGGACGAAGGTTATGTTGTTCAATTCTGTGATAGTTTGTGCGTTCTTCAACTATTTCCAACTTTATTGCTCTTGTTGAAACTGGATTCCAACAATGTTTCATTTACTGGGGACATGCTTGCAATTTTGTGTCAACTTATGCGTACGATTCCTTCAAACTATTGCATTGTAGAGGAACTATTTTTTGGTGAGTGGTTAAAATTGGTTGAGCAAAAAAACAGGACTACACATTTTACTTTCATTACAGGGGATTGTCCAATCGCTCGAAACGTGGAGGAACTTTGGAGGCTTTTACAGCATGCAGATACCCGCATCAAGTCCAGAGCAATAAGACTGTTAGCATATTTATCTGTAAACTCGTCTAAAACTGGAGATCAATTTATTAAACATAACGCTCTAAAGCTGTGGAAATGTATACAAAGTGCCCTTCAATCCGAAGTCTCCGAATTGCGAGAGGTAACACTGATGAACCAAGATTTACTTTTACATCATTTCTTCACTAGCAAGATAACAAGTTTTTATTTCCTACTAAATATAGGCAGCCAAATTCGCTTCCAAAAACATTGACATACTGTCCTCAGACAAGGAATCACACTCTCAAAAGTCAATGACGTGTACTAAAGTAGAAATCGTCCGTCCTCCACAAAATATTGAATCTCAATCTCCTTCCACCGCTACAAATCCGTCCAACATTTCAAGTGACGAATCTCGATAGTGCCTTTATAATAATTGTAATACCAATTGTTTTTCTCATCCACAGGTTTATTTTTATATGATGACGTGTTTTATAATCTCGTACTAGTCGTATTGCATGAATCCTAAAAGATGTAATGCAGGAAGATTATTTATTTGCTAATTTTCATTTGTATCTTTATAGACTAAAAATAAATCCTAAGAGTTTATGAAATGTTCCGTGATATGTCCAGGCCAAAATCTCGCCCTCAAATCTCCCGATATCCATATCCATGAAAATTTCTCGCCCTTCAACCTCCAAACCAATATCCATAATCCATTATATCCGCTGAGCTCCGTTCGTAAGCATCAAAATCGGTTATATATTGCCATTGGTAAGTAGTGAAACTCGCCTTGGATTTGCTTGCTTGCTTGTTCGGCATCGAGCATGAATCAGTGGAGCGGCGTATCCAAATCCCTGTCGACTATTTTGTCTACTCGACGGTTGGTATTGCTTAGACTGGAATTATTTACTATTAATTAATTAGTATCAACAAAATGAACAAAGATAATTTTGACATTAATCACGGAGTCGCTCCTCGAGGAAAGGGAACAGAAGTAGGGACTATTTTACAGCTGGAGACATGTCCTTACAACGAAAGTCACCGAATTGGTCACGGATCTTTTGCTGCGCACTTGTACAAGTGTCGAATGGTAATTTTGGTGGCTGGGCATACCAGTCTTAGTTTTTATACTTGATTAAGTGACAACCAGAAATTGTGAATTGAAATATTTAATTTATTTAAAGGCCTTGAAATCGGAAGATCGTGAGCGATACGTCATTTGTGAATATAACGCGACTCACCACATGTTCGCAGAGGTGTACGAAGATCACCTCAAGACGTGCACGGATTTCAGATATTACGAAGCAGATAAGTTCGAAATGCCGCTTGGTATGTTAATATCGTTACCGCAAAGTGCAAAACTTCCTTGTTTTCTAATTTAAATATGGGTACTTCTCTTTAGAATTTTACGGCCATGCCACTGGCAAGAAAGTCGCAGCTAAAGAGTCCGTGTCTGAGCGGGATGAGATTCTAAAACAGCGATATCTTGAGGACGAGATGAAACGGAGGCGGGATGACGACGACCGAAAAACTGGACGAGTTGTCGACGAGCACAACAAACGACACAAAGATTTGGAAGAAAGGATGCAGACGTCGGCTAGACATGCTGTTGAAGAAGATGAATATATGTTATCATTCTAAGCATGAAAGCACGTGATTAATTATAAATACATTGATGCTAAATTGCAGATGTCTTTGTTTTTATTTTTATTTGGGAAAGGCTACAAGATTTTCACCATGATAATAGTTTATCTTTGTACACCATCTTCTACGTTTATCTAGTTGGACATTTTCGTATTATGCAAACAAAATTCGTAAAAAAACCTTGGCTTGGAATTAGTTGGAGTGTTAATTTAGTTTGTATTTATTATCTTGTGGCACGACACATACTTTCATAGATTAATTACACATATATATGATTCATAAACTAATTTAACTAATCATCAATTGGCCAAATTGTATCCTCTAACCAATCCAAGAAAGATTGAACATTTGTGTAAACTCCAGGCTTATCAAGTCCACAATATTTCGAACCAAATGAGGTAATTCCAACCACAAATCGAGGTGACAAGTTAATATTGTCCAGAACTCTCTTTAAAGTAAGTCCGCTCCCAGAATCACCCTGTTAGGAATTTCATTTAATTTCGTAACGCACGTAGCTTTCAGATATTTTTTCGATGACTCACATCACAAGTGTCCTTGGGAATATCATCATCTTCTCCAGCACCGGCACAAAACTGGGAAGGAATAATTTCCTGAGATGACCCATCACTTTCTTGCGAATATGCAGCCACGCACCGTTGCGAACTTTGTCTCCTCAATTCAACGTATTGCAACGTTTCACTTGGGCTTCCTGTGCTCGAAGGTGGGTGCAAAATAGTTGATTCCATGTATGAACTTTACATGCACTTAAAAGTGTATATATACCTGCAAATTCCGTTAAACCCCAACCAGCCGCTGTCAACAAAGACTGATTGTTTCCCATTTCCAAGCGATTTACAGGTTGAGGGAGGCAAGCAGGCTTAACATTGGCCGATAAGACTACCTTGTCCCTCAGCTTGACGAGTCCAATGTCGTTATGTTTCGTGGAAGGGTTGTAGTTGGGATGAATGGTAATTTGGTCTATGGGAACGACACGTCGGGATTTCACCCTGTTGTTCAGATCCACTTTTAGATGTGCATCTCCAATCAACACAAAGGTTGGCTTTCCCCTTCCTCTATTAAAATGATGACAATTAGCATATCGATAACACAATACCTTTCATTCTTAATATGCCCACCTCTTTTCTTGGAGGCAGTGAGCAGCGGTCAGGACGTGGTGGTCACTTACTAGCGTTCCACCGCAAAGCCATGAAATGCGAGATCTGTTTTGTCCAAAACCCAAAGCAGCCTAAAATAATTAAAGACTTATTTTCCTCAACATTCTATAGGTTTCTAATTGCTTTGCAAATATGTGTGTGGCCCAACCATGTATGGAAACTGCCCAACTCGAGCATCCTCCCCTCCGACAACGAAGGCGAGTGGGGTCACCGTTGCAGTCTCCAGGGACCCGGAGCCCCAGCCTTCATTTTCCTTGGGGATATTGGAGGACGGTATATTCGAAGGGAGAAGAAACGTGGGTGCGGCATTCACAGCTTCCTTGTCGTTTCTGGCAGTCGTTTCCGAGTACTCGGCACATTCTTAATTTGGGAATCACATAACCGCAAAATGAGACATTATACATAAATACGAGATTGATGAAAATGTACATTTATTTATTACATACTTTGATAGCTGACCCGACTTCGGGGGTCTGACTCGCAACAAATTAAGGGGGTCCGACTTCCAGATCCACTCTCAGAGCCCTGCATAATTGTGCGTTATGATATTTATATTTTGCATAATCAATCATACTGCCACATCCACTCAAGTTTTTATAATATTTAGTTAACAAAATGGGGTTATAAATCACCACAAAAAGACACGTGACCGGATAAATACCCGCATGGAGATTGGACAATGATCCTGGACATTTCTGGATCGGTTTGCAGACACCCTTGTAATTTCTGCTTTGTCCAAACGAACATGCTGCATTCTCTGAAAATTATTGCGATTATTGAAATTGCATAAGCATGTAAGAAATGAGTGAGCCATTTACCATAATTCCTCGCACTGGCAGCCGACCCTGCATAAATTGTTAGTGAAGTGAGAAGTAATATATGGAGAACAATGCGGCAGAAATTAACGTGTCCTTTCTTAGATTTACAATGAATAAATGTTGCGACGAGGGCCATTCTTAATCATGAATTTACCAAACACTGCTAATTTTGAAGGAACACAAAAAAAGTTCATTAAAAGTTAAAAAAAGTCAAGTGGTGAAATGTCGCAATAAAAAAAAATCCGTGTTTAGATATTGGAACGAAACAATCACATTTTTGTAAGTTTGTAAGTCTTCCTGCTTTTTGGGGCTAGTTTTCCATGCATTATTAAAACTACATATACCATATTGGCTTAAATGCATATTATTATACAAAAATTTTGAGCTTATTACTTACTCATAAGTACGAGTCTATCTACACCCTACACAGCGTTCGAAGACTTCCAATTTACTATCACTCATCATCATGTAGTGCATATGAACAACATGAAAATTGTCAATCAAAACGTGTATATACGTCTAACAATACAAGTCTTTTATTTAAGCCAGGTTAGAAAAGACATGGGATTTCTTAGGTATCTTGCTATCTACCAAACACACAGCATTAAATGCATGTTGTTACCCATGAAAGTGACGAGAAGGGAGAAGTTGAGACAAGTTGGTGACATGATGAGACGCGAGTTAGCAATTTTATGGCAAAATGAGACGCAATTTCTGACAATGGATAGCCTACACATTAGCTGCTTGCCTGACAAATATGTAAATATTCATCAATTGCTTTAATTACCTTGACAGAAATTGTAATTGTATTTTTTCTCGTCGCTATAAATTACTCCTGCTACCACCACGTCACTCCTGCACACACACACACAGAGGTCAGTGCAGGAGAAAAGAAGTCATGATAAAACAGAAGGTAGGTAGATAATAATATCAACAAATGTCTAATATAAGCACGAGGAGCTAATTCTGGGTGACTGATGATGACACCCAACCAGCAACAGGCAGCAACGGTATCAAGTGTCAATAATAAAATCAGCCTTGGTTCGAATGGCCCTAGTCCGAGAGGACACGTCGTCGTCGTCGTCAGTGATCTCGTGTCTTCGTATTTTATGTTGCTTGCTGCTGGCAATAATGAATGGTTGGATCGCAAGTTATAAGAATGGTACGAGCCAGGTCTATTTATTTCTCTCCCTGCCGTTATTAGTCGTAAAATAGGACCAAAAATAAAATAAAGTGCATGTGCATCTCTCCTTCGTCCGTCCACCTGACACAACGTGATGCCAATCAGTCTGAGTTCAGGAGGCATCGAAGGGATGACGTCGCTTCTGCTTCTTGGTTCGTAGAATTGACTGACCATTTCTTGGAAAGTGACGATGGGTGATGCGCCGTAGGAAGAAGCTTAATGGATTCGGGTCAAGGAACATGAACTTGGAAGGAGAGCTTTTTTCTTGCGTGATGTTGAAGGATGCAACGCGTAATTCCTGTCGATCCCTTCTGTAAATTAGTATAGCTAAAATTGCTTATCAGCATTTTCTTTATTCGACGGCCAAAAAGTTAAGCTGGAAATTATTGTCAAGCTTGCAGAAGCGGAAAGTATTGAGTTTTAGTTTTGTTGCTGAAATATGCAGAACCAAATTCCATCTTCTTATCTTGCTGCATGCATATCAATGATACGATATTACAATGTAGTAAAAGTCGAGTAAAAACTAAATTTTAAAATGACTTATCTATTTGTAATATTAAACCGTGCTTACTGCACAGTTTCAACTGCCGCGTTGTCTGTGTTTTATGTACTCGTTTGGTGTTACTTATTTACGTGTAAACTTATTCATTATCTTGAATCATTTGTAAAGTTTTGAGACTGCTAAGAGCTGTAATAATACTCATAAAGTGTAAAGCACATTGCATTGATATCCATTTTCACGAGGACGTCAAATATTATTTTATTACTAACTGCTAATTTTAGTTAAAATGAAGCCATAAATTTGGACAACTAACGCTACCAAGTAAATTTTGCATGCAGATTTACATATCGAAGTGGACTTGACACACAACTTATTACCCACACCACGTGCAACGCTGCACAACCGTAGAGCGAGCGACACTGTTTTTTTTTGCAGTAAAAAATTGCCAGCGTATCGTCAAGTTGCAATGCTAATTTTGTACGTACACCAATTTCAGAGTTGAAATGCCAGCTAGATTGATGGGCTGCATTTTTTCATGTATTTCGCTGAGGCACACAACATTTTTTTGTAGGAAAGGTAATGGTCATTGTAAAGTTATTACCTCTCAAGGTCGATTACTGTAATGATCCAAAGTGTCATTGACTGACTATCTCCTTGCTGGTTTAGGTTTTTATGACATTCTTCTCATTTTCTATCAGCCTCGTCCAGCTTCAAATGTCAACGTCCTTTCACACACTGTATCAATTCTTATGTATGAAAGAGTCGCTTCACTCCTATCGCCAGTTTTCTCCTTCATCTACAAAAGACGGCAGCGATACCTTTCAAAGAATTCCTTAATTAGTACAAAAGGAAAACACAACATGTCTTGAGCAAATAGGACGTGGTGCACATTTTCCTTTGACTTTTACCTTTGGCGTGGTCCCAGCATTCAGTGTGGAATACGTGGAAAAGACAGCAGGAAGGAACAACTCGGGATATAATTAGTGAAAAAGGGATCAAAAACCCTTTTTCATCAAGTTTGACCACGTGCAAACGCATAGTAAGCGAACATTGCTCCGCTCTTGATTTTTTCAAAGTCCAAATTTAACCGAATTTCCGGAGAAAAAATGAAGATTGGACTAATTTGAGCATAATTGTGAAGGGCAAACCTTTCCATGATCAACACCCCTCAGACCACGACCACGATTTTTGTGGATAATAAACAGAAAACGTAATTATTAGGCAGTGGCAATGGTGAAACGACCAGAAAGAAGTACACAAATATTAGCAGCAACTTTCTCCCATGGGAATTTCCAGTCGCCTTGAACTGATTCTGCTCTCACCTTCCTCCAAGTTCTTGAGTCTCATTTCCTACTAACATTGTGACCGACTTGTTCATGGTCATTTCAAACTCCAGTCAATGCACGCGTCCAAAGTGTGCAAGTGGTCACAAAGACGTTGGAAAGATTTGACCAAATTTCGTCATCTTGACCATTGTTTCTTCACCTTGACTGACTTCTGGAGAAAACTGACAAGGGACACTCACGACCTGTCGTTTGAGTCCAGGGTACCCACTATGTTTTTTAGAATCTACTAGGACCCCAGATGAAGGATTCATTCATATTTCCGTGTAAAACTCATATTTGGCGCCATGGCGTGGCGCCAAATTCGCCAAATTTGATGGTTTTTCATTTTAAAACTGCCATAACTTTTGAAATCCTGGACGGATTTTCAAAATTGTTTGCAAAAATCATGACAAGGAGTTCAACTTTCGTATTCTATGAAATTTTTTTCAAAATTATCGTTTTTAACTTTTCGCAAAATTTCGAAATTTCGGGTTCGTCGAAAAAATGCTAAAAATATCTCAAAAATTAAAACTTTTTGATTTTTATTTTTTTCTCTAAAATTTCGACTTTTCTGATCATTTTAAGCATAAAATTTTAAAAATCCGACATAAACTGCAAAAGTTATGGGGGTTTGAAATTGGTCGAAAATGCAAATTTTTAAGTTTAGCGCCACGCCATGGCGCCAAATATGAGTTTTACACGGAAATATGAATGAATCCTTCATCAGGGGTCCTAGTAGATTCTAAAAAACATAGTGGGTACCCTGGACTCAAACGACAGGTCGTGAGTGTCCCTTGTGAGATTCAGTAAAGTCATGACATAGCAAAGTCCGAGCCAGTCCTTGGTTGTAAAATCGTGCCATGTTTGTGAAATCTATTCTGCCTGACTCAAAGATCATTGGACAAGTATGATGCTGGTATAACTTATCATTTATCAATCCATCTCCACACATATTTCACCTTTTATGCAGGTACATGTTGCCTTAGCTGCTTTGGTTATTTAAGTATGGTGGCAGCATTTTGCTACTGAGTCAGTAAGTTAGTTTTTTAGTAAATAGTGAGGTCGACGACCCACTCGTCGTTGAATGAGTGGCATAACACATTACGATCATGTTAAAACTTACTACCGACGGGTGCCAAAAAAGTCAATTTGATCAAACTGCATATCGTCAAACGAAGCGACTCGTATTCCATTTCCCCCGTTTTATTGCAACAATTCACGAGGTAGGTGAATTGGAGTGGTGTAAGGCAGAACGCTTTTTGGACGCGCAGCACAATTTTTCACAAAAGTATTTATCGCATTTTTAGCTACAATTGGAAACGACATTTGTCTATTTTTTCCAAACACGATTCATGTTCGTTCCACAGACACAGAGACGGAGTTGCTCGTCCACTTTGCAAATTTAGCAAAATTGCATCCAATTATGAATTGCATGCCAAAAATGACATGATATCATATTCGCTTACTTTGTTTTATTGTCTCGCAGGAGTAATAAAACGTAACTGCAATGGCATATCTATAATACATCTATATGAATATACATCTATGTAGATTTGCATATATTATGCTAGTGAGCTAATGAGTGGAGCTAATAAATGCAGAAAATGTGTGGCTGCCTGACTGCATGGATTGATTGATTGATGGTGTTCTTACATTTGCATACATTAATGTTATCATTATTTCATCTTTGTCTTCAAACAACTTGTTCTTATTGCGTAGCAGCCGCAGTAGCACCAGTTTTCGCTTAGTGCTCAATCGTGGTTGCACTCAATTACTTAACGAATGCAACAAAGACATGCTCGAGTCGTGTAATGAGGAGGACTCGTTGGACCAATCCATCCCATGGCTGATGAGAAGCATCGAAAACTAATTCTCGTTTTAGAGTTGAACTTTTAAGATCAACTTCAAATCCGTTTCAGAATTAAGGTAGCGATTTTACTCAAACATGATTGTTGTCATTAAAACTGATTTAAAGAAACGTGTTCTTGCCTCAAGAATAATAGGACTTCTCGAAAAGTGCACTTTTAGATACGATCATACGTGCCATTTGTTTAACTTTGGCAATTAGCTGCCACTTTGTGTAGGTGGTGGGGATCACAATAATTGCACCAATACCTGTCCGGACCTCTGGGAATAGAACAGAATATTTCTCGTGGTCAAGATGCATAAATACCTTTTGTACATCTGACACGCATTGCACAGAAATGCGATGTGTAAATTTTATACTCCTTTTATAGCAACAACAACTAATTGTTTAAAAATATAAGCCGACACTCTAAGATAATGTCTGAAAAAACTTCTTGGAAAATCGATAGTCACAATAAGCAATAATAAATCAGCAAATAAGCACCAGAAACGATTCTGCTGAAACTTACCTTTCGGACAAAAAAAGCGTCTTAAGTTTTGCAAATTTGCCTTGTGCCAACTTAATTAGTTCGCAACAATCGAGTTCACTCACTCGCATTTTGTATGCACACCTCAAATTGTGTTGTTTACATGTTTTCATTTTTAGAATCAACATCCCCTGTGTCCTGCAACGAAGGATGGCAAAAGCATCCTCTGCATGCAATTCTGCATAAGGCTCACAGTTCGCAGAATTTTTATTTTTCTGCGAATCGCTTGATTAAAATGTGCATGATATTACTTGGTGTAGATCTTGTGTGTAGAATGCTGACCAGTTTACGCACCACGAGTCCTGCATGTATTGATTTACTACTCGTGGTCATATACTCGGTAGGAGGGTGTGTTCCATATGATGATGAAGATATGGATGCATGTATCACAAATTGTACTAACCCACACCACAGTGAGCTGGCTTATAGTGGGGTCAAGAACCTTTTAATTGTATTTTATATGTTACATAAAAAAGGAGATAAAGTGACGCATTTTGTCTACAAGTTGGCCCACGCCAAAAATGCATTGACCACTTTGCGCGGTGATTTATGTCGTTGGTGTACTCTTGCTGCACTGCTGTAGCAAGTCGTGGTGAGCCAGTGGCACATATCGAACAAAGCCAAAAAAGAAGAAGACGGCCAATAACCTTTCAAGTTGAATTCAATTCAAGTCGGTGGTGTTGTGTACTTTTAGAGGACAAACACCTTTGTGCCTTTTTACCAATGGAATAGGGGGACACGGTGTGCCAGACCTGTTACAACCAGCAGACCAGTCCTAACACAAGAGGCTCACCACCAATAAATATTAGAATCTCTTATCCCCAAGCATATTTATCCTCGAATCACACTTTTATCACGATATGCAAACAAGTACTTAACATAATCAATTGGATAAGCTCCCATTAAATGACAATTAAAAATGCTGCATGACTCCAGTCAATGACTAATATGCATAGGCGTCAATGTGGAAAAGTGCGTGTGTGATCAGTGGTGGGAGTATCCTCATGGGTTCACTTTTTGATTGGACGGAGGTCCACCATGCCTCCAATTTGCACAAATTCACGACTTAACCTTCACATCGTGGGAGGGAAGTGGCAGGATTTGCGAATTGCGACGGATTCTCAATTTCCATGCCGTAGTCGCGTCATTAATGCAAACCAGAATTATGATAATGATGAGAAATAATTAAGAATTTTCTGTTTCACTTTTATTTTCATTTAATTTGAAGCATATCAAAATTTTGGATTTCTTGTTTTCATGGGTTTAGCAGGCGTATTTTATTTTTAGCTATGGTGGTAGACGACCAATAAGATGCATGTTTTGTCACTTTTTCTAGTAAATCCTTACGCTTCCGTTTTTTAGGGCAAGCAAGAGGTGACTTGTTGCATCTCGTCGGTCAATGTGCCCATTATTTCCCACTGTTTCACTTTTGTTTTGCATCTTCCTTTGAAGACAAGAAAAGCCGTGTCACCACTAAAATATTATTGTACTCACTCGGCACCAACAACGCCACCCAGTCCGGCCGAGAGTGGGAACGTGCCCTTAAACCAGTCAGGAGTTGTTGAGATATAATTCCAGTTTCAGACCGGATGCATCATGATCGCATCATGATCTTGCTAACATCATAACCTGAATAAACCCAGAGAATATTTACGTACCTGCACAACAATATGCACTCGAGTCTGGAATACTAACCCACAAAACCACCAACTTGTCAAAGGAGCACCATTGCCTATAGCAGCGGAGATGATGAGATATACAGATGAGGCAACTTTGCTGATGAATGATATGTACAAGTTGATAAGATTACGGTGATGACAAATGCATTAATTGGCCTAGAGATTAGTGACGACTCACTACTAGGTAACCACTATAGTATAGCTGGTGTTTTACCTGCATGTTGATATAGCAGGTGCACTCCAAGGGGCAATGACTCTCCTCACTTCGTCGCCTCACATCTCATTGTGAAAGGACACATTTAGGACAATTGCTTGCATAGAGTAAACAGCAGCCAATTTAAGTTGAAAGATCCTCACTCTTCGCTATGCTTCTGGTACTAAAGTGTTAAATAGTGTGTTTGACACTCCTGGAAGAGTTCTTCTGGAGGAGAAGCCATGACACGAATCTGGCAGGTAAAACCTATTCGTCTCATGTTTGAAACCTTGTTAGCGCATCGTCTCTTGGCTTCAACGCCGCCGCAAACCCCGAGATGGGCGCTCACCCCAGGAGGAGAATGGGAGGAGAACAAGAGGAGAACAAGAAGAACAAAGGGAAGAGAAGAAGGTTTTATTGGAGGATAAATAAATAAAAGGAAAACTGGGCCAAAAAGTCAACGAACGACCTTTTCTCTAATGTAATTCCATTCTAAGGTAAGGAGTAAGACATCGCAGCCACTCGTCTTGTTACCATAACCATCACGATCAGCATATGTATAGCTAAGAAGCAGCAGTATCTCCAAGATGAAGAACTTGCATGCACATTGCATCCCATCGTCGCATACGTACAAACAATCTTAGGCAAACATTGCTTAAAGATCATCATCGCGCATGCAGTTAAGTGTGCATACGCATCCCATGGGCTACAATGTATGTAGAGACGACTGCATCCGATGCATTCTTCTTGCACACATTTTTTGCACTGCAATCCTCGCTGGTCCGAGTCAAGCAGAAGAAGAAGAAGGGCAAGCCAGTGGTACAGATTATCGGCTGAGGACAAATTTGAACTCGTGCTGAGAAGGTATCATTGGCTTGGCCATTTTCCTCACTGCCTTGTTTCACGGTATTAAATACTTCTGCTGGCTCATTTTCCAATGCATTCTACTTATGTGGATGGCTGATGGATCATATATTCTCAATTTGAATAGTTTTGTAATACGATATCCAAATGGGAAACTCTTTTCCCAGGAAGATGACGATCATGTGGAAAGAAGAGTTGCATATTTAGTTAAGATTCTTTGCTGGAGATGCAGTTTTCGAAAGTTGAGAACTCTTCTTCTTCTCAAGATTTTGTAACGGGTTTTCTCAAGGAACTTCAAAATCCTGGCTCCTGTGACCCTTCAAATTCTAAACCAAAAACTACCGTCATTCACTCCGCGTCCGTGTCAAATTGAATCTTAGAAACGGGACCTAGTCTGCATCCACTCATCGAAATACTACAGTTTTCGAGACAGTTTCGAGACGACCTGTCCAGGCTTCTGGCTTCCCTTCCAATCATTTTTTACACATTGATGATGCATGCTTATGGACCAATTGCGAGCAGTAAGATCCGGATTTAAGGTGAGCAAAATATCTGCCCTACAGCAACCTCAGTAAAGAAGACAGCCCAAGACGTTTGGTGGTGTGCGTCCTGATGGAGCAGTGGCAACGGTTGGAGCCCCATGCATGCACAGAGTTCTTGGTGAATGTTGGTACAAAGAAGTCATAAAGTTAAAAAGTGGTGAAGTGGACCTATTACTACAGATACTACGACTACTACACTTTACTCATTTATTGTATTCCACTATTTTGTGTTTATGCCACCTCAATCGGGTCAATGAACCATCAACAGCAACAGTGCACACCGTGGTGCAGGAGTGACGATGGTATTATTGGTAGTGCCCCAGGTCTCTCGCATTAAATTAAAGCTCTTCATCATTAATGCTTCGTAATTACATGCATGACACAACGATCTCCGTCGAGCACCACCTCTGTGCAAAAAAAATGGTTCGGAAGACGAAAATTTCGCACTGCCGTAATTCTTATGCATTCCAGGAAAAGATACGAATCTCCATTTCCACGAGTTCATGTATTTCAAACCCTGTTGTTTTAAATGCGCATGATGAAATGATGCTTTCTTGCATGTCTTGCGTAACCAAATTAGGAGGAATTCATCAAGATGCATTTTCCCAAGGAGGCGGCAGAACTTCTCGGATTTCATGCAATTTCCAAGTGAAATATTCAACGCGAACCTTAAAGTGCACCCAAAAAGTTATGGCCTGATTTCCCAACCACTTGCTTCACTCTTCTGTCTCCCACAACTGTTCACGAATGAAGGAGTAGGAAAGGCGTACAATTCTTGCCCTCTTCCTGTCATCCCCACCAAAGCCTATAAATCCGAAGATAATAAAATAAATGGGATATTTATTGTGCGGGTTTTTGTTGGGCTCTCGTTGAATGAACAAAGGAGAAACGGTGCATATGAACCATTTTAACCATGAATACGACACTCTCGAGAAGAAAGAGACTGTTCCCTTTAACTGTATAAGAGATCCGTTCGTCCTTTTAAAACTCACCTCTCTCTCGCCCCATCCATTTCCTTGGTCTCGGGAGGATGGAGCGGTTTCCTTGTTGGCGTGGAGGGTCAAACCAATATTCGCTCGACCTGGATGGGACACTTACTCATTTGCTCCACCATAAATTAATGCAGACTTCTGGGGACCGGGTCGCGTGGAGTACTTAAAAACAAGCATTGAGAAAACATACGAGTAGATGTATATGATGCTTTAACAAGTATTTATAGACGAGCACATGTTGCAATCAACTTCACGGGACGGCAAGTTTTTAGAACAGATCACATTTCAAAAAGTAAAAATGGATTGATGCAAGGTTAATAATAGTGAGAAAGAGGGGAGAAAAGTTACTTGGCTCATTTCATCTGCATCTCGGTTGGTCAGCACCACTGATGGGCAGTGAGGTCCAGCATCTGTCCACCAAGAGTCAAAATCTCCACTTACTTGTTGCTTACTGCATAAAAAGTGGGGCCTGGTAATTGTTTCCAGCCCAATGATTCGGACTCTGCAAGGACCAACGAGTGGATTGAGAGATTTATTAGTGCTCTGTCGTGCTGAGTGGTGACCCTTAATGATAATTCCTCCTCTTCCGAGTTCCGTCTTGCCTTGGACGACTTGAGAGTCGACTCTGATGTCCAGGAAGCAGATGGGCAATTGACCCACTTTCCTTCTCCTCCGCACCGCATCTGACGCTCTCGGGAGATGACTTCTTCTTCTCCAGTGGAGAAGGAAGACTTGACCGGCCCAAGTCCTGCATGGGCATTCTGCTCCCAAATACTGCTGCTGGGAGAAAAGAAATCTGGGTGTGTTTTCCAGATGGGGAACAATTAGACGCAGAGTTGGAGAAGGATAAGGGAAGTCTCAAGTGAAAAGGGTGACCACCTATTTGGGTTGAAACAAAGCGTGCATATTAACTTCGGACTTTTGACCTAAAAACTTTTCTGGAACTTGGTTGTTGGTGTATCCAACGGCATGAATTATGGTAAACGAGCATCATGAGCAGAGTAGAAAATTCTCAGATTTGGGCGAGGTTCTTGATCTCATGTTGCCTCCTTATGATTTGTGGTCTCGTTCGGAAGCTGTTGGATTTCTCCTTGGGTGAGTACCGTGCATGCTGGTCTGCCAGGACTCAACCCAGGTCGTCATCCCCCTCCCGTCTCAACAACTCTCCGCATTTAATCGTTCAAACCATGCATTTGAAACACTTTGCGTTCCTCCACGAAGCAGCCACCGCGTTGTTCTCGCCCTGTGCAAAGCGTATTTTTATGATTGGAGGACGTTGCCTGACGTACCCTGCAAACTGTACGAGCTGTAGGGGCTCCTTGCGTCGATTGCTGGGAGATATTTGTCGTCTCAGCTGACTGTCATGTCATGGTGCCCACGTATAAAAGAGATGTAGGACGTACCTGAGTCCTCAGATAGTCAGTCCTGGCTGCGGGCCTCGTCACACACGATCACTCTCATCATCAGAGCTCGTTGCATCCCTTCTTCTTCGTCTTCAGCCCCACTCACTTGGTCGTCACCTTTCCTTGGTCTTCTCGTAATATAATCTTTTCAGCTCGGCTCAGCCACTTCTCACTTCACATCCACCTTCACTCCTGTCCACTTCTTGGCTTGGTTGGTGAAGTAGACGTTGTGGTTGTCTCACATTGTGTCGTGGTTCTCTCTTCTCCGGTCACCCCACTAAAGCAGCCAGTGTTCCCTGTCTCCTCCTCCCCCACACACAAGCACGACACGAGTCCACTGCGGAGATTGATTTTCAAAAACTTCTGAGACTGACTAATTGTTAAGCCGTGATAATTAAACGACACAAGATGCTCATCTTCTCCAAAGCGGTGAGTTTGCTGATGGGGAGTGAATTGTGCTGGACACTCGTCAGCTTCCTCCTCGTCCTCGCCCTCGTCAGAGTCGTCCAACTCGTGCTCTACCTGAGAAAACTGCCCCCCGGTCCTTGGGGCGTCCCCTTCCTCGGATTTCTACCCTTCCTCAACGGCATCCCACACCTCCAATTCAACGACATGAGCAAAAAGTACGGCTCGACCTTCTCCGCCAGACTGGGCAACCAATTGCTCGTCGTCCTCTCGGACTACAAGAGTATACGGAAGGCCTTTCGCAAGGAAGCCTTTTCCGGAAGGCCGGAAAACGAGATCTCTGCCATCATTGAGGGATACGGTGAGTTAAGCCTTGTTTATGCTCTAATTTATGGATTATTTGGGGCACAACGTGAGACTCGGGGTCAAATTGAGACTTTTCTTGTCCAGAGCTAAGACACAATGGGCATTCTTTTTTTAATGAACAATCATAATCATCACCATCCACGCAGTCATATAGCAACACTCAAATGTTAATTTGCAAATATATTCATGAGCGCATGCGAGATGAATGGTCGCGTCTCAAAAATTGAGACTGAGGACATTTTAGTAATAAGTTAACTGCGATACTGAGCCAAGCATGTGAGTCCAACAAGTGGTTCTACATGTGTAAATATACATAGAAAAGCAAATATAGACCGTAAGCGACCGTCCTAAATAGCATAAAAGTATATTCCATCCTCCTTCACATGGCTACATATATTTTCTATCGATATCTTTATACATGCAAAGTTGTGGCTGTTCTTCTCGCGCAAATTTAAGCACTTGCTTATTTAGAGCGGATGCTTTATGAATGATAATCACATTCGTATCGGCAGGATTATCATAACATTTCGTACCAACATCGTCACATGGGGTGATCTTGTTTGCAAATATTTTGCAGTTCTGCAATTATTGCAAGGGCGTCCGTCAGTCATCATTGTAAGTGCTGCATGGCATGCCATTCTTACCAATTCAGAATATGAACTTGTTGCACATTTCAAACTGACATAAACTAAATGTTGTTGGTTCAATATTATATTTTAAATGAACAATGTGTGCAATTTGGCTGCAATTGTTAAAGGGCATGCAAATTTTGTTTAAGATTCTCTTTTCAATCGATTGTTTAATGCTGGGTTGTTTAGGATATGGATCGCTTGTAACTTTCACCCAAACAAAAGTGGGTTCATGGCCGAGTCGAGTTTTGGAATTTGAGACAAGTTAAATATACGCATGACTTTTGGTCATTTGGAAGGTGTGGAAATCATATTGAGTAAAACACTATATTTAGAAATGCATGGAAAGTGCATAATACGACCATTTCCAGAACTTACTCGTATTCCAGTACGTCAATCATGCATGTTTCTGTTCCGGTTTTGACAAGGATGAATAAAATTAAGTAGCGATCTCATCCCCACGTGTCACCCTCGTATTCAGACTAAAATTCCGTTAAAGCTTGACATGCCGTACTCATTTAAATTCCGGAGAAACTAAGTCTAAATGTAGTGCATTTGCAATTCCATCCCCACATTTTTATTACGACATACCTAAATAAACAAAAGCTGAAGGCATGGTCGTCGGGTGAATGAACGAAATCGACATTTGCAAAGCTCGCCAATTCCTTAAGCCATTGTCCCGACGAGAAATATTATCATGATTTATACTTTATTTATACTTTTATCACTTTCGTCTCGTTACTCATGCAATTTTTGTATTCCTCTTTCCACACCTTGCTCATTGAAGGGTGGTAGAAAAATCAGTCTGGTTCGCGGAACTGGGAAAGTCGGTCATAAAACACGATGAGAATGAGTCAATCATTTATTGACGAATGCTAATTCCTTTCCTGGAAGCGATGTTTTACAAAATTTATTACAATTCAGAAATAAAAATGCTTAAAATACGTTGACCCCTTCATAATTCGAAACATTATAACCTACCTCACTCCAAAATTAGCATAATTGTTACATTATTTCACCAGAATTATGGAAATAGGAGGCGACTGTCGAGCAAAATGTTGAGCTGAAATTCAAGTCTTTGGGAAACAATGCTTTCTGGTATCAAAAGCTATGCTGATGATATGCACACGAATGTCTACGGCTTTACATTGCATGGGATGAACCCATGTGTGGATTTCCTCGGTAGTGGAGGTAGCAAAGGCCTCTCAGTAAATAATATTTTAAGGTGGTCCTTGATTTCTTATCGGGTTGAATGAACTATCTCATCCCGAACTCGTGGAGACGGACAGTTCAGTTGGTCGGATGCATCGAATTGCCTCCCATTGTTGTCCTGATAAAGAAGCCGGGCGGGGAGGAGGATGTAAAAAGACAGGTAAAAAGCGCTCCAGACTCGCACTCTCCAGGAGCAGCAGGCCACGATCTCAAAGTCCACTGACCCCTTCGTTCCGTAGTTTTATTATATTTGTGTATGCCTCCAAATCCCAAACTGGATTTTGTGTGAGAAAAAGTAGGAGGAGGAGTAGTTTATTTTTTACTGTCGTTAAAAATGCCCTGCTGGAGAATTTTGAACCCTCACTTGCTGCAGCGTCCATGGGTTCATCACCACCAACGGACGTTTAGCAGGTTCCATTTGAGGAGCATATGTCGGTCCGATGTCCGACTCAGGTCCCTCCATCCGCTGGCTTGCTGAGATTAGCCCTTCCTTCCCAGTCATCTAATAAAAATTAAAAAAACTGAGACCCAACAACGTTTCATGATGTGTTTAGAGATAGATTTTCGTTAAAAAAAAGTGGACACGCAAGCTTACATACGACTTATACTAATTTTACTCTTCCTTCCTCTGATTTCAGGCGTGGTGAATGTGGACGGCAAGTTGTGGAAAGAACAGAGAAAGTTTTTACACGAGCAGCTTCGTCGCTTCGGAATGAAACAGGTGGGAGCTGGAAAGGAGCAGTTGGAAGCCAGAATTATGGTGAGACACTCAATCAGCTTTATTATTCATTCATTAATAAATCGGAATGAATCTGAATTTGCAGAATGAGGTGTCCCACTTTTTGGCTCAACTATCCGAGGAACCGGTCGGATCTCCGCTAAGTCTGAACAATGCTCTGACGCTGTCCTTCTCCAACATGATCTGCTCCCTCCTCATGAGCGTCCGCTTTTCCAGAAACGATCCCCGCTTCAAACGCTTCATGGGGCTCATTGAAGAAGGCTTTCAACTCTGCACGTCCACCGGAGCTTCTAATTTCATCCCTTGTCTTCGTCACCTTCCTCGACTCCAGGCTCTCAACGTCAAAATACAAGCTGTACGAATTCAAGTACTTTTAGCTCTTACAGAGAAAAAGTTGCAGTTTTAATGTTTGACGTGATCTTTTGCAGAATCGGGACGAAATGTCCGAGTTTTTCCGAGATATTGTGGAGCAGCATAAGGAGACTTTTGACCCGTCCGACATCCGGGACGTGGTGGACACTTACCTGCTCGAGATTGAGATTGCCAAGCAGGAGGGCAGAGATATGGAGCTGTTCCATGGAAAAGACGCTGGTAAGCAGACACGTGAAGCGAGTTGGTTTGCATGGATGGATGTTTAGTAAGGCGTAGGAGGGTGGGTAGGTGGGTAGGAAGAGATTGTCTCATCTCAACCTACCTCAGCATCACCACATGCAGTTATAGTTTTCAAAAGTTATGATATCATCTTCAGGTGAAGAGTTTATAGATTCTTGGTGATTATCTCATTCTTTGGTTCACTTGGTGAATGAAATGAGCGTCAATTAAGGAACAAACCAGACCAGCTACTTATTACTTGTCTGGTTTACCAAGTCGACTCGAAAATCACGAGGAAAATGTTGTCCCTGGTTAATGGGTACAACAGCAGCCAGAGCCAATTTGTCTACCTCTTTTGCCCTTTTGACTCCTTGAAATTGTAAACTTTTGCTCGATTTCTTGTCAAGTCCGTGTTTTTCATTGACGAATCCTCTCTGAAGACCGTTCATTTCCCCCCTCGCATATCATCTAAGTCTCTGGTAATTCTAGCAAAATATAGGAATTATATACTAGTAGTAGGTACATGTAAGGCAATTGTACTACGTTGTAATTTGCTCATTGGTTGGTTGGTTGGCAGGCACATAGCTAAATACCGAATGTGCTAATAGTGCATGCTAAATAAATATGAGCAAGTGGATGAGTGAGGTACCTACACATCTGCCCAGCCTATGGACGCATATGCACCTCTGTAACTTTTACTAGATGTGCATATTTCTGTTTCCTTTAATAGTTGCAAATTTCTTTGCAAAATTCTTGAGCCAACAACAGGTTATAAAATTTGCTAATTAAGTATGTATGCGAATGTACGTATGCAGATATGGGCTGACTGAAGAAGAAAGATTTTTGGAATATTTTCAATTAAGCTATAATGTAGACATGTGAAATTAGTTGGTTAGGTGGTCCTATAGACGGATGGCTATGCTCGTTACATGGCCGCCGACACAAGTATTCAATAGTTGATAGAGATTTTTAACAAAGGCGAAACTATTGTATAATTGACGCTGCTGCAAGCCATCCAATTAAGTTGGCGTCGCGTCGCAATAAATTTATTATGTTTGTCATGATGCCAAAAGTGAACATGGATGGCGTCTGTTAAGTACAATAGCCATCCATCCATAATAATAAATAGTGCATGTATTTCTGACCCTGCTAATTTTATGAGTTTGTAAGCATTTCGTTGCTTGTACTTGCAGATCGTCAAATCTATCAAATTTTGGGAGACTTGTACTCGGCTGGAATGGAGACGACGAAAACCACGATGAACTGGGCCGTGTTGTACATGCTCCACTATCCCGACATCCTAAAGAAGGTCCAGAATGAGTTGGATGAGGTAATTGGACGACGACGAAACTGTGAACTTTCGCTTAACCATTTCTTTCCATAGTTTTCTGTTCAGAAATGTAATTAGTTTTTGGTCACTGTTCGCAGGTTGTGGGTCGCAACCGTCTCCCATCTTTAGAAGATCTCGCAAACCTGCCCTACACGGAGGCCACCCTGCTCGAAGTGTTTCGCCGTGCTTGCATCGTTCCTTTGGGGACTACACATTCCACAACGACGTGAGTCCTTCATAACCGAATCGACTAGAAATTCCCTCGCAAATTTATGCTTAACGCCACATTGTTTGCACCTGTAGTGACGTGATGCTGGACGGCTTCCTCATACCAAAGAACTCCCAAGTGATCCCACTCATCTACGCCGTGCACATGGACCCCACGCTCTGGTCTGAGCCAGAAAAGTTTGACCCCACGCGATTCCTCAACGCCAAAGGTCGCGTTGTGAAGCCCGAGTTTTACATCCCGGCACGGGACGCCGCATGTGTCTCGGTGACGTGTTGGCTCGTCACCAGCTCTTCCTCTTCTTCACCTCTCTCCTCCACGTCTTCGACATTGAGCCCGTGCAAGGGGCAACTCTCCCTGATCTCGTGGGCAAGAGTGCAGTCACCATCATTCCCGATGAGTACGAGGTCAGCCGCACTCCCTTAAACCCCATTTCATTACAACATTTAATCTATAAAAATTGGCAATTTTCAAACTAAAAATCCATTTCTTTCCACAGCTTTGCATGAAGCCAAGGAACCTCGAGTTGCTCAACAACTCTGTCAAATGTGATCAGTCCAATAATGCAGCCCCAAATGTGGCCAACTCCGAGAAGAGGAACATTGGTCAACACTGAAGCAGCAGGGGAACAAAGATATGTGACGAGATGATGACGACTGACTCGGTCCGTCTGGTCGGAATCTTATTCACTCCTCAAATCCAATATCGATGATCAATCAATCAATCAATTATATTCACCAGTTCGTTGCGCCAGTGCCATTTTATGTATTACCTCAACAACTACTCAGCTCAGGTCATGCCCACCTATGTATCCACCAGTACCAAGGCCACGGCCCCCCTTCCCCCCCACCCCTCGTGGTTTACTGGTTTGGTTGTATCACCATCTTCATAAATATTATGATCAAGTGATTCGTGGTGTCACCTCCCACATTTACCACAAACTAAACCCCTTCAATGTTTGCTATATTATGTTTGCAACTATTTATCGCATTGATGCAGGGATTCTTGTTTTTTGGCGACTTTATTGACCCACCGACTTTTTAAAACAAAAAAACTATATAAATGTACACACACACAAGCACACACACCGACTCGAGTCAGTTCACCAACCAACCATCCTGTAATTGTCCCTTTAGTGATTGATATGCCCTGTGCAAATTGCTCACAGCACTCAAATACGCAAAATGCATACCTGTATGCGTATGTATGTACGTGTATGACGACGACCCTGGGAAAAATTCGGCCAGGGTTCGGTTATGAATGCATTTATTTACACAACACATTTACACAATATCTTAAAAGTTAGGATGACAATATCGACGATAAAGCTCATCCGCAGTCAGGTTTATTTTTTGATCCCACCGAGTTACCGAATATACCTTTAAATAGCCTAGAATTGAATTAAGTGTCACAGCAGCCACGTGACATTTTAATTTCACCCTTATCTCAGCTCTACATAAGTATAAGGCACACGTTAATTAATGCGTGTAATTATAATTACTCAGGTGACTTTGACAGTTTCACAGGCAAAACTTACCCGAAAAAGGGACAAGCTGAGATTGGTTGGTGTTCCTTATCAATGTTTTTATATTACCACTTTTTTGCACGTAGGCTAGAAAATTATATAATAGTTTTTTTTTTAGATATCTATAATAAGTAATAGTGTAATAGTCTTGTAAGTATTTATTGCCCTAGAGCTTAGTTAATTATAATTATCCTTTTAATTATTACTTAGAGATTTAAAATAAATATGACCAAACGACTATTCGTGTTGGTCAAATGTGTCAATTGAGAAAGCGAGAAAGTAAGACTTTCACTCAAAACATGTCAAAGTGTTGGGATTTTGCATTCTGGTGAATTCTGCTTTCTAGTCACGACGACGACGATATTCACTGGATACACTTTCTCCTAATGCTAATCCATAAATAAAATTTGCAAAAGAAAAAAGAGATGAAATTATTTGTCCAAAAAAATTGCAGTTTTAAATTTTGAGTTATGAATGTATATTTACGTAGTCCTAAATTTTATCATTACCCTCTGTCACTTGTCTAAAACTCGTTCTCATGATGACCATGAGTACTTGTGTAATGTAAAAAAACTACAATGATTGCGATTAATATTTTAATTGGTTTAATTATGAACCACTTTGAACCACTGTAATCGTTTTTAGTAAATGTTCTTAGTAAATTATTCATACATACATTTCGTTGTAAACTACTTGCTTATGTTGAAAAATATATTTTAAAAAAATGATACACGTTTAAAAAACTTTCTTAACGCGTTTTTGAAAATGTATGCAATTGGGCTTTCTAATCTGTATGCAACATAACATCTTGAGCATGCAATTTTCATAAAGCACAAGTCTGTTTCAACAGAACAGAACACGTAAGTTTTGCATAATTGGTTTTTATTACTTGCTCAAAGTATATTAGATACATGTTTTTATATGTCGCCCATTATCCGTCGGGCACTTGTTTCAAACAAATTTATTGAGTAAAATTGTTTCTGGTCAACGGTTGTATGAGATAAGATTAAAGTATTTAATTAAAAGAAAAAGCAGCTCAACCTTGAATAAAGCTTGGAAAATAGGGAGACCTGAATCAGTCAAGTATTTGCATAAAATTACAAAATTTTATTCCCAAGAATCGTCCGTGACAGCAGGTTTGGGAGGGGATGAGTTATAATAACGAGGTCTTTTATTGAAACCATTGTCCTGGTCATCATCGTCGTTCTGTCTTTTTGCTCCATAACCCCCACGACCACCTCCACCACGGCCCCTGCTGGACCCATAACTCTCTTCGCCAAAGGAGGGCGACCCACCACCACCCCGAAAACCACCTCTAAAACCACCCCCACCACCATCACTACCGCCTCGACCCCCACGACCCCCACCTCCTCGTCCCCTGGAAGATCCCCTTGAGTCACCTCGACCTCCTCCTCCAAATGAATTCGATGAACCGTAGCTATCATTACCACCACCACCACCTTGACAATGAAAAATAATATTAATGTAGAGTGGTTAAGGTAATGTCCTGCTGTTGCAGTGTATTATCCAATGTTAAATTGAGAATAGGATAGTTTGTTACCTCCTGGCTTTGAGCTTTTGCATTTGAAACACTCTGATCGACTGGCGAAATTGGAAAATCCGCAGTCACAATTCCAATCTTCGCCACGCTGTCCTCCTCCACCGCGTCCACCACCACGGCCCCCTCGTCCTCCTCGTGATGATCCACCAAAATCATCACGACGCCCTCCGTAAGAATTGGCTGGAGTGCTATCTCCGCCACCACCTAATACCCAATGGCACCATGAGCAAATAGTACTTTATTCAATCAATGCTGGTAGTAAAAATTACCTGGTTTAGAGCCTTTGCATTTAAAACACTCTGATCTGCTGGCAAAGTTGGAAAATCCACAGTCACAATTCCAATCCTGACCTCGAGAACCTCCTCCTCCTCCCATTCCACCTCCACCAAATGAACCCCATGAGCCGCTATCATTGCCACCACCACCTCCGCCTTGAAAGTAACGTAAATAAAAGTTGTTCATGTAGTGACTTGTTATGTAAAATTGAGAATATTAAAAAAATGTTGACACCTCCAGGCTTTGAGCTTTTGCATTTAAAACATTCCGATCGGCTGGCGAAATTGGAAAATCCGCAGTCACAATTCCAGTCTTCCCCGCGAGGTCCTCCCCCACCACGTCCAGCACCCCGACCCTCTCTTCCCCCTCGGGATGATCCACCAAAATCATCACGACGCCTTCCGAAAGAGCAAGTCGGAGTCGTATCTCCGCCTCCACCTAACATCCAATCACACCGTAAGCAAATTATGATAATCTATTTAATTGACGTCGACAGTATTACCTGGTTTTGAGCCACAATTCCAATCATCGGCTCGAGAACCTCCTCCAACTCCGTCTCCTCCAGGCGAATTCCAATCGTCGTTGCGGTCTTCGCTGCTACCACCGGCTTGAAAATTAAAAAGAATAGATTTTAGAGTTGCCTTGCTATGTCAAATTGGGAATGTTATGGATGGTCAGATACCTTCTGACTTCACGGGGTCTGCAGTTCTACATCTGAAGGTCAACTGTGGAGGTATCATTCCTGCGATGTGGCCCCTGTCCAGGAATATGCTTCCCACAAGCTGGACTGGTTGGTGCCCACTCAGAGGAGCAGAAGACGCGAGTGAGGGCACGAGCTGATGTTGATCCAGCTCGATAAACACTTTCCCAATCAACTCTGGTGACTTGCAAACGGAACGTTCCAACTTAATTTCAGCCGGTGTGGTTGAAGGTGAAGGTTGTTCCGATTTGGTCCCGACGTCGTCATCATCGTCACGGAATGATGTCGCAGTTTCGGTTTCGCCTCTTCGTCTTGGATCAGGAGCATAGGTAGCTGGGGACGTGATTGGGACGACTATTTTAGGAAGACCGTCGTGAGCTTTCTCAGGCAGCTCAAAATTTGTACTGTCCGTCACGGATTTGGAATTTGGGGCTGCTGTAGGTGCAGGCTCAACTGCCTCCACAACAATGTCCTCTGCCACACCCATTCCTTTGTTTTGGCGTTGAGGACAGGTTAAGAAATTTCGAATTAAAACCTATTCCGTTTGAGGCGGAAGGGAAAATGACGACCTGAGAGGAATAGCTTGTTCTCTTTAAAACTAGAAAATGTAGGCAAATACTAGAAAATGCGGGGATTGTTGGGAGTGTAAACTGTTAAAAGTATATTTAGTCCTTAGCACAGTATCCAGTAGGCTCATACAGACACTAAATACATGAAATTCAATATGAATGATATGCTGATACATGAAATGCAAATCAAGTTCTGTGAGCAAGAGAAAAAATGTCAGAGGTGCAACCTCACTCATAAGCCAAATGTCAACCAAAACGTCCAATTCTACAATCTACTTTTCTATCGGCTTCAGGTAATCGATAGAACGATGTGTATGTAGTGTGTGATTTGGTTTAGCTTAGTTTGGTTACGTATTCATACAAGGCTCAAACCTTAATAATGAGAAATTGAGTTAGTAAGATGAGCACAAAACTACACGGGCAGCGAATTGTTGTCAAGTAGTTTAAATACATTTAATATCAATTTGTTGCGGGTTACCGGTTTTCGACGAAACTTACAAATACAACCTTACGCAAATGTTACTTTATACTCAACTAATTAAGTAGTAGTGAGCAATGTAGCCGAGATTATCGCCCATGAACACTTTGGGTATATTAAAAATGAGCCTGCAGCCAACTGCAGGAACATAATAGTCTGGTACGTAATGTGGACAAATGATAAGTCAAACAGTAAAATAAATAACATAAAATAACAGTCGAAAAGAGAAATACATCATAATAGCATCAGTATCATACACGAAAAATGTCATGAGAATGGAATGAGTCAAGATAAATTCATAAAATCAGAGTCACGAACCCCCTAAAAAAATAGCCAGATGAACAAAATGGATAAAACGGGATAAAGAATAAGTAAATAGGGCCAGTCAAGCAATTTTTAAGCAGTTGGGCCACATCGCCTGGCTACAAGTCCAACTTTTATCCAAGGCTAAGTGCAGCAAAGTCGTCGTCATCGTGTAATGAGGACTCGTTAATCGACAACGGAGAGTCAGTCACAGACGGAGAAGCACCACGTCGACCACGAGAACCCTCAGAGTTCTTGATTCGCTGTAAAGGGCCCTTTCTACTAAAAGGAAAAGCAAAACGAAAAATAAAATAATAAAGAAAGTATAAAAATAAATACATAAATAAACAAAATTAATAAGTGAGGGACGAATGTCCTTTCTCTGTGTAGCCACACCTCTTGGGAGAAATTTTTTCAGTCCCTTTCTTGGTATGTTTTCGCTTTCGCTCCATCGTCCAGTCTTCGTCGTCTTCATCCTCTTCGAAATGCTCTTCTTCAGAAGCAACGTCGCCATTCTGCACAAAATTATATATGTAATCCTAATTCTAATATTGAGTTCAATTTCAGAAATAAAGCATACTTGGAAATCTAATAATCTCGTGTTATTAATTTAACTAACCTGATGACTTTGACTGGAAACCGCCGATCCTGCAGCACTATTCCCTTGATGTGACGACGCTTTTTCGTGCCCCTGAGAACCACTCCCAGTCGATCCATTTCCATTCTGAGAGTTCTGACTCGAAGACCCTTGAGCAAGTCGACGACTCGCGATACGAGAACTGTTCCTACCCATTCCCATACACTTTTCTAAATGCGGTGCGAACCTTTGAGCAGCCAAGGTTCTACGACAGCGAGGACATTCACATTCAAAATTAAACTTTTTTGCTAACGGCTCGCCAAAAATGTCCACACCCGGCGCATCCACCACCTGGTGTTCTAGTTGGACATCCTCCAGTACGCCGAGTCCTTCAAGCTCCCCCCATCGCATCAATCGTCCAGTCTCTTTCCCAATAAAAAATGCTTCTTCTTCAATCAGAAGAGTGGTCATTTCATGAATCGCAGATTTCAAGATAGCCTTAAATTGTGCAAAAAAATGTATCATAAGTACCCAGCAACTAATTATTTATAATGGTACAAGTAAACTAATTTCTTACACTGCTCGTCGTAGCCCCTGCTCGAATGTTGTTGTTATTGTTAATAATATTGTTATGATGCCGGTCTCGATCTCTCTCCCGTTCTCGTTCCCTTTCGCGATGCTCCCGGTCATGCCTACAAAACAGATTTAAAACAAAACAATAAAAACATTATAATCATGCTTTACCATTTTTATTATCGTTTCTGAATTTAAACAACTCACACTACTGTGCGTTGGGGGCTTCGATGTTCATTATTAATATGCCGATCCCGGTCACGATGTCGTTCACTGCGATGTTCTCGATCACTGTGTCGATCCCGGTCATGTCGGTCGCGATTCATGGCTGCCTTTTTCCCCCCCGTCTTAAAATCGTGCTCACCGAAGTGGCGAGTGCAACTATAGAAAACCTAGAAAATTGGAGACGAGCAAATAATCAGTATCCATTTGATTGCTGTGTATATTTGTTGTATATATTTCACTAATTACAAAAAGAAGTAAGGCTTAACGCTGGAAACCACTGAAAATCTTCTCTGTGTCTGCCCTCCTTCTCTACTACCTCACTACCTGCGAGTAACAAGGTACCATTTCCTACTTTAACTGATAAACCATTTATCATACAGAGCCGATGAAATGGTAGCTCGAGTTATATTAGAATGCACGGACTCTACATAATTTTATGTATCACACTACAAACACAGAAATCCAGACTATCTCTCTCTCTCTAAAACATCTCCACAAAAGTGTTAATTTACATATTCTACGGACAAAAGTAATGTACAAAGTAGCTTACCAGAAATCCCTTCCAACTATAATACTGTGTCTTGACTAATGTTAATAAACGACGACGGAGAGCCGCCTTTTTCTGGTCCTCCCCTCCTCTCCGGATCCGAATGTGCAGGCCTCACCTGCCCCGAGGACTAGAGGGGTGAACCATTGTCAATGTCTTGTCCTAAGTTTCAAATTCTTATCCTATTAACCGGAAGAATGCACAAGTCAAGAGTTGCCCAATTCGAGCTGGTCAATGTTATGCGGTTCCCGTAAGCGAGTTTTGGCTGCTGAGTTCTCTCTATTTTTAAGATGGCCAGGTTAAAATTCGAGGGTGGCGCTGGGGCATCTCGACAGCAAATCGCAACAAAGAAACTCACAAAAATAATTACATAACAATCAGGATTATTTCAAATTCCTTTTTAAGGTCAGGTCAGCCCTATGTGAGCCACGTGTCTTTCATTTTTTTCTTAATATGAGATTATAAATGTGGTGGTGGTGCAAAAAAAACAAACACATTTCAGCTCTCATGAACTCTTGCCGGCTTAACTTGTCAGGTAATGATGATGATCATCGCGGGAAGTGATACCCAAAATCTACAGAATCATTCACATCATTATCGTAAACAAAATAGGAGAGAGTGAGATCAATATTTTGTAGAAAAAAATTGAGTCAAATTAGAAATTTGATGGATCAGTGGATAAAATATAAAGTAAATGCATCCATCGACTCGGTGCAATTAAGATAAAAAAAACGGTAATTGAGGGCATCATACATTACGCTGTGACTGCTGGGGTGAGAATGTGTTAATGATATCTTTTGTTATTTTTTAGGAGGAAAGGTCAAGTTCAATCATAATGCAATGTTGCGGTTTTTATGACATGTTTTGTTTTGTTCAGAGGTTTGTTATTATTATGCTTTTTAAAAGGACAATGGAAGTAGTTTAATAATGGGATGATTCTGGTTTGGTTGAGTTTTTAAATGGCAGGGGCTGATGTTTATTTAGGCTTAAAGTTCAAAATTGAACCGTGAAAAGAATTAGTTTGACTTGAGGTATTTAATCTAATCATGCATGGCATCATAATTTATGAATTTTTCCTTATCCGGGTAGTGACGTTGAGGCGAAGTTGGTACGTTTGAATGACAGACTTGAGATGAACTATTTTCCTGAAAATAGAACAAAAATTGTTGACAAAAATGTAACATACACATTTTTTTAATTTCCCATAATAAAAAGATTGACTTACCAATCTTTGAGGCTACAACTTTTTTCCTTCTCCTTTAAAACGGCACGAGCAGTGTCCAGCGTACTTTGCAACTTGACATAGCATCGTCTGAGACACAAGATAGTGCATCAACCATTAAGTGATTTTCAAATTGCGTTATTATTTTATAAATAGTAAAACACCTTAAATTCCCCAATGCTGAGTGCAGCAAACTACACTTCTTACAAGGACGGTCGTTCTGGACCTTTTTCTTCACTGGCAAACTGACTGCTCCGTATAAATCGTAAACCCGATTGCAATGTTGTCTGCAACTTGGACATGTAGTGTGCCCCCTGCAAGAAGAGAATTGCCAGATTGGGTGTCAAATAAGTAAGGGAATCATTTTATTCATTTTGTACTAAAATATGAGAAACATAAATAAAAGAAAACAACCTCTCTTGCCACTGGGCGACGCACTTCCGGTGGAAAACGTGGCCACAATCGGCTACCATGCAGAGCTGAGTTTCATTGGAATTGAAAACATGCGAATCATCACTGCATATTGGACACTCGAAATCCATCTGTTTTGACCGAGTCTGGAAATTAGCCAATTTTCAGAGATGTAGGTTACGGGGAATTACTAAATGAATTGGTACCTTTGTTTAGAAATCCACGAGAAGTCTTGGCTGTATGGAACCTACGCTTTCCAAAAGCCTATTGAATAAGCTCATTGGACTCTGACTAGAAGCTGCAATGATGCTGAGCTTCCTCTTTCCAGAATTTGCTTATCTGCCAGACTTATACATTCTTCGTCCAGCATTGCTTCACGTCAGCATCAGTGATTCTTATTCATTTCATTCTCAGTTCGGTCTAACACATGAATTTCTTCAACGTAGATAAACAAAACCAATTTGCATTAAGGTGAGCCATCCAAATCCAAACAGATATTTATACCTATGATACGGCACGCTGTCACCATTATTCCTCCCCTCTATGCACATGTGTTATTAGTGTGTATTGAAAGGTGTATAGTAAATATTAATAGTCTGTGATTGATACGCAGTTCGAAAAATTTCGTCGCCATGCCATAGTTTCGCCATTTCTCGTCCGATTTGCATGAAATTGAGCACAATTCTTCTTATTGGTGTTGTCGACATGTCGCAAGCTCCCACCCACCGCCATCCCCTCTTTTTCGCCAAATATCGTCGCCATGTGATAATTTCGGCAATTCTCGTCCGATTTCCATCAAATTTAGACAGACATTTCTCATTGGTTTTATCGACGTCTCAACGTCAGACCCACCGTCACCCCCTTGGTTTGGATAAATTTCGTCGCCATGCCGTAATTTCAGCATTTATCCTCCGTGTGGCTAAACGTATTAGGAAGCTAAAAAACACAATCTCATTGGAGTTAGATACTAAAAAATCACATCTTCTTTAAACTCTGCAATTATTAAGCAATCAGCTCACTTCTTTCTTGTTGCTGCGTTATCTGTATTCATTTTCCGTTGGCATCTGTAGTAGAGGACGATAAGGACGGTTCACGCGTTCACATTCCTCTGTACCCATTCTTCTCTGCAACTTCTTAATATAATTCCACCCCTATCTCCTCCTTCCCTTGTGTTCTTTATCGTAATGATAAGATGCCCAATAAATAATTAGAGATTAGATAGCATCGCATCCCTCTCCTTCTGGCTGGTGTACCTGAGGAGGGAGCAATTAGTCTTTGTGGTTCTTTTCGGCAAGTGATAAAATCAAATCTGCACATGCTACATCTCCCACTCCGACAACACAATGCATCTTCTTGGTTGTCCAGTTTTTTACCTGATTCCCTGTCTTCCTCTCTCTCTCTCGTCCTTGTTCTTCCCATTTCTTCCCATGTGCATATGTCATGTTGATTTTACTCTTGGAGACGACGATGTCGGAGGAGGTAAACTTTATGAGAAATTGTGCAACGCCAGGAGACGAAGAAATAAGGCGTCATATCGTGTCCAACAATTTATTTATGGGCATAAATTACGCCACCAAAAAGTAACGCTTCACCTACTCAGCGTCAGAAGCAGGATAAGACCAGCCATGCAGTTTTCCAAGCTACGAAATGAATTGGACGGAGCAGGGCCAAAGTAAAGAAAGGCCGCACCATCAGAACTGTTCATGATCCACATAGCCAAACAATCCTCCAGGTCCTCTCTTCCAGTCGCGTCGTATTTTCCGCCACGCCACTGAATCACGACCCTTCAATCCTTATTCGACCAAACCAACCAAGTCGTGAATTATGATTGGAATCAAAAATCGAGGCGAAATAATGAATTGAAAAAGTGCATGATTTTATATTCTTATTCTTCTCATCGGATTCTCCTCTGCACAGACTGAAGCTGAATCACACTAGTCTATGCAACCCTCTCATTAAGTATTAACCATTCTGCTCATCCATCTCTATTCCCTTTATTCATAAAAAAAGTATGCGCAGGGAGGAATCATTGTTAAAATCTACCAAGTTTCCAGGAGGAGGCATCTGTGTTTGTTCTATTGGTTGCAACACAGCACAGGAGTAACGACGACGATTTGTACAAGCCGTTCGTTACCAGAGATGAAGTACATTTTATTACAGTAATGAAATACCACTTTGCATACCTCACCATCATACAAATCTCGCCACTTAAGCTATGATACTCGTACGTTGTTGAGGATGGATGGATGGATGGTTGGCATCTGTTAAAAAAACTTTATTGTTTTCGCTCTTCAAACTCAGTCACTTATTACTCACTAGCTCACGACGAGGATGTTGAATCATTTCAAGTAAGATGCTCAATGCACACACTGCAATTGTGAGAGTGAAGAGTAAAATACTGCAATTTAATCCGAGCCCAGGCTGATGATATGCGAATGCTCTTCTTATCTTGTCCAGACAGGTAAATCAAGTCTTATATACGTTCTAATCGCTGATAATAAAAGTGCACATCATAATATTTACCACTCGTACAGACGTATCTCCATGCTGAGCGTGTGAACTATCCTCCATTCCATCGTCTCGTTGCCATTGTCCAAAACTTTGCTCAACTTTTTTGTTTCACTCAAATCTGAATCCAAACCCAACGCACCCGTCGACTCCTTTCCCTTTCCATCACAGTTCCAGAAAAAGCAAGCAAGCATTACTCCTCAAAGGACAACTTGGGACAAAGGAACGAAGACGTCGTGTTTTTCTTCTTTTGAAATGTGTGGTCTTTCTTTTTTATTAAGGGAAGCCATTGGTCTCTCTAGTCTTACGTAAGAATAGATGATGATGGTGCAAGGGACCAAATTAACTGCCATGAAGGAAACTGCTACTTATTACCCATGCACAATTACCACCAAGTCTTGTGTAATTCGAATGCGTGTCACCTTCCACCTTTTTTTATGGGGCTGTGCGTGGGTGTTCTGTGCACTGCAAACAGGATATTATTTTGCAGAGCGTTCATTTCCAGTAGCGCTGCTGCTGGTAATAATATAAATGAGACACGGAGACCAAGTCCAAAAGGAGAAAAGTCGTGAGGGAGTGGATAAACAAATATTAAAATTATTATGACTTTAAGGCTTTGTTTGGAAATGGGAAGGAGCGGAACAATGGAAACTTGGCATGCTTCACTTGTCCTTGGGATTAGATTTTAAATCCCGATTAGTCGTTTGTCCATGTACCGATCGACATTAAGGAAAATAACTTCTAATCAAGAAGCGGAATCACATTTTCGAAACAGAAATAAAATTCTAGATATATATCCAAGTTTTGAAGCAATTTCACTTCCAGCGGGTAGTAAATAAGGGCTTTAATTAATCAGAATTGACATGGACGGTGGGAAGTCGGTTGGGATTAATTCTTGGCATTTGTCACATACATAAATTCTTGCTTGTTTCGTACTCTGATTCAAATCTCATCCGTATTTCCAATTTACAGAGCCTTGGGTTTTTTGACGATGGTGACAACACTGTGCTCGTACAAAATCTGACTCGACAATCCGACTAAATAAGCAAATGGAATGAGACGAATATTTGCTATTGAATGCAGACGACGTCACCCACCGGGCATGCTTGGGTACATACACACATCTGCCCTTAAGGACCCCCTCCTCCTCCTTCGAGCAGACAATTCAAGAGGCTGCTTAAGCCACAAAGGGATCTTTTGACGCTCCAAGTTCTTGTTTTGGTCGACATAAAGGGACATAAAACATTGCTCACATTTTCTGATCAACAATTAATCTGGATTGTCATTGTGGACAAATTGCTCAATCGAGTTAAAAACATTCTTGCAAAGTTTCCGAGACTGATTGAAGCAAGACAGAGCAGGCACTAGTAGCACAACTTACATAAATTAAATGGGAGAATTAAATCTGAGCCATATACAATTAAAAAATTTCAGACATGTTTAACTAACGTCTGCTAATATTCCTCGCAATTGTATATTCAGAAGTGGATTTGTTGAGGCTGAAATTCGACTGTGAACCAGCAAACTGACATTATGTCACATACATTTATCTATGTACATTTATCTAGGCGTCAATTAGGGAACAGAACCCCGTCCTCCTAAACTCCCTTTAATAAATAGTTACGTTGAATTGAAATGTAAAATTATTTCCGAATTTAAAAGGAGTCAAGAACTCTCAAACCGTATTCTTCATGAAAATAATGACTGGTGAGACTCATTCAGTTCGAATTTTACTCTTTTCGTCATTCACCAACTCAAAACCATAATACTACACAACACGTTTGGATGAATGGTTTTGGCTTACTTAATTCCGACATGTTCTTCCGTCTGCTGGAAATGAGAATATTCATCCAAACCTAACCATGGCGAGATAAAATATTTGATGGGAAAACGGACCGAGTCTCACTGACAACAATGAACTTGGAACGAGACTTGTTGTAATGAGTGTACCTGATCTCTCATTCCAAGAATTCGGTCTCACACTCATCCTTACAATTCAGCCCTGATGTCCGTGCGTGAAAGCAATTTTCCATTTCATGAGGACATTTCCACCACCACTGCGACCAACTCCCACGATGTGTCGTTACTTTGGAATTTCAAACCTGTGTACACATGTACATTCGCTAAAACATGTGTGGTTCTACTCGTAGTGGGATTCTTACATAATTCCGTCCGGCAATAACTGGTGTCCACACAACGTTGACTCTCTTTGAAGTAGTAATAAAAGTGTCTGCAATTGTTGTGGTCTTTGCTCCTCCGAGGGAAAAAATATGGAAATGGTGGTAAAGTGGTAATACGTACGTAACATCGTACTACATAAATCATCGGAAATTATTAAAAGCTCAATTTTCCCAGTTTATTTCTGCTGCCACTTGGAGGAGGATGATCAATACGCTGAGCTGAATGACATATGCCCTCATTATGCAGGTGATTTATTAGTACAGTCAAAATAGAGAGGTAATAAGAAACAAGTCGAGGATGAGGAGGACGACGAAGAGAGAATGCATAATTAGGACATGCGATGAGATCCACAATTTCTGTACAGCTTGTCCACACACAGAAATTTGCATCCGTATTATTTTTATTGTTAGCTAAGCGCGATTTTATAATCCTCAATGAATACTTGTAATAATTCAATTGTTGAGACCAGGATCATTTTTATTGTAAATTTCATCTTTCGCCTACTAATTAGCATTATATTTTCGATGATTAACTAAAACTAATAAGCAATATCAAGGTTCAAACAAACTTATATTGTGCACATTTTATTTTGCCAGTGAGAAAATATACCTTAAAAAAGTGCATATTCCTTTCTAGATCACTTTCCTATCACTTAATTGCCAGCCAAATACGTAAATAAAATTCTGACAAAAAGTCTGAAACT